ATAAACTTTAAAATTCTAACGCTACCATGCATTTACATATTAGAAACTGTCGTGTTTGTGCGTAAAAATGCTTATGTATTTAAAAATCTTAATAGTAAGAGGCGTGATATGGAAATACGCATGCCCAGAAATAGAACAGCCCTGTTAAATAGGAGCGCACTTTGTATGGCTGTTCGATTATACAATCGTTTACCAAAATCTGTACTCGGAATCACAGATAGTGTATTTATATTTAAAAATAAAGTCAAAGAAATATTAGTTGGAAAAGGATATTATTCTGTGAACTATTATTTAATTGATAGTGAATTGGTGTTAATGAACAATGTTTAATTTATATAACAGTTATAACTATGTAAACGTAATTTATTAATGACTTTCCTCAATTCCAATCTTTATATTAATTTAATGGTTATTGTATACTTTTGCATGCTGCTGTGACAGCAGAATATGATGAATCTGATACTATTGTAAGAACTTTTATACCTACTCATGTTCTGCAAAATAAATAAATAAATAATACCATAAAAAAATATTACACTGGACGGCCGCGAACTGAACCCGAGCCAGTGATCACGAGTTAACTGCGAACGACGCACCACACTTTACGAACACTGACTTACGGCGCGGCCGCTAATTTTGGCCGAAACCGAAACTGTAACCGAAACTATAGTCCATCAAAGTCGTGCGCGTCCGTCCTGCGGGGTGACAGACGGTGGCGGGGACGAGGTACTCAAGATGTCAGCGGGTAGCGGGTGGTGTAGCGGGGAAGGGAAACACTTCTCTTCGTGTGTAGCCGTGTGCTAGAATGACGCGCTACCTCGCCCCCGCCACTGTCTGTCACCCCGCGGGACGGCGCGGCGCGCCCCCAAAAGACGGCAACACACTTGTGATCTTGAGTTACGATAGCGATAGTCACTTGTCGTAACCCGTCTGCTTGTTTGCCCCCTGTCTCATAGAAAGAACTTGATTAACGCGAAATGGTGTTTTAAATTGTCGTTATCTTTTTAGTACTCCGTATAAATTTTCGTAATTAATTCTTATCTTAATTGCACCAGAAAATACTTGTATAATGTATTTACCTAGAATTAGAGATACTAGATTACCTAGAAAATCTCCTCTATGGTTTCTGTATAAGCAAGAGTGGCATAGTTTTTGGCTTCCGTGCCTATCTCTCTATTTGGTAGCAGGGTTCTTTTATCTATCTATTCTATCTTTTTTTGTAACGGGACCAATCTCTTCTACACGCCTACTACTGTAAGTCCTGTACACCGGGATCAACAGCAGTGACCCACGAACACACCGAGTTATGACACTCGGGCAGTCGCAGGAAAAATTAAAACTGTCTTGGAACCCGCAACGAGATTAATCAGAAGAAAATTTAAGGAGTTGGAGTTTCTTGTCTAAAAGGCACAAGGAACATATCCTGTTGCGGGGGACTGTACACTGTACAAACATTCATGAAACGATCACCACTACTCTATCCAGCCAGAAAGACGAGTTCACTATGCCCAACTGTAGTTGCAACCCTAGTTACATTTATGGTTGCGTCCAAAGTTTTGAGGAAATTTAGAGAAGGTGGATACCTGTGAAGACAAAGAAAGGCACAAAATCCTTGTTTGGACTGTTTGTTAATCACTTCAAATTCAGCTGGAAAATAACAATAAAGCTTCAACCCAAAGCTTCATCTGAAGAAAACTATGTTGAGCCCATTTGGGATGAAAAGAAGGATACTTTTAGTTTTCGTAGGTACTGATTCATGAACGATTGCACAGGTAGATAGAGTAGTGTCAGGTGACGGGCTGTCCTCACCGCTAGAAGCTCAATAATAACCAACACGGATTCAGACAAATAACGTCCTTGCACAAGTACCAAAACCCGGGCGTTTACTGTCCTAAGTTGAATATACTTCGAACTTAAATACTCGCTGTTGTCGTAGTAGTCCTGAACATAGCAGGTGATCTTCAATTCGCTCACACCGAGATAGATACCGAAGAAGACGTGCCCGAAAGCATCTGTATTAGTAGGATGATAGACCTTAATGCTGAGGATCTCTTGCTGAGGAAATCTTTCCCTAAAATACAAAAAAATGTTCCAACCCTATTTAACGATGCTTATTAGTTAGAAGCTATATTAAGTGGTAGACTATTTAAATACATAGTGGTGTGTAATAAACTATTTATGTTGAATTTTAACGATAGAAAACGACTAATTGCAATTAAGTTTTATGTAAACAAACCTTTTTAGGGTTATATAGTCCTAACAAGGAACCCTCATAATTTTAACTGAGTCCGTTTTAGTGTCTGTAAGTGCGTCCGCAGTTTAGCTTAGAAACTGTTGGTACTAGAGAGTTTATATAAAAATTAATTGTAATTCTTTATTAGATTTTTAGGATTGGACTATCTTCATTTGATTTAAAGAAAATTGACAATAAAAATGCGAAATTTACTTTAGTACACATATTATACTATGTAGTTGATTAGCATCGTTAATTAGGGTTGCCACCATTTCTAATAATGAGAAAAAGGTTTTTCTGGTTGTGAGACTACAAAAGTGGCAACCTGCCCAGCATTGGGCCATTACCTTTCTAATAATACAGATGCTTTTGAGCACAGCTGCTTCGGATGGCAGCTACACTCAGTGGAAACGAATTAAAGACCTGCCACGAATAGGAGTACTGTGACAGCAAGGAGTTTGTTCAACTTAAGCGGGAAAACTCCGGGCTCTCGATGCAACGGTACCGGAAGTCGCCGCTGTCCATGGACACCTGCAACTCAAGAATCACGAGCGCATTCCTTGGAGCCACTCCCTCCCCTTTCCAGAGCCTTTCCACTCCCAAAGTCAAGGGGGGGGGGGGGGATGTTGGTCTTCGGTAACATCACTCACTCAGTGAAAAGCAACTAGAATACGTTAACATCAGTTTTTTCGAGGACATCATCATCCTCAATCATCAACAGCCTTTAATAGTCCACTGCTGGACATAAGCCTCTCCTTAGAAAGGAGGTTTTGGCACACTATACTTCGCTGCCCAAACATATATAGGGTATAGGCGCCTGTTACTGCGAGGCAATGAATCTAACCTCTAATATAGCTGTAAGTTCTAATTGTTACTAACATCTCTGAGTCTTAGTTACTCTAATAAATAATTTAATAATAAAAAAATAATAAGGTTTGTGTCAAGTTTTCCTACTCTTTGCAGTGCCTGAGGATGAGCGCAACTGGGATGAGTAAGGGTGGTGAAACGCCGTAAGTATTTTTAATCCTTCACCACACGGACCGTCGAAGACACCACGAGGACGTAATTTGGCTGAATCCGTGTGGTCCGAGTTATTTAGTCGAGCTCCTGGCATGGCAGCTCGTAACCTAACACTACCTAAATTTATCAGTGCAACCATTTAAATAAATGAATTTGAAAACTAAAACGTCTTTCCTTTCATCCTCAGCATAGTCTTCCTCAGAGACATTGGTCTCCTCTAAATTTCCTTAAAACCATAAGCACATACGTAACTAAGATTCAATTACAGTTGGAGACAGTAAAGTCGTCTTTTTCTACTCATATCTTCGTCAAAGTTTGCTAACAAACAGAGAGACAAGTACATAAACCAAAAGTATATACGACTCTTGCTTCGACAAAATCCATTAGGGGCTTTTCTGGGTAACCCTACACCTTACAAATATGTAGTGACGCAATAATTTGCGTAACTCCATATTTGGCGTCTATCTAGGCGTCTATCTAATGAAAAGAATGAATTACGTAAATATAAACAGTGTAACAAAAAGATAATGAATAAGTGTCAACATATTCAACTTTAATCAAATTGTATTTAACCTCTATTATCGCTATATTAAAGAAAATACCTTAGTTAAGAAGAAACTAAATGAATATGTATTTGTTATATCTTTTACAATAGGTACTAATATATTTCCTTTTTAATATCAAGTAAAGTGGGAAAATATTGCTTCAGCAGAAAGGGACGGCTCGACGAGACGCATCTGTTGGACTGGAATGCACTTTTAACTCTTGATTTCCAGGCGTCCATAGATGGTTCTCTATCTGGTGATACGCCTGCTCGTTTAGATTGCCCCTTTACCATAAACAAAACATATTTTAAACTACTTCTGCTTGCTTGCCAACGTTTTTCTCTATTTTTTTAAAGAATAAGTCTTTCTATGAAACACAGTAACTGACTGAGTTCATCATTATCAGCCTATCGCAGTCCACTGTTGGACATAGGCCACTATTACACGCCACTTCGATCGATTTTCTCATCTCGCATCTTGCATCTAACTCCTGCCAGTAATGTTCCGCAAATCGTTACTCCTGGTCTTTGGGCCTCCTACACTACGTTTGCTGAGTTATAAATACTAATCGAAATATAGGTACTCAAACAGATAATGAAGTTAGTTCAGCCGTTTAGCAGTTACGAAGGAGCCCAGTAGTCTATATACATATACAGGTTAAATAGATAATCTTCCTTGTTAAGCTTCGTCGCAGTCGGCTAAGAACTTTTAATTAATTTTCGACGCGGATGAAGTCGCAAGCTAAAGCTAACATATAATAAATTTCAACTAACTATTGGAGTATTTTATAATTTTATTATTACACAGTCACTGAACTTAAATAGTAGATAGGTAGACAACTATTAAATTTATTTTACAATAAAAACAAAATAATAATGCAGTTTGTATACATTGGTGTAAGTCTTATTATCTAAAGTTATTTAAATAAAGCAAAGGAAGTAAAATATAAAAAAGTTGTAAATAATCCTATTTAAAAATAATTAATCACAATCCAAGTTAATTAATGGCAATTAATGGGTAACTACACATTATGAAGTGTCACAATACCGATAACCCAACCTTTAAGTTCAACCAGATAAGAAAACTATAATATGTAGTATCAAACGAGCATCAACAGCGTGACCTGTGTAATGATTTAAAACACAGTAAAAAGGAAATAATAGTGCAAAAATAACTATACTTCTAGGAAAATAAAAAGAGTGATGGATGAGAAAGAGAATTATGAATTCGAGAAATCAATCACATTCCAAAATTTGAATCCGCGCATTATCAAACTAGAATATGCTATTCGTGGTTCTTTATTTCACCGGCTTATGGAGATTGAAAAGAAACTGAAAGATGGAGTTCAAATGCCTTTTACTAACCTCATCAAAGCAAATATAGGCGATGGTCAATCCATTGGCCAAAAACCTATATCGTTCATCAGACAAGTATTGGCGTGCGTTTCTTACCCGAATTTACTCAAGACTGAATATTTCCCTCAAGACGTGAAAGAGAGAGCAGCTGATATACTGAACGGATGTGATGGAAACTCTGTTGGATCATACACCACGTCTTTAGGTATTGACGCCGTTAGACAATCTGTGGCTACTTACATTGAGAAGAGAGATAGATGCAAAGCCGATTGGAACAATATATGCTTGACGCCTGGAGCTTCAGCCGCCATTAAGAGCTGTTTGAAACTATTCATTAACAACACAAATGGACAAAAAACCGGTGTCATGCTGCCTGTACCTCAATATCCTCTTTATTCTGCAACTCTAGCAGAGTATGGCCTGACTCAAGTCGAATATTATCTTGACGAGAGCAAAAACTGGGCTCTGACACTTGAGGAACTTGAAAGATCACACAAAGAAGGCTCCAAGAGCTGTAAGATAAGGGTGTTGGTTGTAATCAACCCAGGAAACCCTACAGGACAAGTATTGACAAGAGAAAACATTGAAGATATAATAAAATTCGCATACAAACATTCCTTATTTATATTCGCAGATGAAGTTTATCAGCAAAATATTTATGAAGGAATATTTTACTCTTTTAAGAAAGTTTTGTCTGAGCAAAAGGCGCCTTTTAATCAAGTTGAGTTGGTTTCTTTTATGTCAATGTCTAAAGGATACATGGGGGAGTGTGGTTTTCGTGGTGGATGGTTGGAAATCGTGAATATGGACCCTGAAGTTCTTAATAATTTGTATAAGAGTATTTCTGCGAGGCATTGTCCTAATACGTTAGGACAGGCTGTGGTGTATTGCGTGGTGAGACCGCCTGTAGAAGGGGAACCCTCGTATAAGCTCTATGCGAAAGAGAAGGCTGATTTAATGAAGTCGTTTGCGACAAGAGCTAAAATAGTGGAAAAAATGTTTAACGACATGGAGGGAGTTAGTTGTAATGTTGTTCAAGTAAGTAATATAATCAGGTCTAATTTCAATCTGTATGCTGAACAGTTTTGCTAATCATTGAGTTTTTCGAATTGAAACTAGTCAAGAAACTTTTAATAGGCTGTATGGTCCATCGTCCATAGTGTAGTCCATCTAAAGGTTGCTCGGCAGTCGCAGGCTGCGATATGGCCATTGTATCACTGTTTTTTTTTTGGATGTATCATCGCATGTATCATAATTATGGTGTGCAATAAAGAGTACCTATCTATCTATGGTATAACATTGTATATTAACTGTAATAACTTTGACTGCGACTGCTGTACTGAGGTCTCGGGTTCGATTCCCGGGTCGGACTAAACGTTTGGATGTTCTGCAAATATTTGTTTCGGAGTTTGGGTGTTTAATATGTATGGATTTACAAAAAAAAAGTATAAAAGTATTCTATCAGTCAATCTAGCTTTCATAGTACAAGCTGTGCTTAATTTGAAACTAGATGGCGTTTTGTGTAAGATGTCCGAAAATATTATATTAAAAGCATAGAGTAGAAGAACGTGAAATTTGACACAATTAAAGTTTATATGGAGAAGAAAAGCATATAAACATAATGTACATAAAGCTATTTTTTTATATTAAATGCATTAGAATCACATTATAGCCGTGAGGAAACCTTTGATTATAGTGGTAGTCTTTGACAAAATAATACTGATAAAGTTCAAACTTAAAAATTATTAAAAATAATAATAATAACTTTATCATCATCATCAGCCTATCGCAGTCCACTGCTGGACATAGGCCTCTCTCATTGCACGCCACTTAGATCGATTAATAATAACTTTATTGTCAGAAAAGTGTTTACAAGATTGTTGTTTACATGCACGGACTAGAAAACTGTAGGACGATAGAACTACGAACATCATCCACCGCCGAACTAGATCACACCTGTGTTTCAGCATGTGGTTAATAAATGAGTTATGGTTTAATTTCGACCACTGGGCGTCCACTAGTACTTATAAATTAAATATTTTACAACACTACGCACTACATTTGGCAATATTATTATACCATAGATTATACGTTGGTCATTTCAAAAATGAAATTTATTTTTCGTTTTATTTGAGATATATTGTGCCAGTTATATTGCTTACTATTTGACCTTGTCAACCTTGTATGCCACACTCAAAAGGTAAAAAAAACCGGTCAGGTACGAGTCGAACCCGTGCGCCGAGGGTTCCGTACCTACCCAGATTTTCGCGAAAATCTGTAAGTACCAAAATTTATCTTGATTTATAACTTTTTTTTATTTTTTGGAATTATTCCTTTATTTGTGCTGTAAGACGTTTCTTTTTGCAAAATTTCGTGATTCTAGGTCAACGGGAACTACCATATAGGTTTTCGACCCAAAACCTACAGATTACTTCCGGTTCCTCGTGGCGGCCATCGCACTGGGAGTTCTCTCGCTCGATAGCCTGATTGCGGCTATCGTGCGGAGCGAGAGTGCGTGGAACTCTGCCGTCTCCTTTTGCGAGCAAGTTATGCTCGCGAAGGAGACCGGCTTCCCGTTCCACGGCTATTAGTACCCGAGACGGCGTGCGGTTTTAGTCGGTTCGAGTCCGACATGCCACCCCTATAGGTGGTATCCGTGGGGATTTCCGCACGGGGAAAAAAGGGTATTTCCGATTGACCTAGAATTGTCAATTTTGTAAGACCTTTCTTACAGCACAAGTAAAGAGAAAATTCTGAAAAATAAAAAAAGTTTAAAATTAAGGTAAATTTTGGTACTTACAAGTTTTCGCGAAAATCGAAATTTGCTCATATCTTTTTATCGTGTTGACTTAGGACCTTGATTTTTATACTCCTAGACCCAGCAAATTGACATTTATACCAGATACTGAGGTCTATGGTCCCTCCATAGACCTCAGTATCTGGTATAAATGTCAATTTGCTGGGTCTACCCGTTCCTAAGAAAATTGGTGGTGACACACGGACAGACGGACAAGAAAGTGATCTTATAAGGGTTCCTTTTTTACCTTGTGAGGTACGGAACCCTAAAAAAACACAGTTTGTGCAACATTTTTCATTGATGCTCGGCTCATATGGGTAGTAGCGTATGTAGATTAACGTGATGTTTTATAAATGGAATATACAACACTAAGAGAATTTTCCAATTTGAACCAGTAGTTACTAAGATTAGCCCGTTCAACCAAACAAACAGCCTCTTCAGCTTTATAATATTAGTAGGTATAAAATAATATACAATTTGTTTTCAGGGCGCATTGTATGCTTTCCCGCGGATCGATATACCTCCTAAGGCGATAGAAGCAGCCAAGAATGTAGGACAGAAACCAGACGAGTTCTACGTGTTGAGACTACTAGAGGAAACCGGTATTTGTATGGTCCCTGGTTCTGGTTTCGGTCAGGTACCTGGCACTTATCATATTAGAACAACGATACTACCGCAACTGGATCTATTGAAGGAAATGGTGGATATGCTTAAGAAGTTTCATAAGAAATTTATTGAAGAATATTCTAGTGATTAAATATTGTGAACGTTGATTCGCAATAATGAACCTTCTGACGACTTAAGAGACTTCATTATTCCTACACTTAAAAACGTTCAACAATACCGAAGAATAGTCCGGAATGATCGCCCAGGTCACTGGGTCACGCTTCTATTTGTTTCGATATCGTATTTATAATACTCGCCATACGTCTAGAAAGGTCTTTACAGCTTATTCTAATACCTAGTAGAACTTTCGATTTCTGAGAAATGGAAATTCGTTTCAAATGTAAACAATAATCGCGCGATAGTCTATTTTCGATCGAATGCTTAATGTTATAGAAGTCATTGTTCCGTGCCACCTTGCAACATTATTAGAACTCTTTCTGGAATTGCGCAATTAAAGGAATTCTCGAACCTTCGTGCTTTCTCGTGACAATATGAATGTATGTAGGTACAGATAGCCATTAAAGAAAAAACTACATAAGTAAACGCTGAAGTCACAGATTTTGATAATATCTGAAATAATATATAATCGCGCGATAGTCTATTTTCGATCGAATGCTTAATGTTATAGAAGTCATTGTTCCGTGCCACCTTGCAACATTATTAGAACTCTTTCTGGAATTGCGCAATTAAAGGAATTCTCGAACCTTCGTGCTTTCTCGTGACAATATGAATGTATGTAGGTACAGATAGCCATTAAAGAAAAAACTACATAAGTAAACGCTGAAGTCACAGATTTTGATAATATCTGAAAGCATGTTTTAAATATCAAAAGAATAATTGGCTTTCGAATTTTTTTACGATACGAAGAAACTAAACAACCAAACAAAAAAAAGCACATACTGACAAACATAGAATAAGCTACTGTATTGTTTTGTTTTTAATTATTTAACCAATTTAAATTCATTTATATATTGTTAAAATTTCATAAATTTGTGTATAAAATTATCATGACTAAATTGTTACAGTGAGTTCGTACATAAACATTGCTCTAATAACAAAGTGTGTGGGATGTAAAATATGGTATCTTTTGAAAATATAACCGTGGTAACATTGTGTCTATTCATTTTTTGCAAAAATTAAGGCAATCATTTTCACCTACTTGTTCTTTCCTCAAATTTTATCAGAGTTGCCGTCTTGTATGGTTCTGAAAGCTGGCCCATTATGACAACGAGAGATTACGGCATCAACGTAATGGCGTAACGTAGCCGAAATGCGAATACTGAGATGGATGTGTGGTGTGACTCGGATGGACAAGGTCAGGAATGAGTATATACGATGGAGTCTGAAAGTAATGCCACTGGATGAAAAGTTAAGAAATAATAGGTTATCTTGGTATGGATATGTCAAGCGGAGAGACGAGGAAAATACGGCCAAAAAAGTGTTAGCAATGGGAGTTGACGGTTACAAGCAAAGAGAAAGGCCAAAGAAAAGGTGAATGGACTGAGTGAGTGAGGATATGGCTGGGAAGGGAGTAAACAGTGAGATGATGAATGATAGAGCAGAATGGAAGAATCATACTTACCGCGTCGACCCCAAATAAAATTAGGATAAGGGTAGGCAGATGATGATGTTCTTTTCTCAAATTTATTTCGGGTCACAACGTGTCGTCTTTTACTTTATTATTTCACTCTTTCTGTGATTTCCATTCTCCTTTTACCTATAGGAGGTTTCTGTTTTTCTAGAGTACCTATAAATGTAGGTATATTTCTTTTACTACGGTTAACGATTTAATATAATACCTACTAAAAATATAAGTTAGAATTCAAATGCACCTCTACCATATACCTACTACCCTTTACCTAACCATATTTAAAACGGTCCTAGCAATGCTGTTTTGGGTGTTCGTTCAAGAAAAGAGCTTACTGAAGCTCTTGGCAATCCAAGGTCCCTAAGCAGGTTATAAAGGGATTTAGCTGGTATACCCCTCGCACCCACTTCCATGGCTCAAATAACCATTTTTAGCTATTTCGTTGGTTAAGTCAAAGTACTTTAAAAAGTTTTTATAAAAGTGTGCCCCATTTCAAAGCTGGTGGGATACATAATTTTCCTAGAGTTTAGTTGGAATCTTTCATTCTGCATTTCTAGGTTTATTGCGTGCACCTTGTATGTCTCGTTTTCATTTTGTTGTAGGAAACATTTTGTTATCTCTTTGTCGGTCTAACGTCTAGCCTTTCCCAATCCAACCGTACTGGACTTCGTACCCACCATTAATTTCTTGTGGAAGTGTAGTCGTGACTCGAGCTCTGTTCAATTTTTGGCTTTTGGAACGGATCTAACGATTTTGTCTTCTGATTGACAGACATGGATTTTGGTAACTCTTAGGTGTTTGTAGAGTTCCGAGGGTCTTTTTAATTTCATTCCAAAGTTATTCAAGCCCCTGTACAACGTTCACGGGTTTGCAGATGTTGCTAGCCCGAGCCACGACTTCAAGGTCTTAGTGACTTTCGCGTTCAGAGTTCTTAAGTTGTTCTGGTTTATATCGTATACCAGAAACGGCCAATTGAGACGTGATGTTAAGTAGTTGTAGATCCAAGCTTTTCTTACGTTACTTATTGGCTGTTGGTCTACCTTGTCAATGTCTTTTACCAAGTCATTGACTATTGCGTTCATAGATGGAGTACGACCTTTGTAGTCTATCTTTCTTCCAAGAAATTTAAAGGGTCCGGTTTCTGATATTATTGAAACACTTTCCATATATATGTCATATGAGGTATATCAGCGGCGTGCACAGGATTATGACACTAGGTATGCGGAGTAGTCGGTCACAAAAACTTTTTCTTTTATAGATTTTTAGCATAGCCACAGCCACGCGACGGATCTCTAAGTCGGAAACCATGCCAACAGAACAAGTCTTAGATGTACTACTATTCATGTACATCTTCAACGGAAACGCAGACAAAACAGCGATAGATCGTCGCGGCGGAAGAAATTCTAATAAGTAAAATAATAAGCTAAAATATTATAACTACTCACCTGGTCATCTTCAATTTTCTGATTTTTACATATTCAAGGTTCCGGTTACACACATTGTCCACACGTACCACACAATCAAATAACATTTTTAAAAAATCAACGGAACTCAGTAATAAACTGTTAAATGTACACACAATTCCGTCTTAGGCCACGCCGAGGCCCCTGGGCACACAAGAATTAGGGGCCCTGTTGGACAGTTAACAAAATGAATGGTGAAAATATTTTTAATTATGATCTTTTACTTAAAATGATTTATTGGCAACAATCAAATATACCTATAATTAGAGATACTAATTAGATAGATACATTTACGAGTAAGTATAATAGATATACATATGGGATGTTAATTAGACAAGCATCTTTGAATTGATGGTTTGAATCAGTTAGATTTTTATCGGGATGTCTGTTGTGGAGATTCTTCTATTATATCTTCAAAGTCAATTTTTTTGAGGATATCATTTTCTATACACATAATTGATAAATACGTTAGTCGCTCTTGTGACGCTGATGTTCGTAATTCATTTTTTACTCGCTTTAACTTTGAAAATGAGCGCTCTCCGCTGCAATTGGTAACCATTAGGCATAGAAACATTCTTGTAGCCACTTCGACATTTGGAATAGTTTCTTCTAATCAATCGGATTTTATTAAATTATGTAAGTTTGAGATACTCAAATCAGCTGATTCCTTTGATATATTCTTTAAATAAAAAAGCCGTGTGGTGTCGTGGGAGACCCGATAGGAACGAAGTTGTGACGATCGAGTAAAACTGATTCGACACGATTTTAATTACAACGCCATCTATGAAAGCGGCTATTACCTACATATTTTTCAGTTGATTTCTAATTAAAACAATTTATACATTGGTAAAATCTCTTTGAGAAATGATTTCCTATCTATTCGATAGATGGCGCTGAATGACTGACAAGTGACAATTCAAAATAAATACTGAGATGAAAAGTAATGATTTCCTATCTATTCGATAGATGGCGCTGAATTACTGACATAAAAAGTGTCGTTACAACTTTTCGTGAGATTTTTTTTTCGTCTAGCCCCCTTTCACAACGCGCGATAAGGAACTTCGTTCCAAAACACTCTGATTTGAGCTCATATGCATTAATGTCTTCGTGATAGAATTCTTTAAATTCATTGCATTTTTTTGTTAACTCGTCAGAATCAATTGCTGTTAATTGTGAAAGAAAACGAAAACGATCGTGAATTTCTTGATACGCTACCAAACGATTTTTTAAATGTGCATTGAATGTATCTCTTATGAGGATAAGTGTATCTATACGAAATTTTTCCTTCCCATGCAACTGCACAGTCTCTGATGATCCTTCAGAAAGTAACGCGTGTGCTGCAAATTCTATTCCTGTCAAATTGATCTTTATAGTCAGCATTTGGATTTTTTTCTTTAGCAGATGCGTAAAGCTTTGTGGCAACGTCCATGGTAATAGTGCTATCCTGTAAGCTTAAACTTGTTTTGTTCATAATTCCCAAAAAATCATTCCATATTTCCGTTAAAAGTATTGTGTTCAATTTTTCCATTTTTTTTACTAGGCTTTGCGCTTCGTTTCTTGTTTCTCCTGGTTGATTGACATCACTTACTATCGAGGATAAAGCTTCAGAAATATTTAAATAACCATTTTGTAAAGCATTAATGGCATTTGCACGTGCAGACCATCTAGTATCCGGCACAGAATTCAAGACTTTATTTGTGCCTAAATTCTCTACCATAATTTTCCATCGTTTGGTCGAAGCGGAAAAGAAATTGAACAATTTTTGTATAAACTGAAAATATGCTGCAGCTTCGGAAACACAATCAATAGCTTGAACACCTACTAAATTTAGCGAGTGACATGGGACAAAAATGGCAAATTTGTATTTTTCTTTTATTCTTGACTGAACACCAGAATACTTTCCAGCCAAATTTGATGCATTATCATAACTCTGTTCACGACAATCTTTTATAGGAATATCAAGGCTTTCTATAAAGTTCAAAATGTTACCTGCTAAGTATTCTGCATTATGTTTATCTATAGGCAAGAACTGTAGAAATCTCTCAATAGGCTCTCCATCTTTTACCTATCTAACGATGAAAGTTAGTTGGTCAACGTGAGAGAGATCTGGCGTAGAATCCACGCTTATAGAGTGGCACATGTGACTTGTAATAAAGTTGATAAAACAGAAAAGAAAATTGAATATGCCATCATTTTACATATTTAAATTGTTAAAAAGCGGTGATTCAGAAGGGCTCGTGATAATTAATTACTCATTATTTATTTCTTTTTAACCAATAAAATTTGGCGTACTTTTAACTGTTTTCATCGACACTAATAAAGAATCAGTTAGTAGTGAGTTTTCTAACAGATGGCGTTAGTAGTAATAGTCCAATCTATGTTAATAATTTCGTCAAGGGCTACGGTAGACTCGTTCGAAACCTTACCTGATTGAAACATAAAAAAATAAATCATATATCCGCAAAATTCGGATTGTCGAGTATTTTGTTTAATTCCAATGGTGCTGGCAGACAAATTGCAGTCGCCATATTGGCCACTCTAGCGAAACGTTAGAGGTTAGAGAGAGGAGAACAATCGCTGTAGAAAATAGTGTCCCAGAAATATGATGATAATTTAAACTGGTCTATTTAAGGTGTTTACGATTTACGTTCAGGGATTCCCCGTGTTTAATTTCGCCTGTAACATTGTAGAAACTGTCTTCGGCTTATGCTTTTATGTGCGAGCAGCAGTATGTGTTGCGATGCAATTTTTTTGTTTAATGTATGATCATTAAAACTAATTCCCGGGGCCCGGGGCCTCGCAATGGCTAAGGCCGTTACTGATCATTGGCTTGTCAGTGCTTAGAGTTGCCATAAAGTTGGTAAAAAGGCCCATTTACTTTTTTTTCGGAAAATATCGATATGAATTTGAAAAAAAAATGACAAACAAAAAAACATGCTATGTATTTGCTTTTTGGAGGCCCCTTGACGATGGAGGCCCTGGGCACGGGCCCCGTGTGCCCTTATGGTAAAGACGGTACTGTGTACACACTTTCAAAAGTTAAAATGAAAAATAAAACTATAATTATACTGGCGCAAACAAAATGTAAACAATATGGCCGCGAAACACACGAAACATATCTTAAAACTTTAAACGAACACTTCCGATTACTACCGAACTAACTTCGGTAGCCTGCCGCTGGAGGCGGGGTAATAAAATAAATGGGTGTGTGCGTTTGCGAACTGTGCACGGACACCAAAATTACTACACACATGCGAACTAATGTAATGCGGGACGCGACGGCATGAGTTGCTTTGCGCTTGCTTTTCGGTAAACACCTGGCAAACATAATGTTTGTGTGGTCCTATTTTAAATAGTAGGCGTTTTTAAGTTATTATATTTTGTTTTTTTCGTTTATTTACTATTAATTAAAGTCATCTAAAACGTACGAACGTTTTATTAAAATGTCTGTGAATAGCAAGTAAAGCACTGCATTTCTGCCTACAAGGAGCGCACGCCCCTGAGGTATATCTGGTACCTCGCCGGCCCAGACAAAGGCAATAGCATTTGCTAGGTTTTGTCCTCATTCATTCCGTCCAGGTACAGAAGTCATCTACCTTACGCAGTAGTTCTTTTCACCGATTCGGGATACGAGTGTTATAATTTATTACTAATACAGAAGTGAGCTTGTTGGAATGAATGAGTGAAAAATGCCTGACTTTTACAACTTTATGAACATTTTTGATTCTTTTACAACTTACAATAAATACATCTTTAGGAATTTGCGGTATTAAAGTGTTTCATGAACGCAGCACTAATGCTGCGTTCTAAAGACGCGTTGCCATGACAACGAGATCCCCCACAACACAACTGTCCTCAAAACAAATGAACGTAGCGTGGATTTATCTACACCTTAATTAGCACTGTTCTAAAAAAAACAATAAAATAAACGTTAATAATCATGTTGTTTCATAACTAATAAGTTGTAAACGTTACGTTAAAAATGAGCTACCAAGTAGGTATTTTTTTATGTATATTATATATACGAGATATATTATATGCATTCATATTTCTTAATAATATTGTGCTTATCATTTATTTTGAATACATACAGCTATTATGTTTATTGTATTTAGATTAATCTATCCCCTGAATTCAGTTATTAAATAAATAAAAAGTTGATATTTACTCAAATCTTTTTGTTTAAGATATAATAAATACGTAAGTAACTTTTTTGTGGATATACCTTAGTTTCCTTCTTGTCTAGCGTTTGTTCGAGTAAAGTAATAAAGACATTTAAATAATGTTATTTAATGTATTTTTATATTTTTTTTATTATAAGTTCATGTGCATTCATTTTTTTCAGTAAACCTGTAATTAGGTACTTACAATACAAATTAGATCAATAATGCTTCTGTTGCCGGGGTGGTTCCTGTATCTGTTTGTGACGTCACGGGGTGAAGCCAAGTGGGTAGAAGGGAGGATCGATACCAAGGATGTAAGTATTGGATGGGGAAAAAAATAAGATTGGAACAGAATAGAATACTAATCAATATCCGGTCCAGCCGTTTTGAAGATTACACTGAACAAACCGACAGATAGACAGACAGACAGATAAAAATATTTAAACTGGTATTTAGGCATAGGTATCGTGCAAAAAACCGTGTGAGCGTGAAAAAAAACCTATTATTTTTTGAAAATTATAAAGAGATTTCAATTTTATTTATTTGTATAGATAAATTACACTCAGGCACAGAAAAAATGGTCGTGCTCATCACACAAGTAAAATATCCTGTAATGGAAGTAAACATTTGGCGTTGTGTTAGCCACCCTTAGAGTTGGTCATGTCAGATGCTACTCAGCATATGCGACAATTGTAAGGCTGGCTCATCTTTTAAGTTTTTGTTTACGGGTAATGTTGATTTTAGCATTTGAGCTTTGTAACGTCACAACGTCTTGTCACATAATGTACCCTTCGTTGACCCCTGCCGCTATTACCTTGTGACGTTTGCCGTTGACGTGAATATTTGTTATTTTTAATTCTTTATTTTTCTGCGCCATTTTCCTACTGCATAAATATAATTCACAGTTCGTAATTGTACTAAAATAACAAAGTTACTTAAATCTAGTACATGACACAATTATAATTTTAAATATATTTAAATATATAGATACTAGCTGACCCGGCAAACGTTATTTTGCCATATACATTATTTCTAGGAAATATTGAAAAAAAATTAGGGGTGGGTCACCCTTGTAATTTAGGGGTATGAAAAATAGATGTTGGCCGATTCTCAGACCTACCTGATGTGCACACAAAATTTGATAAAAATCGGTTCGGCCGTTTCGGAGGAGTATGGTAACTAACATTGTGGCACGAGAATTTTATATATAAGATATTTATATAGATTTTAAATATATTCAGTTTACTTTCAAAGATTATTTTATATTTTAAAAGATTATGTTACGAATAATGAAAGAAGTAAAAAGAGCGAGGAATTACCCGACTGCGGTTGATGATAATTTTCGCAGAGGAACCAGATTTCACAGTTGAGTCTTTTCCACCATACACACCAAATGGTTTTTTTAGGTGTCGTACAACCTTTAACAGTCCACTGCTGAACATAGGCCTCTCTTTAGAATTGAGGTTTTGGCCTACTATACCACACTGGCCAGGTGTGTATGGGATCCCTTAATCCAGTGGTTCTAGGAATCTGCTGTCCTTTGCCTTCTAGAACATTCTTGCAATAATTCTTACTATTAGGGTTATTTACTTTGTCTGTGTGGTGTAGATGATTAAAAATTACCGAGTGTCACCACTGCTATTCATCCAGTGGATGCCGTAAGAGCCGACTAAGGGAGCAAACTACGCAGGACAACAGCACTACAACGAGAAAGAAAACTTGAAACAAACCCTACACCAACCTGCATTGCCAGCGTGGTATAGTAGGCCAAAACCTCCCTTCTAAGGTGAGGCTTATGTCCAGCAGTCGACTATTAAAGTGGCTGTTGATGATAACTTGAAACTTACTGTAATCTCGTTCTTAATCGCACCTGAGAGCTCTGATGTCATAATATATAGGCTTCTTTTTATTCCTGATCAAAATACGTTATTCCTTCTTGTACAAACAATTTACAATATAAACAAAAATTCACTTCCACCAGAATTGGGCATTCCTCGCACGCTTCTGTTTTCTATCGTTCGAGGGTCAGTTTGAGTACCTGATCGAGTATGAGAAGGAGATGGGTATACCCAACTTGCTGCTGTATTATGACGATGACAGTCAGTGGCCTGCGGTCTACCACAGTAGTAAGGTATGTGAAATTTAATTTACATCAGACTATAACTGTGAAATGGCTGAAAACCCATTTAAAGAGGCATGTTGATGTCATCGACTTTAGAATAACTTTTAAAAGCGTGTGATTGATCGATCTCTCAAACTGATCAGTATTATAAACTATTTATTATAATATAACTATCAAGACTGGTAATTAAGTTCATTTTATTTGTAAAAGATGTAGGTATGAAGAAGAAGAATATGTGATTCATAAACAAAATAGTCCTTCGAGTCGTTCAGCTCCGCAGGCAGTTCTCTATGATAAAAAATTGTCCTTTGACGTATCGACGGTCGTTTATTGTTAAGTAGGAAACATGATATTTAGAAAGTAATTATATTTGATTAAAATAAGTATTATTATGGTTAAAGAGGTTTATTTGTGTCTAGGTATTACAATAACTAATTAAATACCAGTGGCACACTTTCACTATTGATTAGATATTATTTTTTTACATTTAAGTTTAATGCGGCCCTAGGCACTTGATGCCTTATTCAAAAGACCAGGTGGCCAGGAGTATTCTAATCGCTATAATCGTTCTACTCCAAAGCCGAAAATAATAATTCTATAAAGTAACTACTTTTGATAAACTTAATCCTTTGTTTACAGTCTTGCAAAGAACGCGAGGACGTGTTAAACAGAGGTGGTCAGAATCAGATAGTAAGACTGTCACATTGGTACCCAGAAACTGAATTCTCTGGTTGTATACTCAGAAAAGCAAACAGGGAGCTGCCTGCTTCTAAAAGGTATGAAAATATTGAAACATTTAAACACATACCCTGTTCCTAATCGCTAAGTGGTTTTTCTGTTACCTAATAGGCCAAACCCTACTGACAGAGAAAATACATTAAAAGTGCTGTTTGAGCAGCAGAATAGAAGTGCTCCCCTAATCTGATCTTATCTACCTCAGATTCGATCACAGTATATCTCCATTAAATCATAATTCTATATGATGTTTCAAAAGAGTTTAACGTCATTATTGTCATCATCATCGAAGGCCAATTTTCGTAATAAAAGTTCGGTCGTAATTCAGTTTCGATCAACTTTCGATCTCACAACTGTCACAAAAGGTCTTTTCGTAGTCAAGCATTAAAACATTCAACGTTGACTTTAATGTGATTATATTGTACTGGACATAGGCCTCTCCTTAAAAAGGAGGTTTCGGCCTACTATACCACGCATGCCGGACGGGTTGGTATAGGGTTTGTTTCAAGTTTTCCTTCTCTTTGCGATGCTGTTGTCTTGCGTAGTTTGCTCCCTTGGTCGACTATAAGACACCCACGGGATGAATAGGGGTGGTGACACTCCGTATTCTTAATCTGTCACCACACGGATAAGGGAGGGAGGGAGTTTAGAATTACTTTCTTTTAAATAACCCTTTTGAAACGTCACTCTACCGGGGTTTTCGATTGGGCTGTGCGTCAGAATGGACGGCTTAAAGCACACAGTAGTCATACTACGTCTGAAATAGGAGGGATTCAAGGCTTTTATTAAGACCCCCGGACCTCATAGCGCCTGCCCTTGTACTCGAGGATACTCCCTCAGATCCCTCGACTAAAGGACCGACTAAAACTACACGGTGTGCCACTCTGCGCCTGTAATAGGAGGGATCCGGGAACTGCTGTTATTAGGACCTCCGGACCCCTCCTAGCGCCTGCCCGCAACGGTGCGGGCACCACCTTCGGGTACATTCTCTATTTAGGCGACGTCCGGCACACGCGGACGTCGCCTTCTCGCGGCTGGCCGTTATGACGGGTGGAGGGGAAAACCCGTCCTGTCCACCCGCGGCCACACTCAGGGCGGCATGAGGCGGTGATAAGCGTATGACGGCCGGTAGCGAGAGATCCCCCCCCGATGACTGCAATGAGGACCCGGCGCTGCGGCGCCCAAGCCGAGCAAATTGCCAGCGTGTGCTGAGCCGAGTCCTCACTGCAATCGCAGTGGTGACAGGCGGGACTCAATTCCCTCCTAGCGACCGAGTGCAGGTACTTCCCGAAGCAGCCATACCCGGAAAGGACCTGCGTCAGCCGGAAGGAAAGGGTCCCGTGCTGCCGCCGTGCCCACTCGACGATGACCGGCTGGAGCGCCTCCACGGCGGCAAAGCCAGCACGTGGAGCCTCCAGCCGGGAAGACCAACGAGCCATCGTGGCTCGGCGAGCGGCCTCACGCCACTCGCTTATCTCTTCGGGCGGGGGCCGACTGCCACTATCCGCCCGGAAACCAGCCGTCCGCCGATATACTTCTGCGTGCACTTCCGCCTCCAAGTCCCACGGGGGAGTACCGGCCAACGCGCACGCCGCTTCCGTCGAAACGGTGCGGTAACCGCGTATGGCTCTAACCGCCAATATCCTCTGAGGGCGCCAGAGGCGTGCCCAATTCTGAGCGGTCAGAGCCGCCGCCCATACCGGTAAAGAACGAACGACCTAAGCCAACTTCAACAAACTACCGTTTTCCAGTACATCATCGACTCAAAATCCAGCAACAACAACTCCAAAACCCAAAAATAAAAATTCGACAAATCTATTACCACCTGAACCATCATACTACGACCAGTTCTTGAAGACCACTCCTCGAGATGCAAGACCCATCCCACCAGATGTCAATACAACTTGGTATGAGTTACTGCCGACTGATGACTTCAACTTTACCACCACTATGGTACCTGAAGAAGAGTTGTGGGAGAGCATCAGTCCAGAGCAGAATGGCAGCCATTTTGGGAAGTTAAATGACGTCGAAATCTTGTTCGATAACGAAAATGGGAAAAAGGTATGTTAATTCTACTTAGTATAGAAAACCTAAAAGACCTATTCGAAGAGTAAAAAAAATTTTTGGATGCTGCATGAAGTCGCGTGTATCAGCAGTTTGGTCACCATAGTACAGACTTAATCTAGTCTGGCGTTATATAAAATGTGTCAAGTTATTTTCTATACTAATGTTATAAAGCTAAAGAGTTTGTTTGTTTGGTTGAACGCGCTAATCTCAGGAACTACAGGTTCAGATTGAAAAAATATTTATCGAGGAAGACCATATAACACCACGCTACGACCAAAAGGGCCGAGTATTCGAGTATTAAAATTTAGTCCCATTAAGAAACGTGGACGAAATTGCTCGGGTCCGCTAGTTTTTAATGTCCACCCATCCTCACCTGGCTCTTAGTCATACTATTGTGCTCAAGCTCTACTACTATCAATACATACCTACCTATAATCTTCATTCAAGAATATCAACAAATTTGCTTAATTTGTTCTAGCACAAAATCAAACGCTCCCTGGATTTATATGAACGTTTCCGACGCCGTCGTATCCACGCTGAGTCAAAGCATCCTGGAAGTACGACTGAGAAAGAGAAGCTGCTGGTTTCCTGTCACAATTCGAGGAGGTTCAGGTCTGCGAGAGAACGGTGGTGGTTCATAGCGATAAGTAACTGTGAGAATGACAAGGTTAGTAGAAGAGTTGGAGACGGTTGTCAACCAAGTAAGGTTTAACAATCCTAATTTTTAATACTGTTTATATGTCATTAATTTTAGTTTCTAGAAACTGTATTTAATTAGGTTAGTATTTGGAAAACAATAAATAAGATTTTGAAAAATCGTTGTGGGTTTTAAGACTTTTACTAATTTCGCTTCGGGTTTTCGTGCGAATTGTAGGATGTGCCGCCCTTTTCCATCTTTGTCTACAATAGTAAAAGCAGTGGGACTGTGAATCGAATGAATTTTGAAGAAATATAAAAAAAGAGAGGGAGAACTTACTTCAGCGCACATATGGATTAGGCCTCGCATAAAACCGGTGTTAGGCAATTCTTTCGTTCCACACTAAGCCCGGTATTAATATGGATCTCCTGGAGAAGTTTGGGGGATGCAGGTTAACTAAGGAGGGGTGAAGAGGGCAAGAAACCCAGCAGCCAAAAGTTCCCGTATCAGGGAGTGGGTGCTCAGTAACAGCCTAACCAACATAATCAGACCCTTTCCTTTCAGGCAATTCTTTCGTTGCTTTTCTTAGAGGAAGTGAGGTTATCGGCAGTCCATGAAAGTCAACGTTGTCCTGATACAGCTACATAACCCTGATTGACTTAAAGACCTTGGACCTTTAATGGTGGGTTAATGTTTTCAGGGTCTTGACGTGAAATACAAATTCCTGATGACGAACGGCCCGGATGGTGACTTTTGGCATGAGCATTTTTCTGCTGACGAGTTCTGTAAGTGACATATTATCTCCTTTTAGGCAGGATATTACAGAAAAGTCTGATTATATTCCAGAATTAAAAAGTAAACACCGTAAAAAGTGACAAATGGACTGATAAGTTTAAACTGATAATACATTAAACTTGACCTGACTTTGACTTCAGCTTATATTTAATCAGTATTTAATCCGTTTGACAAGAATGAAACTATCAGCACTTAAAGATGTTTATAGAAGAATTAGAAGTATATTTCCACAAAACGGCATAGAAAAGGACCACATAAAAGACCAATTCCGGTGATTCATTTAGCATTTTAAGCTTGACTTGCCAGAAACGTTGAGACTGCGGCCAGAGCAATTGGTTACAGGGACAACAACAGCATGACGACGGATTTTTTTTTAGAAAATACGCGCAAATAAAAAAGATTAAGCATTGAAATTTAAATTCTTAATATGAAAGAATATTTTCTAATAATTATGATACTTTATTCAAGCTAGTTCGACAACACTTTTCTGTATACACTTTTTTCTTTTTTTATTAAATGTATTCGTCTTCTTTCCTTTCTGTTAACACCTTTTTTTAGAACATTAGTTTTTTACCAAGCCTAAAATAAAACGACTCGATGGTATTAAAATCGAATCAAATAAAATCGTACGTTGTACCCACAGGAGACATTAGATACCTACAATTTGATGATTCGTTGGACCTTGGTTAGGTTATAAAATGTAATGTATATGATCTCAACAATGTATATATGATCATAACAACAACGGCATCATAACCACGTAGTTGAATACGCAATAAATATATTGAGCAATGAATGGTATAAAGTACTGAATACGTGATGAACGCTTTGCCGAATTGTGTAAAATAAATGTAGTATTTATTTCTAGTATTTTTTTTTATTTAACTAAGCTTTTTGTACAAATGTGACAAAGGCGTACTTAATCCCGTAGGCATTTTTTCCCAGTCGACCTTAGAGCGACGCAGAGCTAAAAAATGTATTAATGTGCTTTTATTCGCTTCACTTGTACCTAGCAATGAAAACATATTATGGATATATATTTTAAAAGAGTGGCCATGAGATTGTTTGTCCTTTCGGCTCAACCCGTTAGAAACGGGCGGTTGTAGATCGGCCCAGGCATATTATGGATTTTCGATACGTATATATTTATTTTGCTAAATATTTGACATAACGAAGATTGTTGGCATTGTGCCTATTGATTTATGACTTTAGAGTCTACAGTCGTAGGACCATTTCAAACAATTTTAATTTTTAATGAAATAAAGATATTTTGAGTTTGATATCAATTTAAACCGAACCCGGAACAATTTGATTTATTCCCAATAGTTCCTTAAAGCCAATGGCACATGGTACGGATTTTTGTCCCATTTTTTCGATGTAATTTTATACTACCTCTACAGCTGATATTAATTAAATTCAAATAAAAAAAAATAAAGCAAAAGAGTCTTTGAAAACTACTGAATTTCAGAAAAACAAATGACTATCTCTACATTTCATTTAATAAAACTGTCAGAGAGGTGATGTTGTATAAAGCGTAGGTACATTGATGTTGTAATTCTAATTTCAGATGTTCTCCCAGTACTTTTGGCGTATACATTCGCGTACGTAATAGTGATGATCGCCGTAGTGATGTGCAGTGTCGAATTGAAGTCTCGACATTTATTACACTCGACGTACAAGTTGTTCCTTTTCTGCGTAGTGGCTCAGCACTTCGGTATAACCCTAAACGCGCTATCGTACATCAGCTACGCAACTCATGGAACTGGTAGTGAAAATGCCAGGATTGTTGGTAAGTACCATTTCATCATCATCACTTCAGCCGTCTATTTCTGGACATAATACTGTCTCTGTCTTCCTCTCTTAATACCGGTTGAAAGCAGTCTGTATCCACCTCCGGTCTGCGATCCTTAAAAGGTCTTCTACCTACTTTGTACTAATCCATTGATATCTTATAGGTAATTAAAAATGTATCTTACCAAAATAGAGCTCTTTGACTCATCCTACACACAAGTAGTGCTTTTCTATCGATGTGTTGCATCACTAGAACTTCAAAATTTGTTTTAAAAAATTGAGCTTCATTAAAAGATGGTGATGATGATTTTCAAGACACGTCCCGGCATGATAAAATTCCAATATATCTCTGATATAGTGTAGATATGCAATCATGTATATTAAATTGTTTCTGACGAATTTCACAAAATCCTTATACCTTAGATAGCCTTTGTATTACCATCTAGCGAAGATTCAATTAACTTGGTGAAGTGCCTACTAAACTAATCCTGCATCGCGCTATTATAACGCTATTTAATAATAGTTCACAATATGTAAACGTGATATTGTAAAATTGTTAGTAAGGCCGGCAAGTTTAATTATCAGCCAAGTCCTTGGAATCTCTCCTTGGTAAAAGGAACCTTATCTAATCCATCCCGTTACTCTACAAAATGTTGATACTATCTTCTAAAAGAAAAGATCTTAATTTATATTCTTTCTTCCTGTAATCGCCTTCAAACCTCTTTTCTCTTTTTAAAAACCCACTGTAGTACCTAGGACAAACAGGCAGAAGGAACATACCATTATGAAGTCCAATAATACAATTTCCAGGTCAATTCATCTGCGGTGTCTCGGAGATGACGTTTATACTTCTGATGGTGCTAATGGCTAAGGGCTACACTATCACACGGGGTCGCCTTAAAGTTGGTTTCACCGTCAAACTGACAGTGTTCATGTGTTGTTATATTGTCACATATATTGTGCTCTTCGTTTATCAGGCGAAGGTAAGTACGACTTACAAAATATATACAAAATACATAGGTATAGTACTCTTACAGTAGTACATTATACTTACAAAAAATACATAGGTATAGTTTTTTTTTCTTTTTTTTTATGTTAGATGGGGCAGACGAGCAGACGGGTCACCTGATGGAAAGTGACTATTGCATCCCATGAACGTCTGCAACTCAGGAGTCACAAACGCGCTGCCGGTCTTATAGGAAGGAGTACGCTCTTTTCTTAAAGATTTGAAGGTTGTGTCGGTCCGTACACTTACATGTACGTCTATAGTCTCTGGCATCCCTAGTATCTCCAAAGGGGCACGCAGAGGCGTAGTAAACATTTCGCTAACTTGATCGCACTCTCACGATAGGGAAAAAGCCTAATTGCTTAGAGATAAACATCAGATCAACTTCTTACACAACACACAGTGCGTGGAACTGAGGTCATCGGAGAATTTAAAACTAACAATGCCAAAACATTCCACCCAATTTGCAGGCAAATCTCTTACTGTGTAAGCAGTAAGACTTTGGAACAACTTTGCCTGTTTTTAAATAAATTGCATTATATATGGTAATTGCTTTTGCTCGCAGCTCCGCCTGCTGTAAATCGCGGTTTCAAGTAGCATATGCCTTTCCTCAAGAATCAAAGTATCTCCATACCAAATTTCACATTTCTCGACCAGATAATAAGCTAAAATATTTAGTAAATAATAACTCTGTATGTCACAATGAAAATTATCCTTGTATTGGAAGGACTTTTTAAAGAGTCAAAACCAACCAATAAATTTTCGCAGGCTTTTGATCCAGGAGAAGTGCTATATCTGTATGAGTCTCCAGCTGGATATGGACTCATTGTGTTGCGGATCACAGCCTGGTGTATGTTCGCCTATTCCACCTTCTTTACTGTGAGGAAATATCCGGAGAAGGTAATTCTTAATTTTTAAATTAGTTCTCACCCCTTATAAGTCAAAATATTATATTGAAAGTAGCCACAGGTTGGTTTTTCTCTCGGTTATTATATTAGTATGGATGTTGCTGTGTTTTAATGTACAAAAATTTTATTTAAGTAAGTTAAATCCTGTTCTAGAACTCATATTATAAGCATAAACTATATTTATATAGATAAATTTAACATACCTAATGTTTTTGGGTAGGTTTGAGGATGCGTAAAAGTTTATGGTCCAGATGTCTTAATAACTGCTGTTCCTGGATCCATCCTATTTTAGGCGTAGTGACACACCATGTGGTTTTAGTGGATTCGATTAAGACACACCTCTGCGTCGCAAGCACCAGTTGGGTAATGAACCGAGGGGGTTTACCACCCATAAAAAAGCAGTAACAGTTTGCTAGGTATTACTCAATATATAAGATGTCACACAGCCGCATAGCGCTCGACACTAGTAGTAGTCGTTGTACCGCCCTGCCCGCTGTCTGCCCAGCCTTCTGTATCAAGCGGTCATGCCAAACTCTAACAACTTCATATCGCATTCACGTTTTAGACGGTGAACTGTATGCTGTATGTCTGCCATAATCATAATCGTAAAAGCCAGTATTCAGTCTTCTCCTCAATCTATGTTTTGTTCGACTTGTTATGTTCTTCAAGTGGTTGTAGACCTTCTACATCCGGCTTAAGAAGTTGCATCTAGTTAAAGAATTTATATTTACCTCTTTGAGACTTTTACATGATTATTATATATGGAGTATTTAAAATCACGAATAGCATAAGGTATACCTAGTTCTTCGTGTACGACTCGGTCTTGTTTAATTTGTACTACTTATTTTTTTTAAATGCATGGCAAACAATAATATCGAGAAATTTGTTTCAGAACGTATTTTATTGTCCATTCTTCATCTGTGGCACACTGTGGTTCTACGCGGGACCGTTGTTCATTTTAACAGCTAACTCTTATATAGGTATATAACTTCTTGCTATGCGATATTACATTAATTATTTTAGTATTTTATTAAGGACACCATTCAACTTTAATTCTCAGACAAATGGGTGCGGGAGAGCGTCGTGACAGCCGTTTTGCTATTCATATCATTCAGTGGACACATTATGTTTTTGGTAAGTACTAGAAAAGTTCAGTACGGTGTTACCAGTTGGGTAAGCCAGGCTAGAAGTTAGCCTTTGTGTATTATCCTGCACTTCAAGGCTAGAGAATTCCTCTATGCGCCGTTGCATTCTCGCTCGGGGCATTCGTTGTATTCGAACTTATAATCTTAACAAGAACTCCGGCCGGCGTATCGTATGTTGCGATAAGCTTTGATATTTTATTATTATGTTAAAATGGTTAGCCTATATAGTTATGTAGCCCCCAAGAGCACAAATAAAAAAAAATGTTACTTTTCTATAACTGGAGACAAAAAAAAACACCGCATTTTTCTACGCCACATTAGTAAAAGTAAGCGGAGTATTGTAAAAAGTACCATATTGCTGGTAGGCAGTGCTACAGAGGATCTTCTTTGTACACATATTGTATAAATAATTTTGTTTCAGATTTTAACACTTCCAGTGTTCGCTAACAAGAACTTCCCCTACCACGTCAGAACTACGCAGATTGGTGTCATGGAGGTATTTCTTACTCTCAATTCAAGTTGAAAAATAGGTTCACTTCATAGTAGAAATTATAGAATTCATATTTTTTTTGGAATGATTTTTCGTATTAATCAATACAATTAAGTACCTAGGACTCTCGCATAGATTTAGGGAACTACTGGTGAGCATCTTAAATATACCTATTGCCAACAAGGCAAAGCCTCTCGGAAGTGCGAACAACATAATAGAACATGAGAAGTGTGGGACAGTTCTCCCTTCTTGAGTATACACTGACAGTACCTATTGGTATAATATAAAAAAAAATTAGAATTAACTTTTAAATTTCAAAAAGGATCAGAGGTTTGCGCAAGAATTTTAGGGTTACCAGTTAGAAAATACTTAAAACTTAAAAACTTTTTATGGAATGTATTTTCCTTCTTACGTACAAAGAAATGAAACAAATAGTTTATATTTTAATGTAAACTATAATGTTAATAAAAATAACTTTTAGGTGACTGGAAATTCAGCACTAGATGGGTTTGGTCCAAACGCATACCACCCGACGAACGCTCCGCCACAAACTGTCATCATTCCGCTCACTAGGTAAGTAACGGAAGTTTTAAAACTTCGATACACAGTTCGATACGATACAATAAATTTTGCGGCAGCAGTGCATAGATGAGTTATCTCGTTAGTCACCCGTTCCTATCCCACCGCATTTTATTTGGGATCACTACAATATAATATGTATAACATTCCAAAAGGGTCTTGGTGGGATACTTTAGCGGTCGGTCGCCTGTCTGAGGGCTTCTGAGGTGGCTTCGTGATAGTAATAAATAAATTAAAGGAAGAGGCAGCTTCGTGGTAGTAAATAATAAAGCAGATAAATTGTACCTATCGTCAGTCTATTCGTCGGCTAGAACTCCTGGACGAAACCTTAGGAACCTTGGAATGATATTTTGATAACCCAAAAACATCTGTTTCAGAAGAACAGAAGAGCTAATAGGCAATATGTACAGTCAATACATTGCTTCAGCTCCTCCACTATCTATAGAAGATCAGCTACCAAAATTGAACGGTTTTTCCAAGAAGAAAGAAATTTCACCAAAACATCGTCTTCTATCGCAAGACAGTACTGAAACAAATTCTTCAGCAGATATAAAACCTACTTTAACTAAAGGTGAACCTCCGAAAGAAATATTCACTGTTGAAAGTCAAATTTCAAAAATGGAACATCAAGTGTTGCCAGCCGAAAATATTACATATGAGTTACCAGAAGATAAAAATATACTAAATTTAGAGAATGGAGATCTGCCGCTCGTTTCAAGATCTAGAAGGAATTTGCTGGAGCCGATTAAGAGAGAAGATAATGTGCCGTCTTGGTCTTTAGCAAAGGGTCCATGTATTGTAGGAATGCAGAGGAAAGCTAAGAGTGCAGATGAAGGTAAACTTATTTGAAAAATGATTCTTGAAGACTTCGATTTTCAAAACTGTTGAGCAACACTCGTAATAAAATATTTTAGATTTCTATGCTACATATTAATAGTTGAGTAAAAAAAAGAGCATCTCCGCATAAAAGGTGTTCAAGACATGATAAATTAAAGCTCTATTTCGTTGGAGGTGGAATATTTACATCATTTATAAATTGGCAACCTTGACTACCATACAATAATTTAAAAACAAAATTATTAAAATCGGTGTATAAATGGTAAAGATACTGCGAACATGCATAAAAACAATCGAATTGAGATCCTTTGAACCTTTTGTTAGAAGTTTTTAAAATTTGAAGTATTTTGAAATGAAAGGCGTTTCTCACCACAATTTGTCTACACTAGATGGCGCTAGGCGGTAGTCTCAAATTCTAACAGATGTTTTAGTAAATTATATTTTTCAGATGTACCAGAGGTCAATAACCATCTCATTAATGGCCGTAAGGTGCCACCAGTCAGAAATGGTCTGCAACCAAGTTCTGGAGAGATCTCCACTATACACGAAGGCAGGATCCAAAGTTACAAAAACAACGTCAGTAAGGCGACAATAGATCTCTTTAGTGTAGGTACCAATAAGGGTTGAATAGATTAGTAGTAATTTAAACCGATATCCTAAAATGATAATGAATTTTCATTTATAAACTATCTGTACGGATTTATATTTTATTAGAACCCCAATTTTATTTTTACCAAAGTAATAGTAGCGTAAGTTATAATAATATTTCAAAGGTTATCTATCGTCCAATGGAAGTCCCATGAAAATCGAACATACCGTTTTGAAGATTTGACGGCAAAAAGACAGACTACAATTTTTGAAACAATTTTTTTGTAAAATACCACTGTTATTATGATATTACTTAATTTTATTTATTTGTATAAATGTATGGATAAGAAGATACTTTTTAACCCATATTCAAAAACTGGCAACGTGTTGTATGTTCAGCAATAATTTGGCAAAATATCACGCTGTAAAAAGTAAAGAGTTGTTCTTAAAAGTGTTTTTAAATAAAATAAAAAATATACTTTTAAACGCAGTCGTAATCGTCGGAACTTTATTAAATTTTATAAACGCAATTCTTTTGTTTTGTAATTGAGTAAGCGACAGAAGGTCGCATTCACATATTCAAATTTTGCTTTTACTTACAATTGGAATATTTGTTTTTTTTTTAAGTATAAATACATGTCTAAATATTTGTATAATAGATAATTTTCATCGTGGTAATACTTTTATCAAAACATAAGTATTTGTAAGTGCATCCTTGTTTTAATTGCTTTTGTTGTAATACTCATTTACCTAATTATGTAAGATAATGTATTTTATACAAATGAATTGACTGAAATACACTATATTAGTAAGATTTACATTTAAAAGGTAAGTAGGTACGCCTTTACAATTACATAAGTGTAAACTAAAGTATGTTGAGGACTTGATACACTCTGAGACCGAAATATGGTACCTATTCAGTTAATTCGTCAGACGTTCAAAATTGAAAATTCAAATATTCTATGTAATGCTATATAATTAGATACTCGGCGAACGATTTTCCGAATAATTCGGTGAATTATTAGTAGGTACTGTAGTACCGAACCGATTATACCCGAAAAAGTTGTTCACTTACCTACTCGCATTCATGCTTAGTCGGTACTCGACAAGTACCTATCTAAATGAGGCATCAGAAAGTATGTACCTACACCTTAAAAAAGGGTGAGAAAACATTATTTATCAGAATATCATATATCGATATTTAATTCCAAACAGCCATAGATACATTGCTGGAAAAGGTTAGATACGCCCTTTTTAATCAGTGGATATGGTTTTAAATCTACCCTCGCTTTGAGAAAGTGATAAAATACATCACGAATCTTGTACGAGCTATGTTTTACAATAACCTAAACTTGCCTACATTTGTGGCGACTTTCACATAGCAAAAACTTCATTGTTGTCTAACGAAGTCAAAACATTATTTCACATAATAACTAACTAATACTGCATTGCCAACATTTTTGATTTGCATTAGAATACATAGTTACTACTTCTTAATAGCATCTGTTGGGCTGCAGTCCGTTAGGCATTATCACCTCGCCTGATGGGTGAATCCTGAAGGACAAGCGGTCCTCCAAAAAATGGAGTGAAATTAATTCTAATTATTAACAAAACAATTAAATTGTAAAATTCTTCTGAGTTAGATTTTGAGTGCGTGTGATATTTTTTTTCTAGTCGTAGAATTAAATTTATTCCTGAACATGAAGCCTTTTATTTATTGAAAATCGCCTTAAACAATTATATACCTGCACTGACATCTAAGGCCCCGAACTAATAAACTGAGGTGGATTAAACGTCCACATTTTGCAGATTATTATTTTAGTTCCGCTTACGTAATATGGGGCCATTAAATAACGCTCGTAGACATGGTGATTATTGCTCCTTTTGAATCGTATTCATATGATTGGTCTTAGTCTGCGATTTCACCTGTGGTTGTGATTTGGGTCATAGACCATTAAAATCAATCAAAGTTCTTTGATAACGACAACGTAATAATGATAAGTCGCAGTGGTTTTGTAAATTAGTCACAGGTGTTATTATATGATTTATAAATCATATGAATATTACTGGTGATTGAGATTTTATTCCATCCCTACACGCTAGTACCAGACTGTTTATTTTGATATTTATGTATGTGCATGTATTGTATGTGTATACCTGGGACGTCTATGTACATATATATGTAGTAATGAATATAGTATTTTATTTATAGTATATATATGTAAGTTAGACTTTTCTTTAATTAAAAAAAAATATAATAAATAAAGTCAAATTCTACATCACCCGAAGGTGCAAGAGAAACCAGAGAATTTGACTTTATTTATATTAAATTTATTAATTTAAGATAAATCTAACTTACATATATACACTATATACTACCTACTAGTAAAATAGACAGCTACCTGGTAGTAAAATATTATCAAAATCAGTCCAGCCGTTTGACTTCCTTATGTTCCAATTTCTCTTCTGCACCACTCTAAGGACAACTACGAGTAGAATGTAATGTAAAATCCAGGTAGTATGCAAAAAAAAGGTTGTTGAAATAAAATACCAAAACTTTAGAATAATATTTTATCTTTTTAACAAAATAAACACCAGACGGTATCCCAAAATGCCTACAATCTATTAACAACTTCGAGTACTGCATTAACAACATAATACATTAATTATTTCATAGTGAAGTATAGTTTTATTTATTTATAAAGAAATCATTCATAGGGTGAAAGACCAAATTGTCAACACTACATTTGAAAATGAGAATTTATTTAGCAAGTAAATAAAATTCATAACAAGTGAATTAAGCTGCTTTAATTTTATAAAAATAATAACCTATTAAAAACAAGAGGTTCCTTTCATAATCTGATTGCAATCTAAAACTTTGCCAAATCAAAATTAATATGCATATTTCAACTTTTTTTTTAAGTCTGTTAGCAATTGTATTAAATTGGATTTAAATAGAAATACGATTGAAAATTTTGTGCGTGTTATCAACAGAGAATTTGTACATTTTTTAGGAAAAACTCATTCGTTTTAGAAACAGGCAACACTTGAGCAAAGTACTGAGCAGTAAATCGCTATTTTAAATTTATTATTTGTGCTAAGAAGAGAAAATAAGAGATTCAATGAGCTAAAGTTTTTAGCTGCGTTGACACGATATGAGTTTTTTTATAACTTTTTTAATTATTAAATACTATCTTATATTTTGCATCAGTTTACTGGGCATAGATAATTAATCTACAGATCATAACTAGTTTATAGTCTTCGTGTCAACACAGCTTCAAAAACAAAAATATTTAATCAGCTTTATAATAAACATTGAAGATAAGTAATCACATAATTATTATAATTTTTTTAACTACAATAAATGCATTAATGTATACAAAGGCATAATATTTAACATTTACATATTAAATACATATTATTATTATATAAATGTAGGGTGAAATCGCTCAAATTTACTTTAAAAACATTAGTAAAAAAAATACGCTTTTATTCCGTGCACGTGCACGAAAAGAGTATAATTCCTATAATTATATAATAAAAGAGTTCCTGATAGAGTATAATTATTCTCATCTCCATAAATGTGCACCAAAAGTATTCTTAATATTAACACCAACAATTACAAGCAACATTTAAAAGCATCCATAACACGGAGTCAATTTTTGAGAAAAATATTAATTTTCACGTGCCAACGTTACTTGTGACTACGACGCGGTCTAAAGCCCATTAGAAAAATATATAATTTAAAAAAGGAATGTTAAAATCACAAACAATTTTTTGTTATAATAAACGTTGCATCAACCAAACATATGCGACTTCACCCTATTTGATATTATTCAAATACTCGTCGTTTAATAAATCACCCCACAAAGTACCTTACAACCAATAAAAAAAAACATTGTACTGTGCATCTGTTTTTACAGAAAAAATCACAACAATGATTGTGTGCTACTTATTTTTAAATATTACGCACCAAGTTGTCTATGGCCAGGATGCAGGGCTTTGTAAGAACAGCAGGCAAGTTATTAAAACTCAGAAAAATGATCTCATTTCATAACTTCAGAGCGTTTGAAAAAAAAAATATGATGGGCGGGAATATTTTTTGTAGAGCGCTTGTCAAAATTATAATTGACGTTACTGTCACCTGAATTATGGCCACTATAAGCTATATCATACTTGTACTTTAAAATTACAATGTCAAAATATGTGACTATTTTTAAATAATCATAAAGCTAACTCTATGGCGTAAATGTTCCTTTATAAAAACATATTTTAAACATAACAAAGATACAACAATCCATGTTCTTAATGCACATAATTTGTTCATTATTAGTTTTCAACTTTGTTTGTCAACAGATAAATCGATTATATATTTCATCTATTAACGTAGTTGTGCTACAAATTACAGACTAAAATTAAAAAAAAAAAAACCAATCTTTTATGACTACTTGTGTTTTTTTTTATTCAACATTATTGTAACAGACACATAACGCGCGTATGACAAGTCTTGTATTGCAAACTTCCATATAACATAGGTACTGTAACGATGGTTATCAAAACTCTCTGCATATCCTCTCTATCCACAGTGTGTGATCTATGAAATGATGGTGATTTAATGGCTAGCAAAATGATGGTAGCATCATTACACATTGGAACAAGTTATTACACGCACGTAACAGATTCGTATGTATTTTAGTATACTATTATCATGCCGTTTGGTACTCCTTTTTCAACTTTAAGAATTCTAAATTAAGAAAAAATATTGGTTTTTGAGTTTAGTCACTAGCTTGAGAGTGTGCTAAGACTGAATTCATTATTGTTAGATACTAATGCCCTTACTTCGATCGCTGATTTTAATTGTAGACGAAGTATTAATCGATTTTACTAACAATAATATTACAAAGCCTTCACACTCATCACACTATAAAACTAAACTTAGTTAAGTTACCAAAATCAATAATCGACTATCTAAACATAAACACCATATTGCCATTTGTTATTTTGAAGATATTTTTTTTGGTTGAATGAGGTCACCTTTGATAACCAATTTCTGAAGGATGGTAGGTCCTCCTAGGGGCTACTCTAGGAGAGATGCGGTGACCAGAAATGGGTGTCATTCAGTTAAAAATTGTTTAGTTATGCACTGTTGTGAAAAATTACTAAAATTGAAGCCCTTAATTTTAGTGCATAATTTTTTTTATCTATCTCTTTACATACATGTACGTACGATCGTTAGGTATTTCTTAAAGGTGCAATGATAGAGAAGAAAACAAAAGAAAACATTTTTTACACCAAGGAACTAATAAAAAACTAGGCTGATGGTAGCTTTCACCGTATGCCATAGACGTTTGCAACACCAGAGAGAGAGAGAGAGAGAGAGACCACCGTCACATTGCCAACTAAATATAATTCAACAGGTAACATTTTTACATGGGTACTTTCTTCTAAGCTTTTATCGACTAAACTCGAATTAATTTTATTGATATGTGCATAAATAATCGATGTTTTCTGTGAGGTTTCAAACTTGGTAGGTAGGATATAAGTAACTTGTATCGATCTTTAACAAAGCCCTGGACCATTTAAAAACCATACGTTATCATAAAGAACATAATAATTAAAGGACCTAAGTTTGTCATTTATCAGAAAATCATTGTAGATCTGTGCGTACCATCTCGTGAGCAATTAAAAAAAAGGGAGTATTAAATTTCAAATCCGTTTTGTACTAGTTAGAGAGTATATGTATTAACTATTAACACATAATTATTAAGTGTGTGTATTTTCAGTAAAAAACTATATTAACTCCGCCATTTCACAATCTGCCATTTTAGAATCGTTACAATAAAGTTTGGTTTTACCAAAAAAATAATTGATTATAATAAATTATTTTTACATTTGATTATATCATTATATGGAATATACTGGAATTTAAGCTTTAAGAGAATAAGCGGTTTATTAGAGATAATTTTACGATCAACTTTGAAATATTTTTTCCTTAAGTTTCGTCTCGTCACTGTAACCTATCACATTTATGGAATGAAAGAAAAACTTAATGCAGACATTTAAAAGCCACTTAATTGTGGAACTTCGTAAGTTTTGTCACCTTTAAAGAACTCTAGCAACATAGGGAGACTTCATAAGATATGATGATTAAATTGAGTGTTATTAAAAAGTAACGGCACTAAGCCAAGAATAGAAGATTCTCTTTTTTTCTATTTAAAAGTTAGGGCGTACTGAGCGCAGGATGGGACGGCGATGAGATCTAGTTATCGTCGCGCTCGGAGTCTAGTAGTACGCTAGTACACTTTAACCGCGCACGGCAAGTCGCCGTCCCGCCCCGCTCGCTGTGTGCCCCAACCTTAATTATTTTTAACAATGGGTTATATGTAGCAATCTGAAAAATGTATTATCTCTAACAAACCCGCTTTTTATTCGACTAAAGGAATTATGTACACAGAAACCTGTACTTTTATACGTAAAGTCTTGTTTTACATCTAAGACTACGGTGGTTGACCCAAACCCGACTAATCGACTAATACTATGCCTCCCACTAGCGATGATTGAACTGAAAAACAAAATCGATAGTAAGTAAAATCGGCCAAGTTGGTAGTGAAGTGACTATTTTATTTCCAAATTAAAATTATTATCAAAAAAAGAAGTATGTATTAACTTGATTTTCGGATTGCAGCAATTTACACAAAATCTAAACTAAAGCCAAAACCCACAAAAAATCTAAAAGTATCTTTTTTTATGTTAGAGAGGGCAGACGAGCAGACGGGTCCCCTGATGGAAAGTGACCATCGCCGCCCATGAACGTCTGCAACGCAGGAGTCACAAAGTCGTTGCCGGCCTTTTAGTAAGGAGTACGCTCCTTTCTTGAAGGTTTGAAGGTCGTATCGGTCCGGAAATACCGCAGACGATATTCCACAGATTACATCAAAACATGTTGGTTTTCGATTATTCTAATATTTTGTTACCAAATAAAGTAGTTATATATTTCAGAGAAGTATGAGACATTTATTCTTACAATTATTATTTGAAAATATATATTTACCTGCATTGCATTTAAAAGCTATGTCGCGTTCTTGAACGTTGCTTTTGATTCAGCTACTTTGTCCGATGGGTCCTGCAGTATGTAAATAAATTATTTAGTTTAAAGGCAAAAACCTAAGAACTTGTGGCGTTGCAAAGTTAAGTAATCCTAGACAGGTCAGTCTATGGATGTGTGCCCATTCTTAACACATTGAGACCCCTCCATGCCTCGGAGAGCACTTTAAACCGCAATACGAACTTCTTTGGCAATCGTTACAAGTAGTTGGAGCCCTAAAAAGTCCAACAAACAGTTTCTACAAAAACTATCCCACAAATTCTAAATTCGCCCTTATAGGTATCATGAATTACGAGACGTGGCACGCGCCCTTCGCATTTTAAATTACTAAATCGACTATTAAATCGATTATTAATGAAATATCTCCTTCCTCCGATCCTTTTTCCCAAACTAGGTCTGAGTTGGTTTTAACTCTACTACGATACGACGGAATTTCGAATTGCATCGACTGCCATCAGACCTCCACAACCCAGTTACTAGGTGATATCGAAGTGTATTTATGGTAATTTAATAATGAAATATCATCATTAAACATCGAGTGAGCCATATCACACGCCTCTGTCCGTCACACATACAGCCATCTGATCTCAAACAAGACAGATTCTGTTTTATTTTTAATATTGTACCACATTCACACAACGCCATCTAGTCACAAACTAAGCAGAACTTGTACTATGGTTACTAGACCACTGATATAAATACACATATACTATTTTTTGTAAATACATACTTATTATACATAGAAACACCCAGACCAAATCAAACATTAAATGTTCATGCACACAAATGCTTGACTTGAGCGGGAATCGAACCCGCGATCTTTGGAATAGCAGTCTGCTACACAAACCACATTCGGTCTATATAAATATGTTCTATATTGCTAAAAGTACATTACACCCGGCGGAGCACTCTTAGGGGTATTATACACTGACCTCGTCTAACAAGTCGGAGGTATGTCCATTCCTCATCGACTCCCGGAGCGTGTCGTCATCGTCCTCGTCTGTGGGCACATCGTAGAACTCCTCGCTGTCCATTTCACCATCTGTGCCTATACAATTTAAAATAAAAACTAAAATTATAGACATTACAGGGATGTGATAAATTAATCTATCATCGATTTTTTAACAATCATTTTCTGATCATTGCCTTACTTTAACAATACATTTAAATATACAGTAATTCATTCTATAATTCGGTCCATTGGGCTCAGAGCTAAAGGACCACAGACATACAGACCCTAAACTGGTCCTTTTTGCGTCAGAAGTTAAAAAAAAATGTGTGTAAAACACATAGACACGATAATCGGCCAATGTCTCAAATCATTGAACTCTCATGGTCTAAACAGGTTTGAGTCACAGCTTGACCAACCTTTATTGTATATCGCTCAGATTTATTACCGATAAGATGAAACTAGTGTTACTTATTAAATATTTCAAAATATCGATGTTGTTAATAAATTTTATTCGTAGTGTATTTGCTATTCCAGACTATAATCCATCTGCGTCTAACTCCATCCAAATATGTTTAGCCATTCTGGCGTGATTGAGTAGCAAACATCCTTATTTGTATCCTCATAAACATTCGCGTTTTAATATTAATGGGATATATTTATGTGTGAGGGATTAAGAATACAGCGTGTCGCGGTGGCTGTCGAGAGTGAGTTGGTGTGAACTTAACTCACAGCAGGCCCTCTGATGTACTGCACTTACCTACCACAGATGCGTAGTCAGTCATGTACTCGGAGTCTGATACGTAGCTCGGTTCAGGTGCATCAACGGCGTCCCCAGAAGGGGTCGCTTTGACCTGTCGTACTTTGCGAACCTTCTTCTGCTTTTGGCGTCGCATGTGTCTGGTAACAAAACTGCCTTTATAGATTAAACTACCTGCACTCCGCGGTGCAATCCACGTATTTTCGATTCCTTGCTCATCCCACAGGAACACTACTTTTTAAGGGATAAAAAGCATATGTGTTAATCCAGCTACCTTGAAACCAAATTTTATCAAAATTGGTCCAGTCGTTCGAGCGTGAAGAAGTTACAAACATACAAACACACACACTCACAAACCTTCGCCTTTGTAATATTAGCGTGATGTTTTATTCTAGAATAAAACAACATTTCCTTACAAGTAAACTTAGCCTGTTTTGGAATGTGGATTAAAATCTGTATGAAATGATTAGAAAGATGGAAAAGGGAGTGTGTAACAGGAAGCTGGGGAAGCGGGTGCTATATGATTTGACTAATATCTATTAGTACCAGATATTATACACTAACTTTTGCCCGCGGCTCCGCCCGTATTTCGGTCCGTGTATGTCGGTTATCGTAGTAAAAAGTAGCCTGTTACTCGCTGATAATGTAGCTTTAAATTAATGACAGAATTTAAAAAATCGGTTTAGTGGTTTAGGCGTTAAAGTGTAACAAACAAACAAACTCACTTGCATATATATAATAATATAAGTATACAAGTATGGATATAGTGAGGCTCGCCAGGACATCCAGACTCAGAACAACAATTTGTGGATTACACAAAGTGCTGTCAAATGTGGGGATCGAACCCACGACACCCAGCGCAGCAGGAAGAGGTGACCGCTTAAACCACTACGCCATCCGTGCAGGCAGTTTGAAATTATCTCGGATATAAAGTGCTAGTATAAACTATATTTCGTATGGTTAATAGAGCGAAGTCGCTCTTTACAGTGCAAAGGCGCGGCCTCCTACTAGGAGTGCTTGAATAAACTAGATCCAATTAAAATTATAGTACGATATTATTTATTCTGGTAATAAAACAAATACTGATACTACATGCATGAGCGTTGAGGATATGTGGCGCGGGCGCAGGCTCGTCACCGAACCAAAAGAAATTAAAAAGGATGGAGACAATTCATTTTTTAATTTTTTATTGTTTTTTATTATTGTTGACATTTCAGATTTTTATTTTATGCCACTGTTCAAACAAAAAATTAAATTCATCAATGCTAATTTACTATAGGCACAAAAGTTGACATAAGAGTATTTTTTATATATACATACAACTCACATGTGGTCTTAAAGTAAATCACTCTAAGTTGCAAGTTCATTTAAAAAATCCGGACTAGTGAGAGTTGGATTCGCCCACCGAAGGTTCCGTACAAATTTGTAGGTACATATTTTTATAGGTCAAGAATCGGTTCCCCCTGTTTCAGTTTCCAAAACCTATAATTACTTAAATTGTGTTTAATAAGTGAAATTGTACATCGATGATTAATAAAGTACTTTAAATAAAGACTATATTTTTATGATTAAATTACAAAATAGTTTTCAGATTTTTCCATGTACTTGTATAAGTATAAGACGATATTAATGGCCAAATTTTATAGTTCTAGGTTAACGGGAAGTACCCTATGAATTTTGCTTCCTTTGGCAGTGTCGTTTTTTTGCGCCATAAACGGTCCTATCTTTTTTTTACGTTAACTTAGAAGTTTGATTTTTCACAGCTTCAATGGACTGTAGACCTGAGTTTATGGTTTTAATTTCAACTCAATACCTCCCCGAGATAAAGGGTCTTGACAGACAGACAGACGGACGGACGGACAACAAAGTGATCTTATAAGGGTTCCGTTTTTTCCTTTTGAGGTACGGGGAACCCTAAAAAGGTGAGATTTCATTGTCTAATTTAAAATTAGAACATTCATAATAAGTATAGTATGAAAGCTATATCTTTCTGTGGTGTTAAAATTGTCCAAACTACCCTAATTTTTCCAAACAATTATAGTACAGAGTTATTTAAAAAGGTTTTTACAGAGTCTGTAGTGAGGCACTAAGAACTTACGTTTCTTTCTGTAATTCTCTGAGGGCTTCAAGTTCTGTTCTCATTGAAGACACCTGTTTGTCCAGTCTTGCCACTTCACTCACTGAAATATTGTACATAACGTTATATAACTGGCCATAGGTCTAGTGGTAGATGATCCTGGCTACTGAGTTACAGATTGTGGGTTTGGTTCTCACCAAAAACAAAAACTTTGTGATGAGAACAATGATTTGTCTATAACATCAACAGCCTTCAATAGTCCACTGCTGGACATAGGCCTCTCCTTAGAAAGCATATTGTGGCCTACTATACCACGCTGGCTAGACGGATTGGTATAGGGTTTGTATCAAGATTTCCTTTTCTTTGCAGTGCTATTGTTGTGTAGTTTGCATAATTTGTTTATGTTTAGTAATATAAAGTATGTTTATCAAGAATCTATTTACAATAACATAAACTCTGCCTATTTTTTTTGGGATTAAACAGCCATGTGTGAAATATTTTAGTATCTTTTCTTTGATTTTATATACTAACTCATCATACAGTGACTTTTTTGTATATACATAATGCATTAAAATAAAGAAATGGTCTACAGTTTTATTTAATTTTAATACATTACATTACCAAGAAAATTATTAAGTTGTTATCAAGCTTATCTCATAGTTTTTTTGTCCTGGGTGGGAATTGAGGCGTAGTGATTTTTTGTACATTTCAGTAATTTTTTACAAACTTTTACAAAGTCAATCCTACATTACTTTAATTATATTGTGTTGACATTGAAAATAACCTTGATTAGCAACCTTATAAACATTTAAATGAAGGCCCGATTACTGTTAGAGCAAGCCGTGTTTAACATCAAACACCTGGTCCCCGACTACTGGTAGCTGAAACGGAGTGCGGTTTTAGTCGGTTCGAGTCTGAGATTGCCACCAGAAAAAAAAAGGGAGTAGTCAGTTAAGTCCTAGGCATAAGAAAATCTTATTATTCGATAGCTACGACACAGGCTCTGCCTAATGTTTTTGTCACAGTAAATGTTACATGTTATTAGTTATATATTTGAAAATAAATCATTATTATTATTATTTTGCTATATATGGGCACAAGACTTAAGAGGTCTGTAAGTCACTTACATTCCAGGGTTAAGCCTTTTGATAGTGATACACATTGGTAGTTAACGAAAATTTAATTTTAACATACTATTAGTACTAGTTTTAACATAACTTAACCTAATGACATGTCAAAGTCCAAGACTGTTAGTATGAGTTCATTGTACAATAAAAAAACATTATTCTACCTTGTTTAAATTTTTAATTAGTATTGTAGATAAAAAGTCACCCAAGTCTTTTGAAACCTAATGGCGTATTCTTAACTAGGAAATATACTAACCTAACATTGATCTCCGCTTTTCAGCATAAATCTGTTCATATATGAAGACTCCAGCTGCTCCTACGATGCCGACAATAGCTGCTCCGACCATCACACGAGGAGAAAAATAACTGTGGCTATTCATGGTACACGCGATTTATTTCAAACTTGCTAAAAAATGTTATTAATCACTCCAACGTTCTTCCAAATTCACCAACTCGTGAAAATAATGTTAATTAACAGCTCGAAAGTAGTTTCATAACATTGAAAACCAATATTTTTGCAATTATACCCAGATAATTGCTAATAATTACATACGAAATTTGGAAGACCAACGCTTATTTCACGCGATATTCTTAGTGTTTTTAGTGGTTTTTTAACTTAAGATGCTTGAAACAAATATTAGCACGTAAATTATTATGAAATTTCACATAATTTTGCTGAATTTGCAAGTGAAATCGGCAGTCAATCAAAGCAAACAAAATATTTGTATTTCCGTTCCAGTTACGTTTACGTTGACAAATAAGTGGGTAAGGTGAGCTTTGTTTCCAAAACTTAGGCTACAAATATAAAAAATAATAGCCCTGTAATGCTACAGGGCACAGACAATATAAATCTAAATTTTGACTCTATTGAAGAACCAACGTCGATCCGGTTCAAAATTATAGTAAATGATTGGCTGTCTGTCCATAGTATTAATAGTTGTATACTATGCTGCTATCTTTGCATAGTATAATATGAAGTCGTTTTTTGTTCTTGTACGCTTAGATTAGAGCTTTCGAACTACTCAATGAAGAGACTGATTCAAGAGGAAGATTTACATACACAATAAATGTGTATTACAGTAAAGAAAATTCGAAGATTTGTAAGGTGAAGGTTTACACAACGAAACACCTTCAACGCGTTTGTGACTCCTGAGTTGCAGACGTTCATGGGCGTCGCGGGTTACTTTCCATCAGGTGATCTCTTGTATCTCTCATTCTCTCTCCATTATAAAAAAAATGTATTTGTGCGCTTACATTACAAACGAATGTACAACAGAATTGTACATCTTAAAAATATCTACAATAAAGTCTGGGATGGTATATGTTTATCTCTAAAGAATGATCCACAGTAAAAATTATCGAACACAAATTGAAAGAAATAATGGGTTATAAATGAAGCTATTTAAATCAATACGATATTATTGCTTTTCGATATACGTTCTACGTTGTACATTTATTGTAAATCAAAATTACTCTTTACAGCAAGATGTCTTGGATGAGATCTGGGATTTAAAATGCGGGAGCAGGGCAGCCGTGGGGGAGATAAAAATAAAAAATATATAAAATAAAAAATAGATAATGAATGATGTGTGAATAGATGTGGATGATGTGAAATTGATTTAGGCCAATCCAAATTTTATTATCTGTGGGGATAAGATTAATATTCGGTTGGTATCGAATAGCGACTATTGATCAGCAACACTGACTCTAATGTCATTTACAGATAATGCTGCTAAGTCAATATTGCGCGAGGTTTTTAAGTAACTCAAAATAGTAATACAATAACAAATCAAAAGCAACAAAAGTACAAGCTTTCACGACTGGAGTTTATTTCTAAGCCGTAACCTAACATCAATGCAACCATATCCTCCAGCATGGCTCAGACAACAGACAAAAATAAAAGTAATGAGATCGGTGATAATATTTCCGATATTTCTAATAGAGACTCCGTACAGTCTGTAGTTGCTTCTACATCAATAGCCCCAGATAGTGGTGAGGGTACAGTCACTGGTGATACCACTATAAGTAATGAGATAAATAAAGAAAATTTTCATGTAGAATCAAATGATACAGACACAGATAATCTCAATAAAACTGAATGTACCAAGGTTAGCGATGTTTTAGATGATTCTGAGGATATAGAGTTACAGTGGGATGAAGATGATGGTAACAATACAACAGTAGATACTGATACTCACAAAACTGATGATGAATTAGAAAATAACCTTCTTGAAGAAACAGAACAGAATAATCAAGGCAGTTTAACGAAATTAGTAAAAGAGACTAAACTTACTTTAGAGGATAAACTTTTACAAGAACTTATAACTTCTGCAGAAAACTGTGAGAATCGAGAACAGAAGACAACAGAAGTTCCGATGGAATTAAATGAAGATGAATTACTTCAAGAAGAACAACTTAAAGATTCAGAAGTTATGAATGTAGATACAAGTGACAAAGATTCTAAAAAACAAGAAGAATATTTAAAGGAAAACACTTTAGATGTCAGTATTGTAACGCAAGAAGAAAATAAATTTACTAAAATAATAGAAAAATTGAATAGTGATGATGATAGCCAGCATGATCTATCAATGGAGGTTGATGATGATGCTTCTGTAGAAGATTCTACATTACAAAAAAAAATTGGTTACGGTCTCAACCAACCAGATGTTATGATAGAAATACCTACACAAGAGACAATTGACATTAATGATTTTCCTGATAGTCCTATTGATGATGGAATTGATGACAGTATGGAGAAGATGCACAATATGAGTGAAGAAGAAGTGGCAGGTGATTATATTGATATTGCTACAGCAATAAGAGCCTAGTGGATGACATATTCTCATATAGCAATACCACTAGTGTAGGTTCGAAACTGTCGGAGAGGCCATGTTAAAGCAGAAAAGCTTTTTACCAAGTGAGACAGGTCCCCCCCCCCCCCCTATGTGACTCTTGGGTTGCAGATGTCCATCGGCAGCGGGAGTCACTTGCCATCAGGTGACCCATCTGCTTGCTGGCTCCATATACCAAAAACAACAGCAGTTAAGAAATCTGCTTTTTCTTCCAGCTAAATTATAAAATAGCTAAGTCACATTTTGATGTTTCACAAAATCAACTTTACATTTTAAGCTTGGTAACTAAAGCATTAGTAACACCCATAGAGACATAACCTAGAGAGAACAAGATCCCCAATCTTGCAATATAGGCAACGAGAGAGATGGATAATATATAGTCCCCTATACTATCTCTTTCTAGTCGAGCTCTGTGGTTGGCTGGGAAAATTTCTAATCTCCTGCTTGTTCTACAATTAAAACCATGCCCACTACACGATAGCATATTGCAGCTTGGCTAAACAGAGACAGAGGGAACAATGGGGCATCCATCTCTCTTCTTGCCTGTATCGCTTCCACTTACAGGCAGATATACAGTCTCTCGATGGTTACAGCAGTTGTAATGATGTATAACATTACCTCAGTGGCATTTCTAACATCATTCACAGGTCTTATAGGTTATATCAAATAACACACCCTGTTTATTACACTTATAACTAATTGCAGAAAAGCTAAAGATGTTTCATGTCTAAATAATAATAATAACCTCAGACATCACACACACGGCCATCTGATCAAAAAGTAGGCAGAGACTAACCAATGTTAACCAGTCTGCTGATAAACATACTTACATATTTCTAAACACATATTATAGGTAAATTACATGCAAACCCAGAATAAATCATCATGCTCATCACACAATATTTGTCTTGGGTGGGTATGAACCCCACAAACTCAGGATTAGTAGTCCGGATCACTAACGACAAGGCCAACAGGCCTGTTTTGCAAAATGCACAGCTACTTATTTGTAACTAGCTGACCCGCGCAACTTCGTCTGCGTCTCTCAATAGTAATAAATTTTCTCCGTTTTTGAAACATTCTTCATTGGTGCTCCGCTCCTATTGGTCTTAGCGTGATGATATATAGCCTATAGCCTTCCTCGATAAATGGGCTATCTAACACTGAAAGAATTTTTCAAATCGGACCAGTAGCTCCTGAGATTAGCGCATTCAAACAAACAAACAAACAAACAAACTCTTCAGCTTTATAATATTAGTATAGATTCTCACAGGAACAGTTTTTTTCCAGAAATTATTGAAAGCAGGATTCTGTAACATAAAAGTCATGTAAAACAAACATCTTAACTGCTAAATTAGCAAATGAGGTACAAAGTGTGTTACCTATGGCAAGTTACTTCAACATAGAAGGCCTGGTTGCCTCCATAATTTGCCCGAGGAGACTTAACAAAGAGACAAAACACACCGACTACGGAATCATCAGAAATATGACGTGTCTAGGGTAGGAACCAGCAGCACTTATAGAACAATTTTATTTTTGAAAATAAGACACACACATGGCAAAAGCTCACACATTTAAAGTGTTTCTGGTTTTTTCTAATCCCTAACTAAGTGCTAGCGTTAGAAGTTGGTTCACATTATTAGTCAAGTGAATGCTATCAAAACCCACACGCACTTAATTGCAATTGTTTTGTCAATTCTTTACAGCTCCTTCAGTTGAGAAACCCAAACCATCTACATCAACAGTCATCCCTAAAATGACCCCTGACACCTGTAATGAATCACAAGAAGTAACAGACTGTCTAGGCCTACTATCAGAGTCGTTTAGAGTAATGGATGAGGATGAGGATCAAGATGACGATGATGGTGATGCAGATGATGATGATGATGATTTTGATCAAGATGGTGAGTAAACCTATTACTAAATATCCATAATCACTTCTTATTTCTGTTGTACCACTATTGCACAGCAATAGTCTGGTTAATGGAAAAAAATAAGAGATTTTGCAACATTGTTCATTGATGCTTGTTTCCTATTGGTGGTAGTGTGATGTTATATAGCCTATAACCTTCTTTGATAAATGGGCTATCCAGTACTTAAAGAATCTTTCAATTAGAAGTAGTTCCTGAGATTACCAACCAATCAAACAAGTCTTCAGCTTTATAATATTAGTATAGATATATTTAGTGTATAAATAGGCAACCCAAAATAGTTAAGAACCATTGACGAATTTTAATGATACCAATTAAAACAAAAAACATTGATACTTTTTGCAGTAGTTTTCAAAATTAATAATAAATACACAAAAAACCAAAAGTAAGTCTTTATAATATTTATTTAAGTTATATTGGTATGAGAAAAGTTTCTCGTGTGGAATTTGTTTTTTTTTTCCACCAGCTCAACCTGAGTCAACTAGTAAAAAGCATTTTTTTTACTAAGGAGTATTTAAGTAAAGTTATAATCATTTATCACTCACATCATCACACACATCAACAGCCTTTAATAGTCCACTGCTGGACATAGGCCTCTCCTTAGAAAGAAGGTTTTATTTTTTATTTATCACTCATTGAAATGTAATCTATTAAAGTTTAACTCGATAATACAGAAAGTAGCAATCAAATGACAGCCGAACACTCCGAAGACTCTAGTGCACAACACTCTGAGAATGAACCAGCAAGAGGGGGTGTAGAACGGGAAGAAGAAAACTTTGCTTTTGATGAGGTAGACATAGATGAGGATGGTATTAATGGAGAGCTAAGAAGAGACATCAAGCAGGAAATAGAAGGCAATGATAGTGAAAACAGGATGGTGAGTAATATAGTTGTCATAACTTCTACTATTCTTCTTAATTCCACTAAGATACATGGGTATAGGGTTAACTCTTAACTAACTTTTAGTCATGTTGCCAGGGGCACAAAATAGAAAATAGGGCTTCGCCTAGGTAATGGGGATGCTAGTTACTAAAGTTATTATTTTAATATAGAAGTTTAAACTTTAGTATATATATACTCCATAACTTTTTTTTATAGCCCTTAATATCAGGTCTAAAACATGCGAGAAAAACATCCGAAATAAAGAAAGAAAAAAGTGAAAACGATGGATCAACATCTGTAACAAAAGAAAAAGATGGTACAAGTAAACCCCAGGAGAATATAAAGAAAGAAAAAGATGATAACATTTTATCAACCTGTGTCCAAAAAGAAAATGTCAGTACAAGTGTATCACAAGGTAATTTAGAGATGGCAGTAGAAGACAATGTTATATCAACATGTGTAACAGAGGATAAAGAAAGTACAAGGAAATCCCAAGGCAATGTAATGAAAGAAAAAGAAGACAGCATCATATCAATATGTGTTACAAAAGAAAAAGAAGCCATAATGGTATCGCAAGATAACATGAATAATAAAAATGAAGAAGCAATCCCATCGAAAGAAGCGACAGAAAAATCGCAAGGGGACACTATTCATTCGGAAAACGATGCTGTCCAACTCGAAAGCGCTGTTCAATCTATAGATCCGGTAAATAAAGAAAAAGAAGATGGAACCCCATTCGGAGTTAAAATAAAGATAGAGAAAGAAGATTTCACAAAACCAAGAAGTACCATTGTTGCAACACAAATAGAGACGAAATATATTGAAACCCAAATTGTAAGTAAATTTTCTTATTTCTTTTCTGTCATTTGAAAAATTCGTTTTTCTTATGTTTTTTCTTTTATATCTGGCGAAGACCACACGCTGATTAAATCGGGATAGTGTAGGGGACCATGTCCAGGAGAAGCTGAGTCATGTTTAATTCCCACTCTCTTCCTTACCAGGTTATCTTCCCTTTCGTTACTAGACTAGGGATTTCGTTACTAGACTATCTGGTTTTATTTCTCCTTTCTTCTTATATAATTATTCTAGGTCCTGTCGCGTTAGTATAAAGCGCCCCCACGACCTTAGTAATAAATATCGATTAGTGATTGAGCTTTCCCACTGAGCTCATGCTCAGTGGGAAAATGGTGGCTGGCTCGACCAGGGTAATATTACGGCCTCACAGATAACTAGTATTTAGCACTGCTTTCTTTCTTCACTGTGAGTGAGTGAGATCACCGAAGACCCGGAGGAGGAAAGCACACAAAGACCGGCACGGCACTTGTTGAATAAAAAACAAACCCATTAGCTAGGATTTAAGTCCACAACTATTCAGTTTAGTTCTGTTATCTAAAATAGTTATCTGTATAAAGCGATTTACAAAAAGTATTCGTTTACAGAATGATGATGTCATCGAACAAGTAATTGAAATAGAAACGGTGAAGATATCAGATGATGAAGATGATGAACCACCAAAGGAAACTCAAGAAAATTTACAGCAGAAAACTGATATGACGGCACTGTTAGAAAAACCATTACAGAGAACAACAGCTTTAGAGAAAAATACGTTAGTGGAGGAGGTGATAGCATTAGAGAAGACCACAGAACTAGAGAAGTCCACAGAGACGACCGCAGCATCAGAGACTACCGCATCACAAGAAACTACCGCTGTACAAGAGACTACCGCAGCACCAAAGACTATCGCAGCACAAGAAACTACCGCGGTATCAGAGACTACCGCAGCACCAGAGACTACCGCAGCACCAGAGACTACCGCAGGACCAGAGACTACCGCAGCAATAGAGAAACCACTAGAGATGGAGAAGACAACAGAACCAGATGATGTTACGATTAATCTTACACCAAATGAGACTGATACTGAAGGTACTAAATTATATTACACTAGAATTCGCCTGGTTGTCTAATTCCAACCATATTGGTAATCTTTTGTTGGAATTTTGACGACTGGATGGCGTAGTGGTTTGTGTAACGGACTGCTATTCCAAAGGTCGCGGGTTCGATTCCCGCTCAAGTCAAACATTTGTGTGCATGAACATTTGATGTTTGATTTGGTCTGGGTGTTTCTATGTATAATATGTATGTATTTACAAAAAAAAAGTATATATGTATTTATATCAGTTGTCTAGTACCCATAGTACAAGCTCTGCTTAGTTTGGGACTAGATGGCGTTGTGTGTATGTGGTAGAATATTATTATTATTATTATTATTAGAATTTGTATCATTTTCTATTTCATTACTAGCTTCAACCGGCAGCTCCGCCCGCGCGTTTGTCGAATCGCGGTAAAAAGTAGCATGTGTTACTCGCTGATAATGTAGCTTTCCATATTTGAAAGAATTTTTAAAATCAGTTTACCGGTTATTTACATTACATTACATTTATAATGTAAGTATGGAAGTATGAATAGTAATCATTAAAGAAAATTATTCTTATTCAGAGTCACATCCACCTGATGGCATTACAACGTCACCCAAATCCCCCCGGGTGAAGAACTTGACCGTCTCCACTCTACTTAACACAAACATTATTAGTGTTGTAGAATTGGAGGAGAGCTCTTCGGAGGAGGGTGAGTTTGTGCCCCACTTTTTTTAGTCTTTTATCGTTCCTATGACCAGTGTAACTTGAACTATTGTTGTATGTAGTTTTATATTATGATATGTTAATATATTTACTTGACTGCATAGTTTTACGTAGCCATATTCACATAATTTATAACTTTATAGCACATATTGTTTAAATTTTAAGTTTTATGCACTTCTATTTTGGAACAGTAAGTGTTCCACATATGATGTGATTCCGTGTGCCATTATTACCTTAAAAAAGGGGGGGGGGGGGGTTTAAAAGAATTATTATTAATGTATTAATAAAAAGATAATAAGAGATTGATATTTTTTTGGGTGTCTGAGCTGTGGGTACATATATTTAGAATATATTACGTGGAATTGAGAGTATAACCCGCTATAATTTCCTACATGGGCGATATATAGGATTTAGTATATTAATAGTTTTGTTATACCTTCAGTGAGTACTAAGATATTTTATATTGATGTCGACATTGTCATTTTGACTTGACACTGAAGAGCAGGCATTGTACGGCCGGACGCACCCATACGCATTGGGTATCCGTAACAAATCGGAATATCAGCATATTCCTCGGTAGTATGGTCATCATCTTTAACAGTATCAAAAGCACAAATCAAAGTCCAGTTAGCAATAGTTGGTCACGAATAGAAAAGGAAACAATCATAAAATATAAGCAAAGTTTTTTACTGGGTACTACCGGGTTATACGCTATTTTTTAATACTCCCGGTCATTCATCTTATAATATTATCTTAGACTATTATACCTTGTTAGATAGCTGACAATACATATATATTTTCTAACACATCTGATAGTTAACTGTCATAGATCTTTTTTTTAATTATTCGTTAAAGAAAAAAATTGTTTTACAAATTTATTTCTTTTTGTTATTATATAGCAACCATCTACTTCGGCCGAGTTTGTTGTTAGGTTTGGGATATGGTATTTCATATCGAAATCTATTAGAAAATCTGGCCACTACCCTTAAAGTATCTAGATTAGAGGATTCGAACCCGGTCGTTTTTTATAATCCCGGGATTTCGGGATTATCTACAGTTAATCTCGGGATCCCGGGATAGTCCCGGGATTGTATTGGCAATGGAAAGTGGTAGCAAAAAGACAGTAAAACATATCAAAATATTTTTTTTGTTTATCATTTAGTTTTGTGAGGACATAGAATATTTAAGTTTTAAATCTCCAAAAAGGCGGTTAACCAAAATTATATTTTCTTCTTATAAAATAAATAGTGCCTAGTTTTTTGTGTTGCGGCAAATAATTTATGAAACTAACAATAAACTTCAAAAAATCAACTTCTTTAGACTTATTTAGATAAACTATAAAAAAAGGACATAGGCCTCTCCTTTCTATGGAGAGGCCTATGTCCAGCAGTGGACTATTAAAGGCTGTTGATGATGATGATGATAAAAAAAAATCTTTATGCTTAAGAGACCAATGTTTATAGATACCTACTCATATTTTTTAATTAAATTGCCCAGAAACTTTATAAATTACACACTTTTACGCATAATCCAGAACCAAAAAAAAGGTCATTAGCAAAAAAAAAATGAAATCAGCTGTGTAGACAAGATGGCTGTCAAAACATCAAATCAAGGCAAGTGCGTTTCTTTTTACGCACATTTTTATTGACTTATGTAAAAAATGTATCAATCCCGAAGATCCCGGGATTGATTAAATTTGATCCCGAAAATTTCGGGACTAAAATATGACCGGGATCCCGAGATCTGGGATCCCGGGATCGAATCCTCTAATCTAGATCGACTTAACCAGTAACCCTGTATTCAACTTCCCAACATCCACTGTTGGGCCGCGACCCGCCGGGTGTGATTACCTCACCTGGTCGGACCTCCCTTTGTGTTGGAGGGTCGTGACACCCGTTCCTCCACATCTTTAACCCATCAAAATCTAATTTTCAGATATTCAGGAAGTAAGCAAAGAAAACCCACCAGAACATTCAATATCCCAGCTACAGAAACTACTGGACTCATCATTCAAACCTCCCCCACTGACGTCCATGACCACAGTCAACATACCTACTGGAATTGATATCATGTCAACTTCCGGTGCAGGCGAAAATAAGACACAAATCGTCACTAAAGAAGGAGAAGTTGTCATAAGTGGTGTACCGAAACGTCCCCCTCAGAAAACTGTGAGTAAAAAAATATTCCTTAAGTGTATAGTCATAAGTTATAAATTGTAGTGGACGTAGATGTGTTACTTAAGTTACTATGTTGCCTGCAGTTATGAAAAAGAATTACCATAATAATACTTTTTCTTAAACATTTCGTTCAATTTTTAATGGTTTTTAAGCTGTTATACTTTTATTGATATGAATTTTTTTGCTATCTGTTCTTATTGTTTACGCATTCTTTAAGATGCATTACATTACTGTGGTACAAAATGTCATTAAATAAATGCGGACCATTTTTAAAGTAGTAATACTACACGTCCATATACTCGAAGGGATAGACAGAGGAGTATTAAAACGCCTAAATTTTGCCGACTAAAGTTTTAGTCCCAGTTACGTAATAGGTATTGCTGTCAACCCGGGCACTTGAAGAATTAGATGTGAAGATTAGGATTACAAAGAAAGATAAAACGGGAGGTAATGGTAGGAAACGGATATTGCTTATACGGAAGGGACAGAAGCTTTTTTTTAAGATTTAAGAAGAAGATTTAAGCTATCGCTTAACCCCCCCTGGGTTAAGCGATAGCTTAAATTTACATCTTATAAAACATAAATACTTATTTTAGTAATATAATGCATTATTGATGTTATGAAGATGCTTTTTTATTTTATTTAACTTGCCATGAAAGAAGTCCCATGGAAAAAAACTGGACTAAACTTTTTACAAAGTCTGACTGACAAGTGAGATTAACGTGTCAATGGGACTTATATCATGGCGAGCGCTCTTAATGTGTTTCTTTTTTAGGCAAGACTGAATACTAGTGAAGTAACGATCAAGACAGCCAGTAGTTCAGAGCAGTCCTTGGTCATACCAGAAGCGAAGGTAGGTTCATATATAGTGGGCGCCACACGTTAAATAATTATAAAATTTCTAAATAAGTGTGTTTAATTACTGTTTCTAAATTATAGTACTTTAGAAGGTTATTTGGCTTTTGTCTGCTCCTGAGTCATGAAACAGCAATAAATGTCTAGGAATTTAACCCAATGCTAAGAAATAACGAAAAAAAAGAAACATTTTGAACTTACATAATCTTTTACGGATGGTATGCATTAGTGTTGTTAGGATTTGATTCTCGATTTATCACTTTATCATACAATACAATGCCTTTGAAGAGGTTTACTAGAATTATTTTTGTCGCTATCAAGTAGGGATGACATGGAGCTCCGTAACCATAACCGAAATTATCGGATATCCGAAAGAAAAAAATATCCGAAACTGTAACCTACCGTATTTTTTTTTTTTGGAACGAAGTTCCTTATCGCGCGTTGTGAAAGGGGGCTAGACGGAAAAAATTCTCACGAAAAGTTGTAACGACACTTTTTATGTCAGTCATTCAGCACCATCTATCGAATAGATAGGAAATCATTACTTTTCATCTCAGTATTTATTTTGAATTGTCACTTGTCAGTCATTCAGCGCCATCTATCGAATAGATAGGAAATCATTTCTCAAGGAGATTTCACCAATGTATAAATTGTTTTAATTAGAAACCAACTGAAAAATATGTAGGTAATAGCCGCTTTCATAGATGGCGTTGTAATTAAAATCATGTCGAATCAGTTTTACTCGATCGTCAGAACTTCGTTCCTATCGGGTGTCCCACGACACCACACGGCTTTTTTTAACAACCTTTCAAGAGGGCTGCTATTTATGTATCCGGCACTAGCGGGTTATATACCATTATTAAAAAAAGTAACTATAACATTTAAAAATGGTCATCACGGCGAATATTTTGAAAAGCAATAAAACTGTAATAAATGTTATATGGTTTCACTTTGTTATTCCGGATACATAAATAGCAGCCCTCGTATAGAGCCTAGATATCATATAGCGCCAAAATAGACGAAACAAATGAGCCCAAACAAGTTAAATGAACAAGCAAGTTAAAAGGTTGTAAAAATGATTTTATTTTATAGGCACAGGAACAGAGTATACCACCGGCCCCTACAAGACCAAAATTGAGTTTGGAGATATTTAGTTTAGATTCTGATGAAGAGGAAACTCCTGCTAAAGGTATGCTGTTTTACATTGTCAAGGATGTTGTTGTTTGTTTTAAGGAGTGATGCCTCTTTTTTATGTTTTTTTTTTTACCTGTAACCTGTACCTTTAAGCATAAAGAGAACACGGGGTACAGCTGCCTGTAAGTGGAAACGATACTGGCAACGAGCGTGATGGATACCCGATATTTATCTGTGTTTATCATCATCAGCCTATCGTAGTCCACTGCTGGACATAGGCCTCTCCCATTGCACGCCACTTAGATCGATTTTGGGTTTCTCGCATCCAGCTCCTGCCAGCCATCTTGCGCAAATCGTCACTCCACCTGGCCTGTGGGCGTCCTACACTACGTTTACCGAGACGCGGTCTCCACTTAAGAACTCGTTTTCCCCAACGGTTGTCGGTTCTGCGGCTAATATGGCCAGCTCACTGCCACTTCAGCTTGCTGATCCGGTAGGCTATGTCGGTGACCTTGGTTCTCTGCCGGATCACTTCATTTCTGATGCGATCCCTTAGAGAAACGCCGAGCATAGCCCTTTCCATAGCACGTTGAGCGACTTTGAACTTGTGGACCAGCCGTACCGTAAGTGTCCACGTTTCAGCTCCGTATGTCATGAAGGGTAGGACGCACTCATTAAAGACTTTCGTCTTAAGGCACTGTGGGATCGACGATGAGAAGACTCGACGTAGCTTCCCAAACGCTGCCCAACCCAATCGAATTCTTCTGTTCACCTCGTCCTCGAAGTTGTTTCTACCTAACTGCAATGTTTGCCCGAGGTACACATAATTGGAATTCGTCGAGTCTTTGCGCTAGATGGTTCGTGATGACTCTCGAAAACAGCTTGTAGATGTGGCTTAGAAGGGATATGGGTCGATAGTTCTTCAACCTGGTCTTGTCACCCTTTTTGAAGAACAAGACGACCACACTCCTACTCCACGCTTCCGGAGTTCTCCCTTCAAACAGGACAGCGTTGAAGAGCTTTCGGAGCTCCCTTAGTACAGGTTTACTCCCGGCCTTTAGCAGCTCTGTTGTAACGCCATCCTCTCCAGGGGCTTTTCCATTTTTCAGCTGTCCAAGAGCCATCTCGATTTCGTCAATGCTAACTTCTGGCAGGTCTTCGGTGTAGTGACGTGTTAATGTGGCTCTAGAGTCCTCATTTTTGGGATCAGGTCGAGATGAATGCGAAGCGTATAACCGGCCATAGAAGCTTTCCACTTCCAAAAGGACTGCCGGCTTCGAAGCAACGACTTCTCCGCTTTCTGTGGTCAACTTTGTCAGGTGGCTTCTTCCAGGAGATTGTACGAACACTTTTGACCCCTGATTTTGCTCCATCGCTCTTTCAATTGAAAGAGTATTGGAGCACCGGAGGTCGTGTCGTACGAGTTTACTGATCTCTCGGTTTAGAGTCCGCTTTGCCGACAAAGTGGCAGGTGTCTTTTCCCGTCGTTTCCTCATCAGCCCTAGGGTCCTTTCTGAAAGCTTCGACTTCCTGCCCTTACGCTGCATTTCACAAAATCTCGTACCTTCTTCCCTGAGGATCCGAACCACATTTTCGAGGTTGTGGTTTACGTCGATTGTGGTTTCCACGGCAGCGAATCGGTTTATCTGTGTTTAGCTACTCTGCTATTGGCTACTTATTAATCCCTCATATTCCCCAGCCGAACCCAGAGCTCGGCTAGAAGGAGATAGAGGGGTCTATCCATCTCTCTCATCTATATTGCAAGATTGGGGCTCCTGTTCACTCCATGCTTATACCTCTTAGGAACCTGGAGGCAAAGAACTCCACAGCTGTTTACACGAACCATTCGATATACTTTCCACTCCTCTGTGGTAAGCGAAATGTCAAAAAATAGAAAGATAAAAGTATAGTTTTAATACAAACTTAACTGATTGCCCGCAGAATCGGAAAAACTAAAGAAAAAAACGAAGAAATGCGTCAATAGCGCTTGCTCCAGTGGGTCAACAGCGCTTGAAGCGGCTGACATCGCTACCGCTGAGTATTACGACGCGGCTAGAAAAAAAAGGCCCCTTGTATGTCAGCCTTGTGCTGATGCTGTACTCGTCAGGAAACAGGTATATTTGTCTGCAAAGCTTTTTATGATTCTCTAAATTTAACAGTAAACGAGAAGGAAAGGAAATAAAAGAACGCTGAATTTAATGCTGTAATATGGTGCGTAAGCATTTTCTCTTAAAAGTACGGTATTTAAGTCCTAACAACAGGGTTGTTAAGAAAGGAGGAAGTAAGAAATGACCACCATGAATTAGTACCGTGATTATATACCATATAAAGTAGTGTTTTATTTTTGTGTATATTGTACTAATTAAATAAAAATTGGTTTAAAAAAAATCCAAACAAAGATTAATTAATTAGTTAACTATAACCGAAAAGATTAATATAATTAATAGTTAATAAAGTTTTCGTACGAAACGATAATTTCTTGGAACCTGATTGGTCAGGGCGCGGGGCATGATTGATGCGTCACTATTTTATTAACGCGAATAGACTATAGGTCAGTTTTCTTTAAACATGATCGTTTTCTTTTTAAGCGACTTCGAGAAAGGAAGAGGTTTTCAATTCGTCCAATTTGGAAAATTCTTTATTTTAGTATGAGTTTTTTTTATTTTAAATTTGTTTTGAACACCATCCATTTTGGACGGGAACGTTTTGGGCGAGGCAGCTAGAGTAAGGGATACCGCACGTCTCGAAAAAGCGGATTGAGACTGCAGCAGCTCGAAGAGGCCGGGGTCCGTTCTGTCCGTTTTATGATTGGAGTAGCCACTAGGTCATGGACATCAACTGGATTTCTTCGTCAACTTCATCAACTTGGGAGTTTAAGTGACCCGTCTGCTCGTCGGCTGCGTAATATAGATTACTCTTATTGTTTTAGAAACTAATGGCGGGCATCAAGAACTTGACTCCGTTGTTGAAGCTAGACAGTAGCAGTAGTTCGCAAGACCTGGTGGAGATCTCGGATTCGGAGTCGGAAGGTGAAGATTCAGAGCCTCAGGAGCAGCAGCCAATGGACACTATTGGGGAGGAGGCGGCCAAGTAAGTGATTTAGTCACTTTTATTAAATATATAATAAAACAAGATTAGAATATACTAAACTTTAAATAAAAAGCTGGTAGAGGACTGAATGATAAGTTCCTCCAGCAAAAGCAAGTGTTAGATCCTTATTTCAAGATAGTCAACAAGTTATGTGCTGAGCTCAATTATTTGTTGTGTGTGAGTGTAATGTACAATAACCTCACATAACTTCACTCATCTCACACACGGCCCTCTAATTCCAAACTTGGCAGAGTGTGTACTATGGGAACCAGACTGCTGATGCTCCGCCCGCGTGAGTTTGGTTATAATAGCCTATATCCTTCTTCAAGAATCAAACTATCTCCATACGAAATTTCACCTGAATCGGTACAGTGGTTATTGATTCCCCATACATTACGTATTTAGAAACTAGCTGGTACTAGCGACTTCGTCCGCGTGGAATTTGAAAAGCGCTACCATAGTGGGTTTGATTCCCGGACCGGGCAAAATTTTAAAGAGTTTTTCTAAGAGGAAAACTGGCCTAAGTTACTCCTTATATAGACAGCTACCTGGTAGTAAAACATTATCGAAATCGGTCCAGCAGTTTAGACAAACAGACAGACAGGCAAAAAATTCGAACAGATTTTTAGGCATAGGTATCGTGCAAATAACCGTGTGAGCATAAAAAAAACCTATTATTTTGACATTAAAAACAGACACTATTATTTTTTTTGTATAGAATAGATAAGGCTGATAAATGAATTACTATTGTTTTTTTCCTTTTTTTGCAAACAAAATATACACATGTATGTACTGCTTACTATATCAGTTTATTTTAATAATTTGTACACAGATTCTTAGAAGAAAATCTGGCGGAGGTACTGAACGAAACGTGGAAGAAATATAAATTAGACGACAGGTTGAAAGAGACGCAGGATGAAATCAATTCTGAAATATTGAAATTAGAGCGTAAGTTAAGAATTAGTTATTGCCATTTCTTTTAAGACTATCCATCTATATACTCGTAGGATGGCCAATATCGGAAGGCTCCGTCATACACGTGGATAAGCTCATAATAAAAAATAAACTTAACTTCAAAAATAAATTACTACCGTACTAAAATATATCGTGGGCTGGCTCCACTGGAGTGATACCACGGCCTCACAGAAAGCTGGTGTTAAGGAATTCTTTAGTTGATTTTCACCAAGTGAGTGAAATCCGTGTGGTGACGGATTAAGAATACGGAATGTCACCACCCCTATTCATCCCGTGGGTGTCGTAAGAGCCGACTAAGGGAACAAACTGCACAGGACAACGCACTACAAAAAGAAGGAAAACTTGAAAGGAACCCTATACCAACCCGTCTGGCCAGCGTGGGATAGTAGGCCAAAACCTCCTTTCTAAGGAGAGGCCTATGTCCAGCAGTGGACTATTATAGGCTGTTGACGATGATGATGATGATGAGTGAATTTATCGGCCTAATCCCTCTCTCCTGCTTACTCTTCGAAGTAAAAAATAAAGTTTTTGCCCACCCAAGTGGAGGAAGGGCGTCATCATCAATACACTTGTGTTGTGTATTAGTTTCAGAAAGCAAAATGTTAGAAATTATGTTTAAAATTATTTTTGCAAAGTTTTTGTGGTTAATTAATTTTATTTAAAACTCGTTCAGTAGTTTTATGCCATTTTATTCCTTTTATACTCTTTAGAGATAATAAAAATTTACTTTGTTGTATCGCAGAAGAGAGCAAAGAAATAAACCAAATGCTAGAGGACTGTCAGCGGGTCACGGACAAGCTCCGTTCAGACTTGTATGCCACCTTCGAGCACCGCAAAGTGGAGATACCATCTCTACTCATATATGAGACACCAGAATTTACTGTAAGTATAAGTAGTACCTATACGTGTGGTGACGGATAAAAAATACAGTCTCACCACCCCTGTTTATCCCTAGGACGTGGTAAGAGGCGACTAAGGGAGCAAACTATGCAGGACAACAGCACTGCTAAGAGAAGGAAAACTTGAAGCAATCCCTATACCAACCCGTCTAGCCGTATTGTAGGCCAAATCCTTGCTAAGGAGAGGCCTATCCAGGAATGGACTATTAAAGACTGTTGATGATTACGAAGTAGTACTTAAATCTTGAAAACTTTTACAACTCAATACCAACTTCGTAATCTTATTGATCTTCTCCCGAATTTATTTCTACTCTATTTATTTTCTAGTTATATTGTCTTTCACGAAATCCACCTTTTTTTCGTCGTCCTCTACTCCACCTAACCACGATACATGTGATATTGTTTTCAAGACGAAAATAAATTTTTGTATTGCGTATATTTATGCATTGAGTAATTTTTGCCAAATACAGCTCTATACTATACATACATATTACTAAAATTACAGTTTCAGTGACTTAAAATTCAATATTTTTTTCCAATAAAATTACTCAACAAATATTCGTTCATACTAACTTCACATCACACATTAACAACTGTCAACAAAAACTGTTTAATAGTCCACTGCTGGATATAGGTCTCTCCTTAGAAAGTAGGTTTTGGCCTACTATACCACGCTGGCCAGACGAGTTGGTAAAGGGTTTGTGTCAAGTTGTCCTTTTTGCAGTGCTGGTGTTCTGCGTAGTTTTGCGCCTGTAGTCGGCTCATAAGACACCCACGGGATGACGTAAGCTGTCCGTGTAGTGACGGATTAAGAATACGTAATGTCACTGCCCCAATTCATACTAACTTAGAAATGTCTTATTACTTGTAAAGTTGTAGAAAATATTTTTTTCTCTCAAGCTCTAAAAACATAATACAACACTAAATACCAGAATAAACTGGTTTCTGCTGTTTTTTTTTTAGTTTAATCGCTTTGAAATATAATATGAGGCTTTTTGTGATTTTGTTTTACAGTACATGGGACCGGACACCGAAAATGCTATACCGGCAGCGGTAATTAACCAAGTAAGTATTAAATATATTTGAAATTAATTACTTAAGTCACTTGTTCAGTCACATTTTACGTCTCAAATTTACCCGGGGTAAACTGGTGGTCAGTCGGCTCTTATTCGAACAATAATCATCCGTTTACTATAACCCGGCAATCTCGTGCGCGACCGTCCCGCGGGGTGACAGACAGTGGCGGCGGCGAGGGAGTGCGTCATTCTAGCACACGGCTACTCGCGTTTCCCTTCCGCGCTACACCACCCGCTACTCGCTGACATCTTGAGTTCCTCGTCCCCGCCACCGTCTGTCACCCCGCAGGACGGTCGCGCACGACGTTGATGGACTATACCCCTTATCTTTGAGTTAGCATTGAAATTTAAACCATTATATTTCGACGCTTCAATCTTCAGATATAAAGATCACAAAAGTATTTTTTTTTACCTTTAACCTACAAGGCAACTTCGCACATGTTAAAAGAAAAAAATAAGAATTTCCAAACGCAGCAAAAATCCTCCCCGCCAATTCCGGCCGGTGTCTGCGTTGCACGGCGGCCATTCGTGTCATTCTTTTTCCGATTTCCATGCGAAGCAACGACCACTCGACTGTCACAGTGACAATCATCGCGATATATTTTTCCCTCCAATTTTTTTATCTTACCGCCATTTTGAGTATTTAAAATACTGAAGAAGTGCAGGGGAGAATTTTTGTTGCGTTCGGAAATTCTTAAGTTTCGTTTTCTTTTATCATGTGCGAAGTTACCTTGTAGGTTAAAGGTACTTAATTTGTAATCTTTATATCTTCGAATGAAGCGTACTTATAAAATAATGATTGAACTTTCGAAGTTAATTTGATCATATATTATACACATCACACATATGAAGAATTATCAGTGACAACTTACAACACTGTCTTTCTATGACCGATGAACCAGTTATCACTGACATATCACTGTAAGAAAACAGGATTTATCCTCCACAACAAAAAAGGATCCTCTGCCCAACGGAGCTTCGATTGCGTGATTCAGTATGAACACTTATTAATTCAAAGTGGTCTTCGCTAGATGGCATTGGAACACGTAGATGCTTTGCGCAGGTCACGATAAGGAAACGCACCCATACTACGAAGCCCTTTTTTATCCCACTTCTCCCTTCGGTTTACACCCGTAGTATATGCGTAGAGATTTAAATCATGTTTCGTCAACAGAAACAAAACGTCGACAAAAAAAAATTACTCATATTTCTGTTTATTAACTCGGCGCTTGCCATATCTGATCTCCTCCGTATTTTGACGACTCCCTTCCCCACCCGAATGGATCACGTAGTATGTGTATGTTACCTAAGATGGAGGGCTGAGGTACATATATTTTTTAAATTTCAGTCACGGTTGAGCGCCAAACGCAAGTTGCTCACAAACAACGAGGTTCCCGCGAAACGCCCTGCCATACCGTTAGGCTATACACCCTTGGAAAGTTCTAAACCGAAAGTTCAGGTAAATAATATTATTTTACTCATGTGAAAAATTAAGATGAATATGTTAACTGCACAGATGGCGTAGACGCATAAACGGTCGCCTCGCCGCTTTCTACAGCGCTAAGTTTTGAGGGTTCGATCCCCACATACAAAGACACCATGTTCACATCCACGGAATGTTTCTAAGGACCCTTTTTTTTTCCGTGCGGAAATCCCCTCGGATACCACCTATCAGTGGCATGTCGGACTCGAACCGACTAAAACCGCACGCCGTCTCGGGTACTAATAGCCGGGGAACCAGGTATACCCTAGAAAGGAAGTCCCTGGTGCCCCGACACACCTCGGGCATCTACAACAAGTAGACGACCCCCCCCGTGTGGGAACCCCATGTTCTCTCTGCTCCCTGGAAGCGAGCGCGCTTCGCAACGCGCTCGCCGCCACCCCGGCCTGCTTCTGCTAGGGTGACAGATGGCCTCACTTGTCACCCCCCCAGGCCTGCGCTTATGTAGGACGGAGGTCGTTCTGCGACCTCCGGCGCCTGAGTCGCCTGCGGTACCTGGCCCGTTCCCGGGCCTGGCGGGCCGGCAGAGTCCTAAACCTCTCCCGGTCCCGCTCCGCCGCGTCCTTCGCGAGCATAACTTGCTCGCAGAAGGAGACGGCAGAGTTCCACGCACTCTCGCTCCGCACGATAGCCGCAATCAGGCTATCGAGCGAGAGAACTCCCACTCCTATGCCCGCCACAAGGTTTCGCTTCTGCTCAACCCACGCCGGGCACTCTGCCAGCGTGTGGAGAGCCGTGTCCACGGTTTGGCCATCGCAGTGGTGGCACTCAGGCGTTGGCTCCTTGCGGATCAGACACAGGTGATCCCCGAAACATCCTTTCCCAGTGATCACCTGCGTCAGTCGGTATGAGAGGGTCCCGTGACTCCTCTCGAGCCAATCCTCCATAACGGGTCTTACCGCTGCGATGACGGCGTGCCCGTTTTAAAGACCCTCGCGACACAGGATGTATTCCTAGTCGCCTTAAACAGAAAAAATAAACTTAAAATATGTTTTTTAACAATAATTTCACACATCTCAGACACGGCTCTCAGATCCGGAATAAGGCCTCTGCCTTATTCAGGATGTACTACAATAACCAGTCTGCTGATGAGGATATAACCAACGACCTCTGGCCTACGAGTCAGAATCACTAACCATTAAACCAACACCTGTATTAAAACCAAACGATTATGAAATGAACGAGGTGGTACATCTGTCATTATTATCAAAGTTCATTCTGAGCCTTCTGGCCTTAACTGAATAATAATTGTCTTATTTTCTACTTTTTCAGGAAAACAAAGCGGACGACGATGTGAGTATTAAATTATAGGAAGAAACTATTTCTATTGCTACTGATTTAACCTCTGATATGGCGCTACACAGTACAGTGCCTACCGATGAAAGCACTTTACAGTGTAGTGGCATATCAGAGGGGAGGCATGTGAAGAGTTAATATGGAGTTTTTTAAATCGGTTTATAAAATTTTGAATTTTGGCCTTTAAGTAGTTTTTTTGTTACGTTTAGCCGAGGGGGGGTTTGAGCTCCGGTGACGGCCCTCTTCGGGAGGGGAGGATTGAAGTCTGATCCCCTCCCAAACAGAAGTCTGTTTGAGAGGAGCACTCAAAGGGAGGCGAAGCACCTGTGACTCTTGAGTTGCAGGTGTCCATGGACGGCGGTAGTCACTTACAATCAGGTGCACCGTCTGCTCGTTTGCCACATTTATACAAAAAAAATATTATTTTTGATTTTATTGTATACTAGCTGGTGCCCGCGACTTTGTTCGCGTGGAATTTGAAAAGCGCTCCCTGAGTGGGTTCGATTCCCGGGCCGTGCAAGATTTTATAGGGTTTTCTGATAGGCAAAATAGCCGAAGTTACTCCTCATATTGACAGCTACCTGGTAGTGAAATATTAGCAAAATCGGTCCAGCCGTTTTAAAGATTACCTGGCAAAATAGACAGACAAAAAAATTATAAACTGGGTTTTAGGCATAGGTATCGTTGCAAATAACCGTTGGAGCATGAAAAAACCCATTATTTTGACATTACAAACAGACACTTCAATTTTATTTAATTATTTTTTATTATATTCATTGTCCACACTTAAAAGATAACAAAAAGATGAGTTAAAAATTGTAGACGTTACAATCGGTGGCCTTATCACGCATGGCGATCTCATACAGACAAAAAAAAACATAGTTTCTGTACTATGATGGTATTCTCATCGATTTAAAGTTCTACTAATAATTCTTTGGTTACAGAAAGACATATCGGTGGTGAAGCTATCAGCGGAGTCAGCTCCAGCAGATCTCCCACCCCCCGGAGAGCTGAGCCGGCCTCCCCTCCGCGTGGGAATGGCGGTCTATGCCATGAAGAATGCCTTTGGACCCTGGTTCAAAGGCAAGGTGATCGAGATTACGCCGAAGAACGGCACTGCTGTAAGCTTCAACATTTATTTTAAGCCTTAACCCTAAACTGTAAGAGGGTTGTAATTAGTATTTTTACATGCGTGTATGTATCTGTCTGTTACATCACAGATCCTAAATGAATAGATCGCTTTTTAATATCGATTCTTTTTTTGGTTAAAATATGACTTGATCGAGAGCCTTATTAGCTATTATTTAATATGTATACAAGCTTTTGCCTGCGGTTCCGCCCGCGTGTAAGTCGGTTATCGCGGTAAAAAGCTTATGCCCTTTATCAAGAATCAAACTATCTTCACACCAAATTTTATCTGAATCGGTTCAGCGGTTATTGATTTCCTATACAAACTTCCACCCCCCATTTTCACCCCTTTAAAGGATGAATTCTGATATATAAATTATCCTATGTCCTTTCCCGGGGCTTACACTACCAAATTTCATCTAAATCAGTTCAGCGGTTTAAGCGTGAAGAGGTAACAGACAGACAGACACACTATCGCATTTATAATATTAGTAATAATTGAAACTAGTAATCAAAACTCGTTATCATCATCGACAGCCTCTACTAGTCCACTGTTGGACATAGGCCTCTCCTTAGAAAGGAGGTTTTGGCCTACTATACCGCGGGGGCCAGACGGGTTGGCATAGGGTTTGTTTCAAGTTTTCCTTCTCTTCTTCTCTCTTCTTCTTCACAACTTGTTATAGCATTTCTATAATGTGTTGTGGTTGTATAACATGACAGCAGCACACCCGATGATTATTTAGTAGTACTGTTAACTGTTTTTGACAGAAAGAAATATTTATTTGCACAAAAAACATATGTTACCAGATTTAAAAAATGTTGCATAATACAAGCTATATTCTGCCTGTATTAGGCGTGCAAATATTTATAATTATACTAGCTGTACCCAGTGTACCCTGCCACGCTTCGCAGTAGTACAAAAACAGTTAAGAACAATCTTTGATGCGGTTTGTGTCTCGTGTCAAAATTTGAACTGAATCAGTGCAGAATTTTTTGAGTTTTCGAAGTGTACACAAACCTACTTACGATTTTACATATAGAGACTGATAAAACAATTTAAATATACTATTATTATATCAGGGACAAAATCTCAAATTATCTAAATTATTATTTAGCATATTTATAATAAATATGCTACATAATAATTTATTTATTTAACATTTAATTTTACAAACAATAATTAATTATTCTATAACGATGCTTGTTTCCAGATACCATTCACAATGTGTAGAATTAAATTCGACCATAAACTGAAAAACAATGGCAAGATCTTACCGGCGAGATGTATAGCGTATGCTGAACCCGCTGAAGTCCGAATGACCATCGGTAAGTTACAGAACCCTATTTTTTGTCCAGAGCATTGCACATGCCTTTGAATTACCTGACGTTTTGAACAGAAGGCCAATTCTCGTTGTACGAGCCTCGTTATACATTTCTCGTATGATGCTGTTATACTTTGAGCTGTGTCAGCACTTTATTCATTTATTAAATCATTCTTCAGTTCAGTTCGCGTTCATATTCGACTATCAATTGACGTGTCGCGGCTCACATATATCATTAATATCATTGTTATCTATCAATATAGTCGTTAAAATAAAAAAAAATTGAAGTACACCAGGTCCGTTTACCAGGGTTTAAAGTTGTAGGATAAATCAGTAAACTCAGGGATAAATTTAACGTTCGTGACGCTTCAAACAGAAAGCCAATTCACGTAATAAAAGTTGATCTCACAAATGTCATAAAAGGTATTTTCGTAGTAAGCAATTTTTTATTTATCCAATACCCTCCCTCCCCCTTATTACGAAGGGGGGGGGGGGCGGTTCTGAAGCCGCCGACGCACTTGTGAGTTGTAGTTGACCCATCTCTTGGTTTGCCCTCTATGCCTTACCATGTTTAGTAGTTAACAATATAATATTTGTCCTCAGGTACGCGTCTTATAGCGCTGTTTAAAGACGCGAATAAGCGCGAGTCCTATTATTCCGGAGTCGTTGCCGAGATTCCAAACCCGGTCAACAATTATAGGTGAGTTGCACTTTTATTGTTATGCCTTAAACAAGTAAAGGAGTAACCGCGAGAGAGCGAAACTTAGGCACAAATGGACTGGCTCAACCGGAGTGATACCACTTCCTCACAGGAAACCGCTCTTAAGTAATTCTTTCGTCGCTTTTCTACCGTGAGGCTACCTGAGGCCTGAGGGGTAATGCCAAGGGCGGCAATCTCTTGTGACCTATGTTGCAGATCTCTATGGGTTGTTAAAGTCACTTACCATCAGGTGAAAGTTTCAAACCAGGCGGGGAATATTTATCACGAGTTGAAGCGAGGTTCCGTTTCGGTGCCATGTGCATTGACTTACATTAATGCGCCAAAAATACACACACGAATAAAACCTTATATCTTTTATCAATATTTATTTACTTGAAAGTGGGCTACTCGTGAACTAAAATCTCTTTTCTCCTCTTGTCATAGATATTTAGTATTCTTCGATGACGGTTACGCTCAGTACGTGAGCCACGCCCACACTCGTCTAGTCTGTGAGTGCTCCAATTTGGTGTGGGAGGAAGTGCACCCGTTGTCGCGGGAATTCGTACGGGAATATCTCATGGCGTACCCTGAAAGGCCTATGGTGAGGCTCCATGAGGGACAGCATCTGAAGACTGAATGGGATGGTGAGTACAAAGATGATTGATTGAGTATGTGTGTTGCAGTCAAGTGTCACTGAACAAAAAACTGTGATTACAATTTGTAAGGAGAGGTCTATGTCCAGTAGTAGATTGAAGGTCCTATTGAAGGCTGTCGATGTGACTCAATTTTAATTGATTAGCTACTAATAGTCGGTCTGTGGCAGGCAAGTGGTGGTCTTCGCGCGTGGCGCGCGTGGACGCGTCACTGGCGCAGGTGGTGTTCCTGGGCGACGGGCGGCGCGAGTGGGTGTACCGCGGCTCCACGCGCCTGGCGCCGCTCTACCTGGAGCTGCGCGCCGCCGAGCGCCACCGCCCGCGCCCCATGCCGCGCAGCACGCAGCCGCGGGTGAGTGGCTTGTGTGTTATATAGGGGGGGGGGGACCTGGGGACCTGGCGCCGCTCTACCTGGAGCTGCGCGCCGCCGAGCGCCACCGCCCGCGCCCCATGCCGCGCAGCACGCAGCCGCGGGTGAGTGGCTTGTGTGTTATATAGGGGGGGGGACCTGGGGACCTGGCGCCGCTCTACCTGGAGCTGCGCGCCGCCGAGCGCCACCGCCCGCGCCCCATGCCGCGCAGCACGCAGCCGCGGGTGAGTGGCTTGTGTGTTATATAGGGGGGGGGGACCTGGGGACCTGGCGCCGCTCTACCTGGAGCTGCGCGCCGCCGAGCGCCACCGCCCGCGCCCCATGCCGCGCAGCACGCAGCCGCGGGTGAGTGGCTTGTGTGTTATATAGGGGGGGGGGACCTGGGGACCTGGCGCCGCTCTACCTGGAGCTGCGCGCCGCCGAGCGCCACCGCCCGCGCCCCATGCCGCGCAGCACGCAGCCGCGGGTGAGTGGCTTGTGTGTTATATAGGGGGGGGGACCTGGGGACCTGGCGCCGCTCTACCTGGAGCTGCGCGCCGCCGAGCGCCACCGCCCGCGCCCCATGCCGCGCAGCACGCAGCCGCGGGTGAGTGGCTTGTGTGTTATATAGGGGGGGGGACCTGGGGACCTGGCGCCGCTCTACCTGGAGCTGCGCGCCGCCGAGCGCCACCGCCCGCGCCCCATGCCGCGCAGCACGCAGCCGCGGGTGAGTGGCTTGTGTGTTATATAGGGGGGGGGGGGACCTGGGGACCTGGCGCCGCTCTACCTGGAGCTGCGCGCCGCCGAGCGCCACCGCCCGCGCCCCATGCCGCGCAGCACGCAGCCGCGGGTGAGTGGCTTGTGTGTTATATAGGGGGGGGGGACCTGGGGACCTGGCGCCGCTCTACCTGGAGCTGCGCGCCGCCGAGCGCCACCGCCCGCGCCCCATGCCGCGCAGCACGCAGCCGCGGGTGAGTGGCTTGTGTGTTATATAGGGGGGGGGGACCTGGGGACCTGGCGCTGCTCTACCTGGAGCGGCGCCAACTACTCTCTCTCTCTCTAAATAAAACTGTAAAAATAATTATTAATGTTGTGTTTTTTTTTAGTCCAATCTGCTGCCCTACGTGGAATACACTCGCTCTGTGGAACAGCCAACCAATAAAGCACAAGAAACACAACCCGTTCCTGTTGCCCTAACTACACAGCAGCAGACCGAGGTAAGTTGGGTAGTGAAAAACTACAGTAAATTTAAGTTAAAGTTTATTTGAAGCACAGAGCAGTGAGCACACTTTAACAGACGCGCGGGAAAAGGGGCGCTAAAAAGCGGGAAAGCGTAAATGTCAAAATTGATGACATGAAATGCACACATAAGCATTTCAGTTCAATATTGGAAATTAAATACATTTGACTAATAATGGTCTCCTTCACCAATGCTCTGCCGTCCTTTAAGTAAAAAGTTCTGTTTAATCTATACATAAAAAATTACTTGCCCTACCTAACTGATTCATCAACGCAGAGCATTAACCGCTGACCCTATAAACTTGGAATTATCAGTTAGAAACACGAAATAAGAATTAATCAACCATCAAATTAATATTTCACACATCTCACACACGGCGGTCTGATCGAAAACTAGGCAGAGCTCGTAGTTTGGTATCCAGACTAAGACGCACAACAAATGATCTGCTCATCACACGATTGTTTGCCCTGTGTGGGGGTTGAACCCGCGATCTCCGGCTTAGCAGTCAAGGTTACTAACCACTAGACCAATGCATGAATATGTGTCATCATCACATCAACAACGTTTAACAGTCCACTGCTGGACATAGGCCTCTCATTGGAAAGGAGGTTTTGGCCTATTATACCACGCTGACCAGACGGGTTGGTATAGGGTTTGTGTCAAGTTTTCCTTCTCTCTGCAGTGCTGTTGTTCTGCGTAGTTGAATATGTGTATATAATATACATTTGACATATAGAATATATTTTCGAGCAGGAAATCCGTCGTCAGCGCGCTGTGGCCAAGAAATCCACCACCACGGCCGCGTTGTCCGCTGCCTCGATCGGACCAACTCCATTCGGGCCGCCCCTGTCCGGCTCCGGCCCTGGAGGCAGCACCGCCCCACTCGACTCTGACAACAGCAGAGTTGTTGTAAGTATTTCCATCTATAAATATCCACTTAGATTTCGGCATTTCAAAATGCAGTAGATAGATTTTACAGATAATAATAAAAACAACGTTTGGAAATCCGCCTTCGTTACACCCGTTCATAAAAAGGTGATAGGTCAAAAATTACAGGCTGATCTCCAAACTCTGTTTAATGTAAGAATTGTATATGATCAGGTCTACGCCGCGTTGGACAAAATGGACTGTCATTTTTATACCAGAATAGCATGGATTTCTGAAGCGAAAATCGACTGTATCTAATCTGCTAGCATATATCGACTTTACAACGTCACATATGGAGTCTAGAGGTGTTTACCGATTTGAGCAAGGCATTAGATCGTATCGACCATTTGCTACTCCAGCAGAAGTTAAATAAATCTGGAATACACGGTAACCCATTGAGGTGGTTTTCCTCATACATTATAAATATATCTCAGGCAGTTACAATTAACGGCTTCACGTCTGCATGGATGCTGATCCCTTCTGGTGTTCCTCAGGGTTCCTTATTAGGACCATTGCTCTTTAATATTTTTATTAATGACATTGGCTCATGCTTCAATCACGCTAGTTTTCTTTCCTATGCAGACGATATAAAAATATTTATAGACATTAATAGCCCCTCTGATTGTGAGTTACTGCAAATAGATCTAAATATTTTTGCAAAATATTGTAAACAAAACACATTGGACCTAAATGTATCCAAGTGCTTTGCAGTTAGTTCAATCCCACTCAATTTAGGTACACAGATTTAGGCGATATACAGATCTCTAAACTAAAATACAATAAACATATTGACTTCATCATGAAAAAAGCCAACAAATCCTTAGGTTTTATTATTAGATCAACCTCAAATTTTAACAATATTAAGCCTATTAAAGTGCTTTATTGTGCACTGGTACGCAGTATCCTCGAGTCTGCGGTTTATATCCCGCATTGTTATATATATTGATCGTATTGAGTCCATCCAAAAAAGGTTTTTAAGATATTATTAAGTGTAAGTGTATTGATGACGGGTGTGTGACAAGATGTAGGAGATATCATTTTCTGCCTTCAACAAATAGACGTACTGTCTCCGATATTGTTACATTATTAAAATTATTAACGGAGATATAGATTGCTCGATTCTTCTCGAGAAAATTAAAATCAGAGTACCGCATAATTTGCGCACGAGGCGTCATCCACCCTTAGCAGTACCTCGAACAAATACCAACTACCGCAAAAATTCCTTTATTATTCGAGCCAGTAGATCTGTAAATGATATGCATTAATTGAGCATTTTCTTAGTCCGAGTTTTTCTTTTGTTTCCAAAAATGTGTTATTCCTAATAAGTTTTTTTTATGTACTTTTTTTGTTGTTGTTGGTAAGTTATTTGAACTGTCGTTTCACACTTGGAATCTATTTGCGAATACCTGTGAATAGCTTCGTTGTTACTTTATTATAATGTTTTACCTTACGTTATTTGTGCTGTTGGTATTCTTCTTTAACTGTCCCAGAAATACACCTGCCACACACAGTTTTGCAACACCCAAAGGTTTGACTGGAAGAAAATGCCTGAGGCATTAAGTCCGCCTTATGCAATATGTTTGCAGGGAGGCTCGATAAATCAATAAATAAAAATAATATTCTGTTAAATCAAAAGATTAGTCTATTTATATCTTATTTGCAACCTTAATTATGAAAACTTCCACTGTGAAATTACCTTCTGAATTATGAAACTACCTTCCAGTACTACACGCCGAAAAACGCAGTTCGTCCATACAAGTTGGTCCCTCACACGTGCTCTCCTGCCTGTAAGCGTAGCGACGTCCTCTCCCTCAAGGAGCTGAGGACTTACAACCCTCTGGCTAAACCCCTCCTCAGTGGCTGGGAAAGGTGAGTTACTGATTTTTTAAGGATATAAAGGATAAGGGAATAAGCGAGTAGAGGTGACCCGCACCTGATGGTAAGCGACTATTACACCTGCAAAAATGTTCTCCAGGAATAGGCAGCGGGAATTGGGGGGCCTTTCATCATTGGCCTATAAGCATCTTGATCACATGATCTAAGTAGCCTCCTGGATGTTTCGGCACTTTTTCTTTTTCTCTCTTCGGTACCCTTTATACCTCTCTATGCCCCTGTCAATGTGTATGTAAATTTTCATGATGTTCTGAGAGCCTAGTGTGAGTTTATATCATATCGACTCGCTCTCGATGGCGAACGCGTTTGGCGTTGCGATTGGTGAAGATTTCAGTACAGGCCAATTCCAGCGATGAACGCGGTCACCGTGACGATCGAGCAGGTTGTTAAACTGCAAACAGAAAAAGTAATACTTTGTTTAAATCTCGATAGATGGCGCTGTCCCATATACTTGCATCGCGTTATCGTTTTGCTCAAGATAAACAATGTTATAAGATAAACAATGTATTATTTTTATATTAACTATCCTTGGGTATCAATACAATATTTAAAACAAGTGATGATAAGTTGTAGTTTTATTCACTTGACTTTGTTGCCTCTACCAGTGCAAATTGTGTCGTTCACGATTAAATACCGGGCAACTCTTGGTATTTACGACAGATGCGAAACAGGGTTACCGAGATCTCCTTTTCCTTATGTAATCGAACGACGAACAGGCAGATAGTCCGCTACAAGGGTCAGCGCGAGGTGATGTACCGCGCGCCGTGCGGGCGGCGCCTGCGCTCCATGCGCGAGCTGCACCGCTACCTGCGCGCCACCGACAGCGAGCTGCCCGTCGACCTGTTCGACTTCTACCACGCCACGCACTGCCTCGCCGAGTTCGTGCTGCACAAGTGCCTCGTCGGGAAGAAGGTACGGCCCCGACTGACCGCCTGTCCCTTAAGTTAGCGATGTACCGGTACTTTAAAAATGTAGATCCACGGATACGAATACGTATTATTAGTGCTCCGATACACAAATGCGGATACGAAAACGAATTATTTATGTAAATCTTCAGATACGTATATCGATATATACGTATCCGTAAATTTAAAGAAATAATCCGTATTACGCAAATACGCGAAATCTTGAGACGGTAGTTGACATTTATTTAAGAAATTGATACACCAATTTTATTGGATTTAAACTCTTAAGGTAGACAACACTAAATAATTACATATGATTATCGTTTGTATTTTATGAGCCAAATTAAACTTTATTCTCTGTGTACTTAGGATCTGTCTCACGGCAAGGAGAACGTACCAGTACCCTGCGTTAATTGCTACGATGAATCTCTGCCGGAGTTCTGTTCGTACAACACGGAGCGGACCCCCACTTCTGGGGTCCCCCTCAACTTGGACCCCGACTTTCTATGCGGATGTGATTGTACTGATGACTGTGAGGTTTGTGCAGTTACTTGTAGGTTGAACGTTTTATTTTATTTCATTGACCAGTGTAACTTGAACTGCCATTGTATAGATATATGTGCCGTGATACGTCAACATATATACTAGACCCCTATAGCTTGATGCACCCTTTTTTACATAACCTTTTACTTTACAGTATATATTGTTTAAATGTTTGAGCTTTTTGCAATTTTGCCATAAATAAACATTAAGTATTAATAGGCATAGTCATAGTAATTTATTCGTCAACAAAATACATTATTTTTGAAGTTTTAACTGGAATATTTAACAAAGTAATAATAATATTCTACCACATTCACACAACGCCATCTAGTCCCAAACTAAGCAGAGCTTGTACTATGGGTACTAGATAACTGATATAAATACATATACAACTTTTTTTCTTGTAAATACATACTTAGTATACATAGAAACACCCAGACCAAATCAAACATTAAACGTTCATACACACAAATGTTTGACTTGAGCGGGAATCGAACCCGCGACCTTTGGAATAGCAGTCCGTTACACAAACCACTATGCCATTCGGACGTCAATAGTAAATATAAAAAATTATAAAAATTACATAAAAGCACGCTAAAGTAGAGGTTAGTAGTAGTACAGTGGAGGAGGAAATTCCGTGTGGTGACGCATTAACAATACAGAGTGTCACCACCCCTATTCATCCCGTGGGTCTCGTAAGAGCCGACGAAGGGTGCAAACTACGCATGACAACAGCACTGCAAAGAGAAGGAAAACTTGAAACAAACCCTATACCAACTCATCTGGCCAGCGTGGTATAGTAGGCCAAAACCTCCTTTCTTAGGAGAGGCCTATGTCCAGCAGTGGACTATTAAAGGCTGCTGATGAAGATTGATGATGAAAGTAGTGGGTGCTCGTCGAGACGTGTTTATTTGCATATTATAATAAATAAATAAATAAAGACAGTGAATTGTTGATATGTTTGTAGGACAAAACCAAATGCGCGTGTTGGAAGATGACCTTGGAAGGTGCTCGCACAATCGGCCTCGAGGGGATCAACGTGGGTTACGAGTACAAACGGCTGCCCGAACCTCTGCCATCAGGGATTTATGAGTGCAACTCTAGGTAAATAAAATCCCTGTCAAAGTTGTATGTAGTTTGAGTGAGAAACCGTTTCTACAGAGTCTGTTTGATTATCTAAGGCCATTTGACTCTCCTGTTGAAGGTAGCCGTGGGTTGAATTTCAACCCAGGACTAATAATTTTGTGATGAGCACGATCCTATGTTCTATGTCTGGGTGTAATTTGCCAATAATATGTACGTATATAGACATATATAAGTATGTTTATTAGCAGTTACTTACCATAGCACAAACTGCCCAGTTTGTGATCAGACTGCAGTGTGTGAGATGTGTGAAGTTATTATTTAAATTGTTAACACTTTTTCACGATGCTCTGATTAATTGTTCCCAGGTGTAAATGCAAACAGACCTGTCTAAATCGAGTCGCACAACACCCGTTGCAGTTGAAATTACAGGTAAAATAAAAAAAAAAGCGACCTGCGACAATGTGTATGTATTTACAAAAAAATAATAGGTGTAGAAGTATTCTATCAGTCAATCTAGCTTTCATAGTACAAGCTCTGCTTAGTTTGAAACTAGATGGCGTTGTTTGTCAGATGTTATTATTATACAGATGTTATTCTCTTTATTTAATTAAATATACATATCAATTACCATTTTAAATACATTTATGATTCATAATACAAACAAAAAGAAAATATTATTAAATCTCCTGCAATGTCATACATTGAGCCGGTGCCGAAAAAAATCGGCTCCAGGGCAGAAAAATGTTAATGAAAATGTTTAATATTTCGTTCGTTAGGTGTTCAAGACGCTGAACCGCGGCTGGGGCATCCGCGCTCTGAACGATGTACCGAAGGGGGCGTTCCTGTGCGTGTACGCGGGCAATTTGCTCACCGACGCCACTGCTAACTTGGTGAGTGAAGTGGGGTACGGGTACCGAAACCGTTATAAATACTTATGTTTGAGGGGGGGGGGGGGGGGAGGGGGTATTACTACTGTAAGGTGTGTATTATTAATTTGACGGGCCTGCTTGTCGAGTGGTTAGTGTTATTAGTGTAATAATTTATCTATAAAATATTTAAGTATGTTTATCAGCAGTCCGGTTAACATAGCACAGATTCTCCCTGGTTTGGGATCAGGCTGCCGTGTGTGATGTGCTCAGATCAAATAAAAAAGTCAAGGTGGAACTTTGCGAAGAACGAAGTGAGGCCGGTATGCGTCGGCCCATCATCATTTTATTTTATTGTAAATATTGGTTTCTACGCTTTTTTATGTGTGAAATGCGATTCCAACCCTACTATCTATTCTTTTAGTTTGATTTTTATACCCTTTCACAACACAATTCAGCATTTTACTTGTAAATATTGTTGACATTTTTGATGACGTTTTGACTGACAAATTGTAGTTTCGCTGTACATGTGTGCGTGTAATTGTGTATGTACACGTAAAGACGTAGTTTTAATGTGCCTCGCTTCTTTGTTTACACAGTACCATCTTAACTTTTTTATTTGATCATAGAAGATATGTGGCGATATTATTATAATTCTTTTCAAAATATAGCACTTCCTCCACAGACACTTATTCTTCGGTAGGACTTTTTATTGTAAAATAATATGTCACCTGTTCTAGGATGGACTCAACGAAGGTGATGAGTATCTGGCCGAATTGGACTACATCGAGGTGGTGGAACAGATGAAGGAAGGCTACGAGGAAGACATTCCTGATGCTGACAAGAAACTTGACAAGGTATTGTCACCATAATGTAATACACGTTCTATATTACAAACATATATTCAAATTTTAAAATAAAACCGATTCAAAAAAGTTTATTGACAATTACAAGAAACGGCAGATATACGTTAAAAGATTATTTTTACAATTTATTAGTAATTGATGCAGTAAAGATTTAATATGGGTATACCTGGTTCCCCGGCTATTAGTAAAAGAGACGGCGTGCGGTTTTAGTCGGTTCGAGTACGACATGCCACCGACAGGTGGTATCCGAGGGGATTTCCGCAAGGGGAAAAAAAAAGGGGTACAAAAAAAGGTCATTAGGTACAGTTTCTATATAACCTTTTTTGTACCCCTGATAATGTTTCCAAAAATTTCATAATACTTATATTTATAATAATATTATACATATGGATAGCACCCACCGGTGGGTGGTTATGTCTGTCTGACCAAAAACTGCAACGCTGTCTCGGGTACCAGTAGCCGGGGAACCAGGTGTACCTTAGAAAAAAAAATCCCTGCCACTTTGTCCCTCCCCTAGAATCAGGGGGAAGGGGTGTTTAGGCTCTGGTTACCTCACTCATGTGGTGAAAGCTACGAATGAATCGTTTCTTAAAGACATGAACACTTTCGATTGAATCACAGTAGTCAACCTTTAATTTACAGAAAGACAGTATTAAACCAGAGGACTCCGAAGAAGAACCGCCATCATCGTCAGAAGATGATGAAAATGCCTCAAAGACTGATAAAGAAGATGATGATTTCAAGCCAGGGTACGTCGCATTGGGTGTGTCGGACTTCAGGTAAGAATCAACAGCAATAGGTTCCGTATTCTTAAGGAACCCTTACAGTTATATGTCGTTTTTAGAAAAGAGAACAGCTTTGTTGGTCTAGTAGTTAGCGATACTCACTGCCAAAGAGATCGTGGGTTCGATTTCCACTCAGGACAATTAATATTTATGATGGGCACGATCATAAGTTCTGTCTATGTGTAATTCGTCTATCTCTAATATTTTAAATTCTCGTGTCTCGGTGTTTGTTAACGTACCAGTACGTAAATGAACTTATTGTTTAAATGAGAAGATAAATAAATAAAGATAAACAATTGTTTAAGCTACGGAGCTTTACACTGGTTGTGGCCAGACATGCACTCAATTTTTATTAAAAGTAATGATTATCAAGATTCCTCTAACATATAAATGTATCAATTAACAGCAAAAGTCTGCGCAAACGCTCTAAGATCAAGAAGGAAACGGGAGCTAAAGAAGAAGAGGAAAAAGAGAAGGAGAGCAAAGGAGGGGATCCTGAAGAGGATTGCATCACCATTAGTGATGACGACGAAGGTAGATTATTGTATTTATTTTACATATAAAGAGGCAAAAGTGCAATTTCCACTTGAAGGTCTATGGTTATCCAGTCTTATGAATACCGGCAACCCTAGATGTGTCTTTTACTCTTCACCTGGTTTATTTTCCTCTGCATAAAGCTCGCGAAAACATCGTCTTTTGTAAGGCAGAGAAACTTAATCAGTCAGTCGGCTCCGAATTGAGCAGAAATATGCAGTTGCTCTCACTCGAATTACTCTCTTAGGGGTTGTATATTATCACTTGAAATGAAGTCGACAGGTTTTGAAAGGTAATCATCAATTTAATAGTCCACTGCTGGGCATAGGCCTCTCCCTGGAAAGGAGGTTTTGGCCTGCTATACTATGCTGGGCAGACGGGTTGGTATAGGAATTGTGTCAAGTTTTCCTTCTCTTTGTAGTACAGTTGTCTTTTGTATTTTGCTCCCTTAGTCGGCTCTTACGACACTCATGGTATGAATAGGGGTGGTGACTCTGTATTCTTAATTCGTCACTACACAGATCTTTGAAATCATCCTAAACTAGAACTGTTAGATGCTACTATTGACTGTTATTTTTGCTTTGGAGTCACTTATTAGTTGCTAAAAAATAGTTCCACTATTCAGTCTATAATTTGGCATCTTGGTGCAGATCTGGTCCAAGATGCCAAATTATAGTATTGTCAACCCAACCACATATACAAATAAAGTTTCATTTCCAAGATCTGATTGCATAATTAGAAGGAAGGCTTATAAAAGTATGTTAATAATAAGTTTAAATAAGTATATCATCGACTTGAATGCGATTACATTGTGATGAATTGTAATATAAGGCCTAGGATCGCTGGCCACTCTTAGGGCCTATTGGTCTCTGGTTAGTGGCCTTGTCTGCTAAACCAGAGGTCGTGGATTCTATTCCCTGTGCTAACTGTGCCACTCAAATATTTTTTCTTTACGGCAGTTCGCGAACCGTCGAGATTTACTGCGAATCCTGGCATGGCTGGCAACGACTTTGTATCTAAATATAGGTAACTATACTTTTCGTCGCTTGTCACGACATCCTATATCACGCTATGGAAATTCTCTCATCGATTGATAGAGTTTTTCGATCGAGGATTTGATCTTTCTATGAAGAATCTAACACTTTATAAAAGATGTGTTTATTTTGTAGATCTGTCCGTACATTGTTCGGTGAGGATGAGGCGTGCTATATCATGGACGCTAAAGTTCAGGGCAATATTGGACGTTATCTTAATGTAAGTATATGTGTGATGTACGCAAGTAGATGTATACACACGCGCCCTAAAATGTTTGGCAGAAGCATGTTGATAAGCCATATGATTAATGTGTAGGTTTTGTCCCACCCAAAAAGCTGCCATACCTTACCTAGTGTTGTCAAACCGTAGTATTCTGTAAAAAAAAAGGAATTAGACTAACAGGGCAGCCTTGATTTAATAGGAAATTGCTGGTCCTTACCTCATTAAGAAAAAGGAAATGAAAGTCCTTTAATATTTTGCTCTTAGTTTTTATGTATGTCTCATTGTATTTTTTTTTTATTATAATATTTAAAATCCAGTCCTAAGCCGCTACCAATAACGAAATTATGATTATTTAACTATTAAGTAATAAATCTGAATTTCCAGCACTCGTGCTCCCCCAACGTGTTCGTTCAGAACGTGTTCGTGGACACGCACGACCCTCGGTTCCCGTGGGTCGCCTTCTTCGCCCTCTCGCACGTGAGGGCCGGCACGGAGCTCACCTGGAACTACAACTACGACGTCGGCTCCGTACCCGGCAAGATCTTATACTGCTACTGCGAAGCACCGAACTGTAGGGGACGGCTATTGTAAAAAAACTCGTCTTAAAAAGTGAGTAAAAATCGTGTAATAAGAGTTTCAAAAGTAAAAGGTCTAACGACACATACGGTGTATTATTCAGTTATAGTCATTATGTTAACGAAAAAGAGTTCATTTTAAGACAACAAGAATCTTCTTTTTTTTAATTCAATTAATAATGAATGAAGCCTGTAGGTGTTTTTTTGTTGATATATAAATAATAATGTGAATAGGGACGGAAGTATGTAACAAGAAATAGGAAAAGCGCGCGCTTTTTGATTTGACCAATGAGCGCGCGGCTGGAGTTATCCGTCAGATGTTGCATCATACGTGCCTAGTGTAGGGTTGGCCCGTTTTTTATATTATAATGTCGAATTTATTCCTAGATAGTACAGGACGAGTTTTTAAACATGTTTCTATAAAAAACCTAAGAATAAAAATAATATTAATGTTGTATATCATATCTTTGTATTTGTAGCCGATAAATAAATGTTGTTCTTAGAACTTTGGCATACCACGATTACTCCTCAGTGTAAAATCTTAATTATTAGGGTAGTTTTCTATTAAGAGTGAAATTTATCACACATTTTTTATAAAAAAAAAGACATATTTGACTTTAAAAAAGGTATTACCGACTCCAATGTGCAAAAGTTATGATAAATTGTACTAAACTGATATGATATATTGAATTTTTCAAATTTTAACGGACTTGTGTCTTCATTAGATTATGTATCCTGTATCGTATCGTGATATAAAGAATTCCCTCGCCGATTAGCATATATACAACTTCCCAACATCAACCGTTGGGCCGCGGCCCGCCAGGCATGATTACCTCGCCTGGTCGGAGGATCCTCCCTTTGTGTTGGAGGGACATGACACCTTAAGTCTGTGGAGGAACCACAGACTTTTAAGGTAACAAACAACTCCTTTATTCGAAGTTGGTTGAATAAAATTGGATGGACTCCCTGTTCAATAGAGTTACAGTATAAATCAGTAAGTCGACTTGTACAAGGAAGTCCACGTAAAAATAGTGAACTACCCTATTATAGCATAACAATACTCGAATACATTATAGATGTAAGTGAATCTCTTCCAAACATGTTGTATTATCTGTAACAGTGTATTTATAATCTGTTGTAATAAGAAATGATGATTGAGAGCTGAGTGGTCACAATAAATGGAATTGTAATAGTATTTTAGTTGTATTATTTATGTCAAGAAATAAAAAGGTAAGTGTTTATCAGTGTGTATTAGTCCCTATTATGTCAATTTTAGACCCCACCCCCTCTGCCCCCTCAAAGATATACGAAGCAGCATATTTATTGTCTTCAATTTTTTGCAAAGTATAACTTTGCAAAAAAATTAAGTTTGTTCGTTCTCGGCCGAAAGAAGTCCACTCATGGATATAGGCCTCTCCCCTTCCCAAAGATTTGCCCCGACATCCGGTTCTGTGCTATCCAACGACCGACCTCCGACCTTTATCAGGTCGTGGGACCGCCTTGTGGGGAGCCTACCCACGCTCCGTCTTCCGGTAGTGGTTGCCATTTGAGAACTTGGCAATTAGTTTTTATTTTGTAGTTGTTGTTGTCAATTAGTTTTGTAGTCTAAGCATTTTTAAAGCGCCTTATCTACTATGTAGCACACAGTTAATAGAAAATTTTAATGTCGATGTATGGTTATTAGAATTCAAACAAATAATAAAATTATATGTGATTTCTTCTTATCGTCTACGAAAAACTGCTCAATCAAAGGCGCTTAGTCCGTGAAACTCTTGAGAGATTAAAATAAATTGAATCGAGTCAAACAAATAGTTTATTGTAGTAAGGTACAGAGTTCATAGCCCCGGCATGATGTAGGCGATGTTGTGCAGCGTGTCCTGCAGCAGGCGCTGAGGGGGGGCGATGGCGGGGATGGCGCGCGACACCGACAGCAGCGGAGCCAGCGAGCACAGCAGCGTGTCCAGCAGCACCGACACCGACCCTGACACTGCGATTTGACCCTGCACGAGACATACTTTTTACTATATAGAAAAACGCGCACCTTTCTTCTCATGGAGTAATAAAAGATAATAGACAATAACTTGCTTTGTAAGCTAAATCTATGAAATTGATAGTTTAATACCAGCCAGCGTGAAGATAATACACATACTCACATAGAGATATAAGCATAGAGAGATCACAGGGTATAGCTGCCTGTAATTTAAAGCGATACAGGCAACGAGAGATAGGTGTCCTATAGTTTCCTCTGTCTCTGTTTACCTAAGCTGCGATGGCTACTTATTGACCCCTCATAATCCCCAGCCAACCACAGAGCTCGACTAGAAATAGATATACTCTATATACTCATATTGCAAGATTGTTCTCTCTCTGCTAATATTCTATGCATACTTAGGTATATTTTCCCAATGATGGCATACATAGACAGACAGACATACATTTTGTCGACTATAATTTTAGGCCCACTTATATAATAAGGCGCAAGTCTACAGCCGTCAATGAAGCGTTATACAGATCAGATGAGAAAATTGACAGTGCATTACAATGTAGCCACGAAATCCATACCTCGTGTTCCTTGAGCCTCTCCCCGATGATGGCGAGGCTCTCACCCAACAGCCGAAGGTGCGCGGCCACCTCCACAGCCCCGCAGCCCGTGACGCGGTACATGCCGCCCGCCCCGGCCGCTGTCCCTGCCGCTGCACTTGCCACGGGCTACAACCAAACATATATAACTTTCAGAACTTGGGGCGAGAATTTTAAAACTATACAAGTTATGGTTACACTAATAATATAACATCTCTTTTATCTGCGGCTTTACTTGTATTCGTGATAGTCATTGTGCCTTCATAACACTTTATATGTTAAAAAACCAGTGTCTTTTCCCCATAATCTGTTTTCTGGTAAAATTTATCACTCATACAAATCAAAGTTGGTTATACAGGTTAAATATGATTGCTGATTGATGACTGATTCCTATACTCTAAGAAATGTATCAATTGAATTAGAACTGGAATATTACCCGGCCCAAATCTGTAACACTATTATAGACTTTAACTAGGTTTTGCGCGTGGCTCTGCCCGCGTGTATGTCGGTTATCGCGGGTAAAAGTAGCCTATGTTACTCGCTGATAATGTAGCTTTCCATTGGTGAAAGAATTTTCCGGTTTAGTGGTTTAGGTGTGAAAGCATGACAAACAAAATAACCCCCTTTCACATTTATAACATAAGTATGAATAACAAATTACAAACCACAAGAGCTTGTTGAGGTGGCGTAGTGGGAACTGGTTTAACAGGCGGGCGGTTGGCAGGAGGGCGGCCCGGTCCAGTCGTAGTAAGGGGCCGACCTATAATTACATGACATTAAATACTAAAAATGTTAATTGTCTGGATTTGTACAAATATATCAACCAGACTCTATATTGCAAACTTTAAGCCATTGGGGTGTACATTTAAAAGTAGGAGTACTGGTTTTATGCTCCTTTGGCTTGAAGCCTGCAAAATATTAACTTGAAACTAATATAAGACCTGAAAAAGTGCTTAATTTTATACACTGTGTATATTACGAAAACAGGCCTTGGCACCTGAAGGCCCATTCTCGTAATATAAGCTAGATCACAATTCAGCTCTTATCATCTCCCAAAGTTTTTCATAGTAAAGTATTAAACATTCAACTTGAATGTGACTGTAGTATTAGTGTATTACTAAGACTCGTAGATAACCAATTCTAATTTCAGTTGCAACAAGTTTACTATTATATTACGAAAATACCTTTTATGGCAGATCGAAAGGATTTTTAACTGAACGTATTTTACGGAAATTGGCTTTCGAGAACATTTTTTACATTGTTTTAACAAGATTGTAGCTTTAATATATCTCACACATTTCACACACTGCTGTCTGGTCCCAAACTAAGACCTCCAGAACAAATGACCGTTCTCATTACACAATATTTTTCCTGGGTGGGAATCGAACCCACGACCCTCGGCTTAACAGTCAGGGTCACTAAACCAACAGGCCCGTCAATTAAGAAGAATGTTTATTATGCTAAGCTTACTTGGATTAGATATTATAATCTTGTTCGCTGTAGCTTGATTGCTCTGCTCCTTCTGCATTGCAAACCGTTTGGCTTTGCGCTTCCACAGATAACGTTCATTGTAGTTCACCTGTTATACACAAATTAACTGTTGTAATCTTTGGTATTAAAAATCAGGTCTGTGCAATATGAAATAAAAATTTTTTTTTACATTAGACCACATTTCTCCCAGGCGTTTTGAAATTGCAGAGAAGTCCATGTCAGGATGCTTGCGAAGTAACTCATTTCGAGCTTCCTTAGCCCACATCATGTAGGCAGTGATGCGGGTTTTACCCTTGTCTTTTCTCTGGGCTTTGGCCCTACCAACAACTCTGCCATCTTTCACAATCAACTTCTTTTTGCTACTCTTCTCCATCATATAAAGAGAGTTAGCTGGAGTCCTAGTGGAGCCTTCGTCTGATGCCGAGCTGTCGGATTCCATGCTGCAATTAAATTATAAATAATTAGTATGTATGTAATATAATGCAATTATAATAAATAGTAGATATGTTTATCAAGAATTCTAATTAAGAGCTGACTCTGCTTGAATGCAACTTATTTGATGTTATTTGCAAATTAGAGATTTTTCTTCAAATGGTTTAGCTTTATCATTTTATTAACAGTACAAATGATAATTAATTTCCAAGTTTTAAGTTTTATATTTTTTTATACTCACCTATCTGCATTTTCTCCAGTGTTTTCATAATAATCTGACTCACTTCCAGATGCGGTGCCTGCATCGTCTACCGGTCTCGGAGTAGTACTTTCTTGTGGTGGAAATTCCTGGCTCTCTTCAGGTCGGAATCCGGTATATGATTTTACGGGCGTTTGACGCCGAAAACGAGTCTCAATGTCATCAGGAGACTCAAAATCCATCAATTTAGAACTTTTCTTTCTAACACGTCCGCTACGCGATATGCCAGTGACTTCCAAGTCTAAAAAAAGGTAATATTGACACTGACAGCTAGCATCTTAGGTATTTACAACACGGTATTACTCATTTTAATTGTAGTCATAATATTACCGTCGAAAACGTAACCAACTGTTGCTTTGCCATTGTGTAGAAGCAATTTTTAATAATAAAGATATTTGAGTGGACTGACATTTTGGAGGGAATTTGCAACAGCATTAAATTATAACATGGAGTTATTTCCAATATTCTTACTTACCTTCTTGCATTTTCGCTGTTTTTGGGCTTGTTAAGAATGTTTTGTTGTTCGAAGTCTAGTGTTATATTTAAACTAATCAATATTTTTGTACACACGACGCAAAATCCAAGTTCATCACTTTGACTTTGACAGGACTATTTTGATTGACAGTGACAGAAACAGAGTTGCCTTGTCTCCTTAGCTCCTTACCCAGTTTTAAAAACTTCCAGTGCTGCCCAGAATAAAACTATATAAATGTACTTATTATGTCAAGTTCTTAATATAAAATAAATAAATAAATAAAATAAAATATGTGTATTAATCGAAATATGTAGCTGCAAGACGAAAGTGGTTTACTAATGTGTCTCATTTGATCACTATTATTGTTGCTAATTATTTTTAAATTAGCTTCGTCTACCCACTCATTACGTGTGTAAAGCACAATTATGTTTGTTTACAAAGAAATTTCTAGGAATAAAATAAAAATCATAATAATAGTATTTTTAAATTATTTGGATTATATATTACATATATTATTTAGATAATAAATTAGTGCAATAACAGTATCTATATTTCAATTATTTACAATAACAAGGTGTATAAGTAAAAGAAATATCATCATCATCATCAGCCCATCGCAGGCCACTGCTGGACATAGGCCTCTCCCATTGCCAATAAAGAAATATAAAATTAAATCATTTATATACTAAGGCATCAATTATAAGCCACTACAACACACAGTAAAATAAGAATAATAATTACAATAAAAAAATACTTAAACCTACTAATCACCATCAGATGAGCTGTCACCACCGCTCTCCCATTCAGTAGAATATTCAGAGAGTAAATAATCCTCTTCATTTAATTTGTGATGATGACTTACTGATGGTGTTTCGGATGGCAATGAAGGTGGGATAATCAACTGCAAAACCTCCGATGGCAAAGAAGTAAATTTTCTTCGCGGTAACTTTCTATACGAGTTGATAACACGATCAGACGTAATGCAAGCTTTCTCAAAAAATCTGTATTTGTGGCAATACGTGACCGCTTCCTGGTGTGCCGTTCACGGAATCTACGACAGTATTTCTTGTCTCCTGGGCTTCTTCGGAGAGTGGTCCAATAGGAAGAAAAAAATACTTTATAACTTCCGCTCTGCCCAACCCGTTAATAGACTCCAAATATTGAAAATAATAGAGTTGAGAGAATGCCATCTTGAGACCACAGTCTAGTTCACGCCAACTTGACAAGGCTTCAGACAGGCGGACAGACGAGAACGATTCCAGTGTATCAGGTGTAATCATAAGATAGGAAAGTATGAATCGAAGTAAATCGTGACTGCCGGTATAATATGCATGGATTATATGTACATATAAATCCGCCTCTTGAATCACTCTCTCTATTGGTGAAAACCGCATTAAAATCTATTGCATAGTGTAAAAGATCTAAGCTTACAAGAATAAAAAGCGACTTCATTTTATACTGTGTAAAGATTAAGAAACAATCGGCAACTAACTCATTAAAATCGCTTATGAAAAAAAGAGTTCGATATCAACGGTTGATAAATTTGATAGGTACGATAGACAAATTACCATATATAAAGCTTTATTAATCTTTATTTACATCCACAACTGGTTAGCAGGTTTTGTTTTATTTAAAAAGAATACTTACGTTCAGGTATACAAAAGTTTGCTATCTTTTATTGGGTTTCTTTTTCTAAGTGTGTTGACACCTTGTAATACATCTTGATTTTAACCCTAGGCTAGAGGTACAACAAGGTGACGGCTGTACACGGGGGTTGTCCGGTCAATGGCACTGTACGGTGCACCAGAGTGGGCGATAGCTCTCACCGGTTAGAGATATGCAGTTACCGCACCGTGTCGACGGAGGCAGCATGCGTGTTGACCGGAACCCCCCCGTGGGAAATCGAGGCCGAGGTGATCGCTGAAGTTTACGGCTCGGTGGACGGCTAAGTTATGCGCTAGGCTGACGTGAGGCCGCTCGCCGAGCCATGATGGCTTGTTGGTCGTCCCGGCTGGAGGCTCCACGTTCTGGGTTTGGCGCCGTGGAGGCCGGCTATCGTCGATTAGGCAGGGCGGCAGCACGGGACCATTTCCTTCCGACTGACGCAGGTCCTTTCCGGGCATGGCTGCTTCGGGAATTATCTGCACTGGGTCGCTAGGAGGGAATTGAGTTCCGCCTGACACCACTGCGATCGCAGTGAAGACTCGGCTTAGCACACGCTGGCAATTTGCCCGGCTTGGACGTCGCAGCGTCGGGTCCTTATTGCAGTCATTGAAAAGTATCTCTCGCTACCGGCCATCCTACAATCAATGACCATACGCTCGCGTGTGCCGGACGCTGTCTAAATAGAGAATGTATCCCAAGGTGGTACCCGCGCCATTGCGAGCAGGCGATAGGAGGGGTCCGGATGTCCTAATAACAGCAGTTCCCGGATCCTATTACTCTCTCCTACGAGGGTTGCTACTTATGTATCCGGAACTGGCCAGTTACAGAACAATATTAAAAAAGTAATTATAAAATTTAAAAATGGAATTACAGGCGCAGAGTGGCACACCATGTGGTTTTAGTGGGTCTGTTTCTGACACACCACCCCGAAGTATAACAAGGTAGGTTTCACAACAAAAATAAAACAACAAATATAATTATTTTATTTTATATAACTGTCAGTAATAAATAATTGTACATAAATATCAGCTGATAAATCTATAGTTATACAGTGTAATGACAACATGAAACCTCGCTCCAAGGCCCGAGCTTAGAGAACATCTATGTCTAGATAACATCCATGGAAACGGAGAAGAAAAAATTAACACAAAATAAGTGAATAGCTCTCAAATATTAACAGATCGAATTAAAAATAATGACATAAAATATTGGAGATGACTAAAACGTTACTTCGTCTCTGATAAATAGGTAACACAATGTTTTGAGACGTATAGAATCAAATGCTCTATTAATATGTATCTAAATGTATTTAAAAAAATGATCTCAAATAAGGACCTCATCGAGATTTCGAAAGGTAAAAAAATCTAACAAGTATATACATGTCACCCATTTGCTTACATAAAATTAAAGTACTGACAACATTACGACGTCATAATACATTTTTGTAGAACAATTGTAAGCACACAGGCTTCAATAAATAAAAAAAAACAATACCATATGCAAATTACATGACATTATCGAAAAATATCGTAATCACTCATAAAGAAAGTGACTTTTTGAGAAAAAAACTGCCAAAAAGATTTCAGTATATTTTTTAATATTGTAACTTTTTACTTAAAAAAATAACGTTTACGGACTAAACAGAAGCTTGCAACCATTATTACAATAATAATAAATGAAGTGAATATACAAAGTACACACGTACTAAATTTCGTTTTTTTACACAACTGTAAGATTTTAATTAAGATAGATAAGATCTTGGAGATTATATCAAGAAAACGCAAGCTTAATAAAACTTCGAAAAAATTTGGCCAATTACCATAGTTTCAGTGTCACTTCGTCACTTTCAAATACCATATAATAAAAAACAAGAACTAATAACAAAATACTATTTGCCTGAGATCGCATTACAATTGTCATATAAAATATGCACATGACAAAATAAGATGTCTGACATGGCAACACAAACTAATAAAGTAGTGGAGAATATAAATCTATAAATGAAGAAAACAAATTATTTTACAATAATTCAGAAAAGCACTCAGTTTTTAATTATGTCAATGACGAACATGTTTTTGGTGTATTGTCGACTCTGTTACTGTTTAATAGGTTTTCCTGGAAACTTACTGCGAATACCAGTGAATAGCGGTATGCAAAAAAGTCAGTTACAAAAGAGGCACGAGACACTGTACCGGTGTGGGCGTTGCTTTAAAACTGTACTACGCAGCGGTGACAGTTGGTCGTAGAATACCGCGTAATGTGGTCGTGTAATGAATAGTTCTGCCTCCATTGTGACATTTAAGAATAAAACCATGAGAATTATAATAATTGTGAAATGATTTCCAATTATTTATTAACATTCTAGAACGACGGTTTCAACGACACAGATTTTAGAAATGAACTGAAGTAAAAATGAGATGTTTTGTTGTGGTTGCTATTCTGAACAACATGAAACAGTATTGCCATATAAACAAATTGTGCTGACACTTAAGCTAAAGAAATCACAAAGAATAGAGGTTTCTGTGAGAGTTTACAAGTAAAAATTAAAAAAACCCTTTTTGACCGATAGACAGCTCACTAATCCTGTAAAATTTGTATTAAAAAAACTAAACGCGTTTAAGTAGTTGTCCGCTTTAGGCTGCTATATTTTTTTTAATTTTTTTTTTATTTGACTAGAGAAACTTTGTTTCATATATAGCAGTTACTCTAACCCTCAGATATCCAAAGCGGTCGACGATGACCTCTAGAGTAGTTATATTGTTAAAATAGGGGGGTTCACCAAGAAAAACAAAAAATTAACGGTCTACGATATAAATAAGTTTTTTGAATTCTACTGTAGAGCATGGGCGTTCGAAATATTTCGACTGTCACGTGCTTGCTGTGCTGAAAACGTTCATTTTTTTAAAGATGTAATTTACTGTAATTTTATTCTCGTTATTAACACTTAGCGCTTATGGCTTGTGCAAATATTACGTAGTTTTTTTGCGGGTGAGTTATGTTTACAGTTTTTTTTATTTTTGCCAATAGTATTCCCGAATACTGCATTAGCAAAAAAAACAGTGATGCCTACTTTGAAAAAAATATATAATTAACTTTTTTTACAAAACATATTTCAAAATTAAACTAAGAACACTAATAATTTAAAAATCAATTATTTTACGTTATATTATTTATTACATATTTTTAAGGAGATAATTTTAATTTATAGGATGACGTCACACAGGAACCTCTTATAACGGTTACATAATCAACTTACTCTCCCAATGATGCTGCTAACAATGACTGCCATGCACATAATGAAGCCAATACCGGTAATAATTTGATTCGGCTCCAGCATAACTTTGTTTTGCGCGTCCAACTGGTTGTGGTCGACATCCTCTAGATCTTGGTGGACTACTGATAGTGCTTTGGCAAGTTCCGCATCAGATTTAGCACTAGTCTGAGATGCGATCAGAATGGTACGGCGTAGTTCTCGGAGGTGACTGTCCATAGACGATTCGCGTTGGTGGAGATGTTCTGATTGTAAATATAGAAATTGGTTAAATAAAGTGATCTTTATAAGTTGACCCCAGAGAGTATAGGCCACAGGCCCTTAGGGTGAGGGACGAGCGAAGAGATAAATCGAAAATTCATAATAAGACATTACTTTTTATGTTGTAAGCACCCACTAAGACTGAATATTTGTCAATTTCACCACTAAGGGGGTAAAATAAGACATAAACGGTTGTATGGAAGTTCATTATTTTAAAAGATAGAAATACGAAATAGATAGTTTTAACAAAAGAAAATGATCTTACCTATCAAAGATGTCTGTTTGGTGACCAGCTGGTTGATATTGGCTTGCATTTCTTTTAAGTTTTCTTGCAATTGGTCCTACATTAAAAAAAAATGTTAATCTTATTCTGAATTTTAGGATAATTAGGGATTACTACTTTTATAGATGCATGGAATGAAACTGAATACTTGTACAGATTTAAATATAGATACTGAAGCCCATGTTCATATGACAGGCTCATGGGTGTAATGGTTAGCGATCCTGACTGCTAAGGCACAGGTCGTGTGTTCGAGTCACACCCAGGACAAATATTGTGTGATGAGCACTATCATTTGTTCTGTGTCTGGGTATCTATAATTGTACATACTCTAGAAATATATAAGTGATGTTTATTTAGAAACATATGTTCCCAGTGGGTGGTAATAGACGTGCTACCTATCACGTAAGTGGGAATAAAATTATAGTGGGCAAACTGTGGGCGTTTATTAAGATTCAGTCTACCCATTCGGTGAGAAAAGACGACAGCGCATTTATGTATGGTCAAATCACTGTTAAGGATATAAACCTTTTTGGAATTTATTACTATTAATATTTAAAGTTTGGATATTTTTTTTTTCAATCATAAAAGAAGGCTGAACGTTTCTGAATTAAATTTGGCACAGAGCTAGTTGGAAAAGTTTTTACCTCCGAAAAAAATAATTCAAACAGATAATTATCTTCAAAATAGTGTCTGCACTTCAAAACGTGATGAATGTGTACAAACAAACTGTATTTTTCATCCTTAATTTTCCAATCTTAGCGGTGGCATTTAGTTCCTTTTTTTTAAGAATGGGACCAAACAGAAAGCATACCTTCCTAAATAAACAAATAAATATTTCCAAATTGCTTTATCTTTGACTTAGTTTTCCTGTATTAAGATTTATTAAAGTTTTTTAGATGGTTTTTTATACATATAACTATATTCGTTTATACATTTTTAAGGGAAATTAAGTTTGAATAAAAGTTTTAAGGTAAATTATTAAATACCCTGGCTTGTATTCTCAGATTTTATGTTTTGTCCATTAATATTAGAAATGGTGACGGATTAGGAATACAGAGTGTCACCAGCCCTATTCATCGACGTAAACTTGAAATAAACTCTATAAGAACCCATCTGGCCAGCGTGGTATAGTAGACCGAAACCTCCTTTGGAGAGGAGAGGCCTATGTCCAGCAGTGGACTATTAAAGGCTGTTGATGATGATGCTGATTATCTGTGATGGAGATTTGAGGTTAAAACATATATATGTTTTTTTTTATGTTACAGGGGTCAAACGGGCAGTTAGGGTCACCTGATGGCCAGTGTCGACCTCCGCCTGTGGACCTCTGCGAAGTGCGTTGATACCCTTTATAAAAACACAACAGAAATAAGGACCTCCGCCTTTTATTAAGTTTGTTGAAAAAAAGCCAGTTTATAATTTTAGCTTAATACCTGATAAGCGAACTCAGTCTTCATAGCTTCAGTGATGTCGGCCCTGCTGGCTGAACTACCTCCAGCTATGGTGTACAGGACACTCGCACTCCGAGCCATTTGCTGTTCCATCATTTCTCGGAACTCCGACATCTTAAGATGATTGTTTATCGTCGAACCGGCGATGCCTAACACTGTCCCTATGGTGATAGAAATTAGATTCAAAATTGAGATGTATCTTCTTTCATCTCTTATTTGTGCTGAAGAAGAAGAAGCAGAAAAAGTGTTCAAGAGTGTCATGATTGCCGCTCTTGGCTACTGGTCCGATTTCAAAGCCTTATAAAATAACGAAAAATCTAATAGAACTGTTTGTTATAGGACAATTTCGTTTCCTAATACTTTAAGCTTAACACCCTTTTTTAAGAAGATTTAGATATATTTCAGAGATTCATCTTGAAATTTTCGAGATATATTTGGCAACATCAAATCAGTACTTAAATTTTTTGAGGGATAAACAACGAGCGATGTTTATCATGCTAAGTGATATAGTCAGTTTCATTTCCTCTGTTGACGTGTATAGAGGCGATTAACGCACTAAGGATAACTGCTCTGAGAGTATGGCCCTTATATCAATCCAACACAAAGAGATAATCCTACGACCAGGCGAAGTGATCATGCCTGGCGACTCAACGGGAAATTTTATATATGTATAGTGTATATACTAATACTAGTGTAATCAGAGAACTTTCTTTGTTCGATACAGTATTAGTTAACTCGTAAGTCAGCGTGTCTTCATTATAAGACATTAAAATATGTTTTTTGATGTGTTTGGAAGTCGTCAAAGTACCACAAAGGTTACTAAAACATTAATTAGAGTAATAAATTTAAACAACTTACCAAATATAGACGCGACAATATACCAATACTTATTTCTTTCGGCGTGCGCCCGTTCCCGTTCGTGCCCCAACTTCACTGCCGCTGACATCGTAGCGAATAGCTCGCGCTCTTCTCGTTCTGCATCCGCAAATAGCGTGCGGAGAGCTCGCTCTTGAATTATAAGCTGATAAGCAGGAAAAATACTTAGTATTTTTAGTTATGAAAACTTTTGTTTGATTGCGAACTAATTCTGGACTCGACATGGAAGCTAATAAAGCTTTCATTTTGGGTCCGGAATGGAAATTTGAAATTGAACACTATGAAACGGGTTGATAGTCCAGTCATTATAGTAAGTTCACCTCGGAATTCGAGATACCCAGCTGTAAGTGTGTAACTACTTGTATATTGACACCCTAAAAGTTGTCTCAAAACCTACATATGGTAGGGTGTAAGCAACTATTAAATTTCAAGGTCAAAGGTCACAAAAATCGTTTATTTGCGTATATCTCATTTCCTATCCTATATTCCTATGGGTTTTTTGCTATTTGTATTTATTATCAATATTGTAGAATACAAAATTCTCTACAAATTAACGTGTGGAAACCCCCTCGGGCTGTCACCCCACCGGGGTTTACGGCGGGGTGGTGCGCCTGTAATAGGAGGGATCCGGGAACTGCTCTTATTAGGACCTCCGGACCCCTCCTAGCGCCTGCCCGCAACGATGCGGGCACCACCTTCGGGTACATTCTCTATTTAGGCGACGTCCGGCACACGCGGACGTCGCCTCCTCGCGGCTGGCCGTTATGGCAGGAGGAGGGGAAAACCCGTCCACCCGCGGCCACACTCAGGGCGGCATGAGGCGGTGATAAGCGCGCCTCCGCCGCCCGGTTCGCCGGCGACGGATTGGGTCCGAGTGGACAGAGATTCTTACCTAATTTAAGCTTAAATGACTGGACTATTGATGTCAGTGTTAGGCGCTGCCTTAGGTGCACTTATTTTTTTCCCTAATATTGGTAATCAAATTTGAACTAGACACTCACAAATTTAAATATTATTATTTTTATATACATGTGTCAAACAAGTTTATAATACTATTTTAAGTAATAGTAATTAGTTGTATTTAAAAGTGGCTCATGAAACTTCTGTTAACTAGAGTCCCCACAGGACCGATGATTTGCTAGAATGTAATTAGCTACTTTACTAATTCTATAAAGTTCAATGTTAGTTTATTATATTTTGCACAGCCCGACGGGGTGCAAGCCCTAAGCTGGGAGCATGTAGTAAATACATACATTTATAGAAACAAGAAAAAAGCATAAAAATATTATAATATTGAACAGTTACCTTATGTTCCTCTGTGCAAAGATGTAAGTACTTATCATCACCCTTCATAGTGTTCTGCATTTCAGCGTGAAGCTCCTTCAGCCTGGACTCTAAGGTAGCGAGCTGACGACCAACATCCCTTCTACGTTCCTGCGCTGCTATGAATCTGTCCTGGAAGTAATAATAATATTTTAGGAGATCTGATACAACGCCATCTAGTTTCTAAGCAGAGCTGGTACTGTGAGAGCGTAGAGGACGTCGGCGACGATACCAGCCGCCGACGGGGCCGCGGGCCACCAGAGAGTGGGGACCTCTGGTGGCAGATTGACTGCTGCGGTAGGGGACAGGATAGCGGCCTGATTGCATTAGAACGCAATTGGGCCGCCATGCCGCGATTGTGGGAGGGAAGTGTTTTTCCCCAGGCATAGAGCCTGATTAGGCATGGTGTCAATTCGGGGAGGACCCGAAATAACATGGTCTGGGTCTTCCCTGAGGCCGGCCGTCGGGGTGGTTTTTATTGGAATCCCCACGTACTCCTTGCTTCTGAGTCCATGAGGAGCAGGAGATCCGAAAGGAATTTTCCAGCCAGTAAACAAAAAAAAAGATTGACTGATAGAATACGTATATGCTTTTTGTTTTGTAAATACTTACATCTTCTGCATAGAAAACACCTCCGAACAAATATTTGCAGATCATACCCGAGAATCGAACCCGAGACCTCAGGACAGCAGTCGCATACACTACCACTGGACCCCCGAGGAAGTAAACATAGTTTTGCAGGAATTTTCGTCACCATTTTTAATTCCCGTGTCCATCATTATTTAGTAAATACAGCATAGATGATAGAGCACCTACTAAACCTCCCATTTTCTTTTTTTTTATGGTGTAGAGGCAAAAGAGCAGACGGGTCACCGGATGGCAAGTAACTAACTAACCGCCACCCATGTAGCAAATATGAAAAAAATCCAAACGAATCGAGAACCTTCTCTTTGTTTCAAAGTTAGTTATTTAGATAGTGCCATCATTTTCTATGACTAGCCCTGAGATCAAACATCGAAATTCAAGAATCTAAGTGTCATTATACCGTCTAGGCCTATTTCTCAGCGTTCCATGGATTCACTGAACGGGTGCCGAGTCCATCGCGTGATAGAGGTGTGTTGGGTAGCTCATTTATCGAGAAATTTTGAATAAAATTTATTAATATTTAAGACATAATTAATATTTAAAACGTAAAATAATTTTTGAATTCATACCAGCAGTTTATGAGAATTAGCGCGTGCCGCCAAACAAATTATTCCTAGGCCTAGTGTGAGTTTATTTTACATCGACTCGATCGTCACTGTGACGCGAGGCAGCCGAGAGCCAGTTAATGTGAAATATACTCACACAAGGCCCTTAACTTTATAATATTTGTACTTTTAGATAAGTTAGACATTGGAAAGTGTTTCTACTCATCATTATATTTTTGACAATGACTGTGCAAAAGATAGCAATTGTAAATTTAAGACTGATATAAAGTTGAATGTAAACAATATACCTTAAAAAATTACTAACACAAGAAAAAATGGAATGTTTCTGTGTGATTTGTTTAACATTTTGTGATAAACAAATAAAATAAACATAGGATTTAAAATAAACTAAATGTAACCACTACACCACAGATACCACCACTTCACCATAAAACCGGTGTCAAGCAATTTTTTTGTTTGTGTCTTCAACTGAGTGAGTTAGGTTACTGGAGCCTTAACCCTCATCCTGATTCTGGGAGGGGGTTTTGGTATTGGTTGGGGTTCTGGAAGGGGGACTCGAACAGTAGTAGCTCCCTTGTGTCCATGGCAGAAGTGACCTGAAGCTCAAGTGTGAGTTTATTTAACATCAACTCTCTCTGGATAACAAGTGCGTTCAGCGTTGCAATTGGTGCAGATTTTGGTGTGGGCTAATTACAGCTCCGAACGCGTTCACCATGACGCAGAGTAGATGTGAAATGAACTTGTACTTGGCCTATGTTTGCTTGTGTGCCCTCCTCTATCATGAAAAAAAAAAAACCCTTTTTTCCAAAAGTACCTATGTCATCAGTCATTTTTTTTAAAAGTAGTCAGCATCTAATTATTATTTAGTTACAGTTTGAATTAAAATTAATAATACATGTACATGACTTTTGTTGGCCAAGCAAATTTGAGACTAATTTAGGGATTTGATAGTAAATAAATTTAGTGTAGTTAGTTAGTCACAGCAGGCATTTTGTTATTACTTTGAATTGTTTAGATGAGACTCATATTCAACACTGACACTCCTATGTGAATGATGGCTTGTGGCTAAGTGGTAACTGAGTAGATTAGCACATTACAAAGTTAAGCAGTCATAGCAAGGTCAGTTTATGGATAGGTAACCATTGAAACTCCTTCATGGTGCGGAGAGAATTTTAAGCCATCTGTCCCACTTGCCATACAGATATCTGTGGCAATCATTACTGGTAGTATTAGAACAGTCTTTTTACAGAACTTCGATATCGCCTACTTGGGCTGTGGAGGTCTGCTGGCAGTTGCTCCACGTAAAAAAGAAGTTCGAAGTTCATCCATGACGGAGTAAACTGAAAGCCGACCCCAACCAAGTATGGGAAAACGGTGGTAGACTCGTATGTCGACGGTCATACTTTTATTGTATACCACTGTGTAGAATGTAATGTGAATGATGCAAATCTAGATATATGGATGATGGCCTACAAACCTGTGCATCAACGACAGTGTTCTGGATCGCCATGATTTCCTCCACGCCCGTGAATTTTTCATATCTAGCAACCATCTCTCTTACTTTCTTGCTGACTGTTTCATATTTAAGTTTTTCGGCAATCTCACTCACTCTCGGCACAGGAACATAAATTCTATTTTCACCTGTCTCATGTTGGTTATTTGGTTGCTTATTGAATAAGTTGAACTGTGATAAATGCACTTTTTCTTTCACCTTGAGAGCAAGCCGCCGAAGTTTATCTGACATATTTACATCTTATTGTCACTGTGTTAATAAAAATTAATAAATGTTTAGCATATTTCGTTTAGTGATATCATTCCGGATGTGGTGACAGTAATGACATTAAAATTTGGATTTGACGTTCAGAGATTGACATTTATAGTAGAGAGATTGACATAATAGTTTACGTTCATAATTTAGAGTTAATAGTCCAATACATATATTTATCAATGTGTATTTGGAAAGATGAAATGAACCGCAATTTCATTTTTTCCATCAATTAAATATAGAGATCAGCCTATTTTATGTAGTTGAAAAACTACAAATTTAAAATAGTTTTCAACAATTTGTGTTTGAATCCTTGCTCTGACAAGTAATGCCCTTATAATTCAAGATCGGGTTAATTTACAAGGCATTCTAAAAAAAAAATACATTTGTTCTTTGTTTGTCTTAGCTAGCTTAGTATTTAGTTTACTTTAAAAACCAACAGGTAAGAAAGATTTTCTTTGCTGCCATTTTTTTTTGAAGGAGGCGGAGGGGGGGATACAGGCAGCCAGACAGATCACCTAATGATATATCAACTAACACTTGCAACACATGGACAGTTGCAACTCAAGAGTCATTAAAGCGTTGCCGCCGTTTGTATGCCTTTTCCCCATTAAGCCGAGGGGTGGGGAAGGGGATAAGTTCTCCGGTAATTTTACTAAAGCAAGCAGCAAGTCGTATCAGTCGAGCCGGCTTGCTTCTCTCATGAAGCTTGAAGCTTGGTTCTCCCATGGTTAAATTTAGAAAGAAAAAGAATGACTTGGCATTTCTGGTTCATCTTTCGTAAATAGAACAATAGTTTCGGTACAGGCCATAGGTTAAGAAGATTAGCCACAATACAAATAATAAATAATAGTACCAGTAACAAAAATAATAAAATGTTAGTTTTAGGACAGTGGGTTGTTATTGTGAATTATCTTCGTTATTTTATGATTAGGTGCTAATTACTATTTGAAATATAAACAACTTGTAACGGTTTTCTTTCTTACTCTAGATATGTAAACAGGAACTTCGTAGATATTACACCTTACAATAAAGAATTCTGTCGTTATTACTTTTTGCTACAATATTGAAGCTCAACGTACTGTGTAGTTTTACTTTTTTATGTTACAAGAATAAAAAGAACACTTGAAAGTAATTAGTTAAGTAGGACGTACGAAAATGTGTGCATGATACTGTCCTAAATTATACTTCCTTAATATTAACTTATCAAGTTGCCGGAAAAAAATAATTGTGCCGTCGCGTCGTGGGCCATGCCGCATGTGAAATCGACATTATTTTGTATAGATAAGTATATGTGATGTGTGTCTATTTTTGTTTTCGTTAAATAGTTTTGTTCATTCACTACAGTTTGATTCATTCAGAGCATTATTTTTTTAATTCTGTGACGAACACCATTATTTGTACTGTGTCTGAGTGTAACTTATCTATAATATGTTTCATCATCATCATTTTCCTTTGCCCAACTTTATTTAGATTCGGTGAAAAGACTTTTTTCTTCCATTCTCTTTGATCACGCGACATCTCTTTTTGACACACTCCTTCATTTCATGCGTTTTGTTTTATGGCCGGTCGTCTGCATGACGTCAACCGTACTTAAAAGTGCAATCGTTCTTCGTACCTACATAGAATGAAGTGACAGATTTCTTAAATTATAAACACCCAGGGATTTACCTATTGCCAAATCAAACAGCTTCACATCCCTTTTTCTGCCGGGCAGCCATCATCACAATATTTAAGTATATGTATTTAGTGTATTTAGTAATATGTGTATGTATTTAGTAGTAAATTAGTATGTTCATTCATCATCATTATCATTTTAGTATTCTTAATACGTCACCACACGGACATTACGTATGATGACTAGGCAGTCAACAGTCGGTGCAGTGGTAGCGCATGCGACTGCTGTGCTGAGGTCTCGGGTTCGATTCCTGGGTTGGGTTCCTATGGTTCGATCATACAAACATTTGGTCCGACCAAATGTTTGTTTGATCCACAAATATTTGATTCGTAGTTTCGGTGTTTTCAATGTTTAATATGTATGTAATTACGAAAAAAATAATGTATAAACAGACCGAAAACGTTCATTATAGTTCGATTTCCATAGTTCGTATTATTATAGGCATTGCCTAGTTTGGGACGAAATGGTCGTGTGTATCAAGAGTCTATTATTAGTAAGTGTCATAGATATACGTTACCTAATAACAAATTCGACCTTAGCCATGTTTAAAAGCTAGTAAATTATTGATGTGAAACATCTAATGCGGAAGGTCAGACATGTTAGACGTCGCAATACGTCAGGCAGATATTTCATCGCAATTTTATTGTAGAAATATGGGTATTAGACGATAGCTTATGAAAGGTATAAATAAAGTACAATTAAAAATAGAATATTAAGATTTTTTAAAGATAATTATGATTACACGCGCCTTACAAACCTCCTTTCAAAGGAGCGGCTTATGAAGGCAGCAGTGAACTAGTGAAGGCTGTTGATGATGATGATGATAGGAGCATACCGTGGCGACGCGTCACTACGCCGCTGGCCGGTCTGACCCTAGCGTTAGATGTTTTACATCAAAATTAAAAACAAAACCTATCCCTATTTGTTTTGTCTTTGCCTATCGCTACGTTTTTTATTTGTGATACTATTTTAGATTCACTAATAGAACTGTGTAGTCTTGACGGTCTGGAATCTAAGATATATACATATACATAGTACCTACATATAGTCTAACGCTACGCAACCAAACTCCAAAATAGATCTAGATCTAGTCAATTTTACGTAGATTTTAAATTTAGAACACGTAGGTAGTGGTAATATATTACTCGTAGCACACATTGTTTAAATATATAATAAAAGCACAGTAATCAGTAATAATTTATGTTACAAATCTTCTTCTAATGTTAAAAATAAATTTTAAACGTATTTGACTCGACAAAACTTTTATAAAATAGGTCCAAGAATTCTAATGGTCAATGATTTATCGTAGGAGAGCCATGCTTAGGCACAAATGTGTCTCGCGAAGGAGACGGCGGAGCGGGACCGGGAGAGGTTTAGAACTCTCCCGGCCCGCCAGGCCCGGGCACGGGCCAGGCAGCGCAGGCGACTCAGGCGCCGGAGGTCGCAGAACGACCTCCGTCCTCCATAAGCGCAGGCCTGGGGGTGACAGGTGAGGCCATCTGTCACCCTAGCAGAAGCAGGCCGGGGTGGCGGCGAGCGCGTTGCGAAGCGCGCTCGCTTTCAGGGAGCACAGGGAACATGGGGTTCCCACACGGGGCGGGGGTCGTCTACTCGTCTGTAGATGACCCGAGGTATGTCGGGGCACCAGGGCCTTCCTTTCTAGGGTATACCTGGTTCCCCGGCTATTAGTACCCGGCGAAGGCGTGCGGTTTTAGTCGGTTCGAGTCCGACATGCCACCGACAGGTGGTATCCGAGGGGATTTCCGCACGGAAAAAAAAAAAAAAAAAAAAAAAAAAAAAGGCACAAATGTGTACACAAATGTGTGGCACATTCTGTAACGCGTGTTACGGAATAATTCTTTCGTGGCGTTCGAGTAACCGGGGGCCCAATCTAATTCACATGTGGCGTGGCGTGGCAAGACACTTTATCTCAGGTGCAGTTGTCCGTCTGCGGCGTTAACCTAACATTACCCGTCTTTTCGTTTGCCCCTCCCACCACGTTTACACCATAATAATATTATACCACTATACTTTTATCTACAGTATTTTATAGATCCAAAGTAATCACAAGACATACATAAATATATCACATCAACAGCCTATACTAGTCCACTGCTGGACATAGGCCTCTCCTTAGAAAGGAGGTTTTGGCCTACTATACCACGCTGGCCAGACGGGTTGGTATAGGGTTTGTTTCAAGTTTTTCTTCTCTTTGCAGTGCTGTTGTCCTGCTTAGTTTGCTCCCTTAGTCGGCTCTTACGACACCCACGGGATGAATTAGGGTGGTGACAATTTGTATTCTTAATCCGTCACCACACGGACAATCCGTCACCACACGGACATAAATATATACCGATTTTAAATAAATACTTGTTATCCTTAGAAATACGTAGATCAATGCAAATAAGTATATTTATTTGAAATAGATATACTATTTTCATTAAGCGAGAATTTAACCCGCGACCACCGGTGAAAAAAAAAACGATTTTCATTTATTTATGTAGAGTCAAGTACATAAATAAATGAAAATGGTGGGCTCTGAAAATCAGTGCTGGCACGGACCATGTGTTGAGATAAGAAGCCTACTTGGTTACGTATAATAGGTAGTTTCTCTTTGGTACCTAACCTAAAATAATAGTGATCACACGTTAACACCATGTCATATGTATATGACCATGACCACAGATAGCGTAGTGTAGTGTTGCACGTACTACAGGTCAACAGCTATAAATCTCAAAAATGTAATGTCATTTAAATTGTATTTTGTGTTTTCTTTTTTTCTTTCAACATAAGTTGTATGCTGTATTTTTTTTACTAAATAAAGACTTTTTTAAATTTTATTTTTTAAATCATTTAAATATTTTTTAAAGACCACACCCGCATTAGGAGTATATCCTGTGTCGCGGGGGACTTACAAACATACATGAAACGGATACAAAAAACAACCAGACTTGTGAATCACATAAAGTGTCGTCCCATGTGAGAATCGAACCTACAACTCAGCGCAGTAGGAAGCGGCGTGGCGACCGCTTAAACCACAACGCCATCCGTGCAGTCAATTGTTATATTTTAGATTTCCCGTGCGCCATATTTGTTCAAACCGAACCGAACAAGAAAAACCGTATTTGTCTTTTACATGGCATACTTAAAATAAATAACAGTACTTGAGTAATAATACTTAAAGAGAAAATGGTCTTAGACTCAACCTATGGATGACAGTGCAAAGCATGTCCAACATTTGCAAGCGGCCATTTTGAAGCAACCCTTGGGTTTATGTAATGGATTAGTCGATTAGTACGTG